CCCTTATGCTATCGCCTTGCGTCAAGCAACCTTATCAGAAGCCTCAAAAGATAGGATGAAGGTAGGTGGAGTCATTCTCCAAATGCTTACCTTAGGTTAGTAGGGAATGGAGGAATGGGGTACAATTATAGCTACTACCACTGCCATTCTTCCATTCCCTACTAACCAAAGGTAAGAATAAGAGTCTTCAATAAAAGGGATCCTTCATCCTACCTTTTGAGGTTATCTCCCGAAGTTCGGTCTTCCAATGGTTGAAGCACCAAATGGCTGGAGTCTAAATTCCAAATCCGTCCGAAGACCATCGCCATATAGAATGGTAGCCAAGTTATCTTCTTAGCAAGAGCTCAGTAGAACGTCTAGACCGCAAGCCAATCTGCCACAAGGAGTTCTGTGTGCTCGCGGCAGGGACTTGGTGCCTGTTCTACGCCACCTGGTACCTTCGTCTTGCGCAAGAGAGCTTCTTGTGTTCGAGGGTGGGAGATGGTGGAGTTCCAGATTTTTATGTTTTGGAATAGGCTTGGACACCCCAACCACCCTCTAATATACCCTAAGTACCCACTATGAAGGGCCGTGAGGCCATAAGGGCGATATTGAAGGGCCGTTGGGAGATCCCAATGGTTCAGGGTTCGGGGTTTATGCTTCTGGGTTTACAACATAGGAAGTCAGCTTCCAGGTGCTAGGTTCCTAAGTGCTGAACCCAACGAGCCTCTGCTGAAGCAGCATAAGCTTCAAATTTCGTCCGGCTCGACACCGAGGCCTCACAGGGTTTGAAGGTGCAGGCTTTAGGGTTTAGGGTCTCTGGTTTAGAGTTTAGAGTTCAGGGGCCTGAATTTAGAGGTCAGGGGCTTGAATAATTTAGTACTATTGTTCCATATTGTCCCCTTGTGGTTCCCGGTATGATTGTGTCACATACCCTGAGGCCCTTATATTCCCCAAACCTCAGAGATGTTGTGGGGACTGCAGTCATGGGGACATTTATTTCGTTCGAGCTTTGAGGTTTGGGGTGTCTACTTGGAGGGTCGGGGGACTTAGTAACTGGTTATTTTAGGGACTTATAAGTACCATAACCCCAATTAGGGTCCCCTCTAGGGTACTTATAAGTCTACTTACTACCTACTTACTAAGTCCCCCGACCCTCCAAGTAGAGAGCTGCTTGCAGGATCGGCGGTCTTAGTAAGCAGGCCGTGATTGGCTTTGCAAGGTAGGGCCAGGTAGGGCAAGTCGACGCTGAAAGCAAATCAGAGCATGTAGAAACCCTTATAGCCTCGATATGCTTCCTCGCAGTTCCAGCTACATCCTTGAACTCTAAAACCCCACCCCAACGCTTGAGCCCTAAACCCCAAACCCTCAAGCCTTGAAGCCTAAACCGCCAATCCTAAAGCCTTGAAGCCTTAAACCCCAAACCCTAAAGCCTTGAAGCCTACACCCTAAAAGCCTCAACGTTACAACCGGTGGAGCCTGGAAAATCGAGGGCCGCATGGGGTTTCAGGGCCTTCGGTTCAGTCGGCACGGAGAAGAGGCTTCCTGCACATAGTGACCCCACGTCCTATCGTTGACACAGGATGCTCGCAGAGCGTGTCTCCCGCTCTGTAGTGCGATGCACAGTGCTCGCTGACGTCTTGCTGTTTACAGAGGATTCGCCTGCCGTGCACACGCCCGGGGCAAGGATTCATTGCAACTATTACGATGTAGACCACCTCGACCTCCGTCAACTTGGAATCGGAGCACCGGAGCAGTGCTTGAGGGAAGCGATTTCGGGTGTTCCTTTGTAATTAGGGCATAAGTTAAAGGGGGAAGCATGAGTCCGGTGCTGCCGAAACGCTGTCAGTGCTGGGGGAAAACTCATTCGAGCTACTCGAGACGCTGGTACTTAGGTGTAAGCGATTTCGCCGTGCTGTCAGCGGTGTGTCTGACTCCTGCATGGCCCGTTCGCATGTGACAGTGGTCTTGACTTTCCGGTCTGAGTGGCATGCCTCTGCTGTGTCCTTTCACTTTTGGGGGATCTCCGCTGGCAATAATATGGTGCTTTATGAGCCTTTACCTGGCTTCAAAACCGCTTGATAGGGTTTCGATAAGGTGTTTTTAAAATCAAGGCTCTGTAATTCTGTAAGGAGTACCTAAAAACACATCAGCTGGGATTTAGGCGGTGGAGGCCTGCAGGCCAGCGGAGGCCTTTGGGGTTCAGTGTTTAGGGCCCTCATTCAGCCCTCGCTCGGTAAACCTCATCGAGACCCCAAGCCGTGAACTCTAAACCCCCCCCAACCCTAGAAGGACTACTGCTTGGAGGTTCATGGGCAGGTATATGTAGGGTTATAAGTAGGGTAACTATAGTTCGAATGCAAAGTGGGGGACTTCTAACTCCTTTTTTCTCTACCCATGAACCTTCAAGTGAATCCAAGGTACACGCAGTATTTGGTTTCCTCGAAGAATGAGGCGACGGCGTTTGCCACGGCGACGGCCGTACTTCTGCTGATTCACCGGTGCCTTCGGCTCCTTGGGATTCAGCCACTCAGCTTCCTTTTAAAGGGATCTATAGGGATTCTATAAGGGTCCCTTTACAGGGATCTATAGGGTTCCATAAGGGTATAGTAGGGTTTAGGGTCTACTTGGAGGTTCATGGGTAGTTATAAGTGTGGTTATAAGTCCCCGAAAATGGGTTATAACTATAGTTACCTTACTTATAACCCCACTTATAACTCGGCATGAACCTCCAAGTAGATCGCAACATAATATGGACAATAGAATGTGGTTTGGGAGAGCACAATCGAACATACCACAAGGGACTTTGATGTCGTGGTATGCAGGGTGATACAGCGGGCTGTAGCATATGGGTGGTCGTCAGAATTATGGCCCTCTTGTGGGTCTTTATTATACTACGGCACCTTATGTTTAGGGTCCCCACAAAGGGGCCATAATTTTGACAACCACCCATATACATACACAAGTTTTCTGGTTTCGAGTTTGTAATTTCGGGTTTAGGTTTCAGGCCAAGCTGTGGGGTCTGCTGGGTGAGGTCCCACAAACGAGGATTTAACCCTAAACCCTAAACCCTTTAGGGTTTAGGCGACTGGGTCCCACAAGCCTAGACCCCTACACCCCAAAGCTTAAACCCCCAAACCCTAAACCCCTAAACCCTAGACCCTAAATGCCAAAGCCTGAAGGCTGAAGATCTCTGCCAGCGAGTTCGATGCCGACAGCGTTGCCTCCTCCCTGGCTGTGCAGGTCGGCGAGGGCTGTTCAAGCCCGTTTTAAAGCCGTCAGCCGCTTCTATAGCTTGCCTTGCTGTCCCATGGTTTTCAGCTTATAGCAGAGTTGCCTTACAGGTCGAGGATTTCGGATTTAGCCTCGGGTTTGGTGTACGGTCTAGGGGTTGGGTTAAGTCAGGGCTCAACTGTAACAGAATCTACTACACTAACAGGATGCCTCGATGTAAGAAACTTCCGTTGCTTCTGCGACGGCTGTTTACTCGTTGGCAAGAAGGGGCGTCACGGCATTTGCGTTGATGACGCAGCGCCCTGGTGCAGAACCCGAGAGTTGCCTAGAACCTTAAATTCGAGGGTACCGCAAAACAAAACACACCGAAGAGCACGTCGCTTGTCAGGTGCAGATGTCGGCAGGGTAATTCCTGTAAAGAAATTGATTGTATCATCAGCATCAGCTGCCCCCATCAATGCGCATCATGAGCTTCAGCTGGGCGATTCCTTTCGGAGGATTGCCCCGGCAGCATGTATCATGAGCATCAGCTGGGTGCTGCCTGTCGGTGCGTTGCCCTAGCAGCGCGCATCATGACCATCAGCTGGGTGCTGCCTGTCGGAGGGTTGCCCTAGCAGCGCGCATCATGAGCATCAGCTGGGTGCTGCCTGTCGGAAGGTTGCCCTAGCAGCGCGCATCATGAGCATCAGCTGGGTGCTGCCTGTCGGTGCGTTGCCCTAGCAGCGCGCATCATGAGCATCAGCTGGGTGCTGCCTGTCGGAGGGTTGCCCTAGGAGCGCGCATCATGAGCATCAGCTGGGTGCTGCCTGTCGGAGGGTTGCCCTAGCAGCGCGTATCATGAGCATCAGCTGGGCGATGCCTTTCGGAGGATTGCAACCAGGAGCGCGCATCATGAGCATCATTTGGGTGATGCGTGTCGGAGATTTGGTTTATCAGTGCGCATCATGAGCATCAGCTGGGTGCTGCCTGTCGGAGGGTTGCCCTAGCAGTGCGCATCATGAGCATCAGCTGGGTGCTGCCTGTCGGAGGGTTGACCTAGCAGCGCGCACCATGAGCATCAACTGGACGATGCCTTGAGGAGGATTGCCCCAGCTCAGCTGGGCGATGCCTATTCCCCAGCAGCGCGCATCATGTGCATCATTTGGGTGATGCGTGTCGGAGATTTGCTTTATCAGTGCGCATCATGAGCATCAGCGGTGCTTTGCCCTAGCAGCGCGCATCATGAGCATCAGCGCATCATGAGCATCAGTGCTGCCCTAGCAGCGCGCATCATGAGCATCAGCTGGGTGCTGCCTGTCGGAGGGTTGCCCTAGCAGCGCGCATCATGAGCATCAGCTGGGTGCTGCCTGTCGGAGGGTTGCCCTAGCAGCGCGTATCATGAGCATCAGCTGGGCGATGCCTTTCGGAGGATTGCAACCAGGAGCGCGCATCATGAGCATCATTTGGGTGATGCGTGTCGGAGATTTGGTTTATCAGTGCGCATCATGAGCATCAGCTGGGTGCTGCCTGTCGGAGGGTTGCCCTAGCAGCGCGCATCATGAGCATCAGCTGGGCGATGCCTTTCGGAGGATTGCACCAGGAGCGCGCATCATGAGCATCATTTGGGTGATGCGTGTCGAAATTTGCTTTATCAGTGCGCATCATGAGCATCAGCCGGGTGATGCCTTCGAGATGATTGCTTCATCAGCGCGTGTCATGAGCGTCAGCTGGTAATATTGTTGGGATTTGTCGGCGGGTTTGCCACAGCAGCGTGCACCATGAGCATCAGCTGGGTGATGTGTGTCGGAGGATTGCTTGCAGCCAAGTGATTGATGCCTGTCGGAGGATCGCCCTAGCAGTGCCCATGACGGAGGACCAGCAGCGCGTATTATGAGCATCAGCTCGGTGACGCCTGTCGGAGGATCGCCCGGGCAGCACGCATCACGGAGGACTGGCAGCGTGGATTATCAACACCAGCTGGGTGATTCCGGTTGCGATAGCAGCGCAGACCATGAGCATCAGCTGAGTGATGCCTGTCGGAAGGTTGCCCCAGCAGCGTGCATCAGAAGCATCAGCTGGGTAATTCCTGTCGGAGAGTTGCCCTAGCAGCACGAATCATGCGTATCAGCCGGTTGACGCTTGCGATGTTGGCCTTTGCAGCGCGCATCGTGAGCATCAGCTGGTTGATGCCTGACGGAGGTTGGCAGCACGCATCATGAGCATCAGCTGGGGAAATCCTGTTGTCAGATTTACCCTTGCACTGCATGTCATGAGTGTCAGATGTAGGCAGTGGGCAGTGATGTCGCGAGATTGCCATAGCAGCACACATCATGAGCTTCAGCTGGGTAATGCCTGTCCGAAGAAAGGCGTGCATCGTTATCGCAGCGTGCATTCAAGAACAGCCAAATACTGTTTGGATGTTGCTTGGAGCGTAGCATCAGCACCAGCCAGGCATTGTACTGTCTGTCCAAGGACTGCTTGGCCAGTACGCCCTATCAGCTAGGATGCCCAGTAGTACTTATTCCCTTTCTGTAGTCCTAGGTTCCTTATAAAGTTACCCAATACCAAAAAGAGAGGCCTTTTTATTCTTAGGTTACTGGGTATCCTAGTCAGTGTCAGCTTGGCAGTTCCTGTCTGTACATCTCCCAACCCGTCGCAGCATCAGCGAAGACACTGCAATGCACGACATACACACTACATGCTTGCACTTAAGTTCTGAGATTCCCAAGCCGAACTCTGACAGTCTGACAATTGAAATCGGAGCAATCCTCACCTCCAACCCCTCCTAAAGCTTACGCCTCTACTCTGGTCTGAAACCCAAAACCTTCGACGAGAGGCTCTCAACCCAATAATGGAATCCTTAATTCAGTAATTTTGAATCCCTGAGCACGTAGGTCCCAAACCGCTAAACCTACACCCGTACAGAAAGCTAAACCTTCGTGAACCAGTTTAGAAGTTTAGAATCCCCCATGAAAACCATGTGAAATGCTATAGTATGTAGGGTCGGAAGAATCCGCAATGATATTACCGTATAGTCCTCCACGACGCAGTTACAGAAGACTTCCGCAGCGCATTTTTAATTGTTCAGGCCTTAGAAACTCTTTAAGGCGTTATGGGGCATAGGGTTTAGGGATGTTTAGGGCCAACCTTGGTACTAAACCCCAAAAAGCTTGACAAGCCAATAAAACCTTAAAAGAGCGCAAGACCCTTCTAGGCCTTTATGGCCAATCTGGGTTGCTACGTGGACGTGCCGCCCACGAATGTTAAAGTGGACCTTTCTGCTTCCAGCATCCACATCCAGAAGCTTGGGCTCAGGGTCGTTTTTTGGGGCTTTGAGTTTAGGCCTTGAGCTTTCGGGCTGGGGGCGTTTGGGTTTAGGGCTTGGGGTTCGGCATTCGGGCTTTTTACGGAATACTAAACCCTAAACCCCTAAACCCTAAACCCTAAACTAACCCTAAACGGGTTCTGCAACGGTCCTAGAGGATCCAGGGTTCAGGGTTCCGATGTTGGCGTTGATGACCGGACCATGTCCTAACACCTCTATACACACATACGTACTTACAGGTGTGTGTGTATATATATATATAGATACGCATACACACACACACATACATGTACACAGATATGTGTGTCTGTGCGCCCGTGCTTCTTGCTCAAATTTCCAAAAGCTGCGCCTTCACATGTTCCAGTTTTTTACGTACTGGCGGGCTTTGTTGGTATTGGTCCTAAGCATTGGTTCGCCTCGGGGTCCGTAGGATTATGTGCAACGATTCAAGATCAGTATGTTTCTATAGTTGTAGTTCCGGATTTGGAGGCCCCACATCGGTAACGCAGTTCTCGCATGTGGTATGGGAGGTGCAGCTATGTCCCTTGAAGTGGAAGATCCCAATTAGGAAGTATTTGGACTGCAAGTTTCCTTTGGGTCTCTGAAACCCTGACTATGCGAAACCCTTTGCTCCGAAGCCCATAGGCCACAGACCCGCAAAGACAAGGGCCTTCGCACCCGAAGTTCCGCAAAGTACGGTTTTGGCACCAACTGTAAAACTTGAACCCTAAGCCCGATGCCTCTGAAAGGTTTGAAGCCTAAGTTCCTAGGCTTTAAAAGTACCCCTTAGGCCCTGGACCGCTATCCCAGATAAGAAGCAAGCCTGAAGCCGCAAAATCCCTAGTTTCTAGAGGCCACCAGCACATGAAGTAGGGCTTATATTACCATTTTGGTGAGTGTAGATAGGGCTCCTTTTGAATTTTGGTGAGTGTATGTATTGGGTTTTATCATGGGAATACTAGTAATATAAACCATACTCTACATGATGTTCTGAATCTTAAGCCTTAAATAATACCCTAAATACCCTAACCCTAACCCTATACCCCAAATCCTGAACCTTAAACCCTGAGCCCAAATCAAGGAAAGCCAGCCTGAAGCCCTAAACCCTAACCCTAAACCCCAAACCCTGAACCTTTCACCCTACCGCCCCAAATCCTTAACCAGAAGCCTTAAGCCCAAATCAACCCTAAACCCTAAACCCTAAACCCAAGGAAAGCCAGCCTGAAGCCGGAGACGTTCGAGGGGTTGCATCTGCCTTTGGCTGTCACCGGGGCCCTTGTGGAAGACCTCTTCGTAGACCTTTCCAGCGATACCAAGGCGCCCAGACCCTACCTGGCCCCTAAAGAACCTACCCTTTTTAGGGTTCCTCATTATGATGTCCTTATATGGGTTTTATTTGGGGTTAAGGTATACCCTAAACCCAAACCCAGGGTGTTAGAGAGTTTCCTTGAAGGGTTTTGTCACTAAACCCTTAAGGTAGGGTGTCATAGATTAGAAGCTGCCCCCACCCTGTAATAGTGACTACAAGGATTATATTAGGGCCCCATTATACCACTATTACAGGGTGGGGGCCCCTTCTATGTCATAGAGTTTGTTCTACACCAGTTTCTGGGTTTATGGAAGTATGGGGCCGTCTCGGGGTTAAGGGTTTAGGGTTTAGGGTGTTTCTTGGGAGAGTACTTAAGGATCATGGGATTTCCTAACTGGGGTTTTTATTAGGGTAACTGCACTTACAGTTACGTATAACGCAAATTCAAGTACATCTAGCTTGACTTGCTAAGTCCCATGATCCTCCAAGCGGGGTATGAGGGCCCAAGGCTGGCGTGCCGGGGTACTGGGGTATGGGAGAGATTCTCCCGAAATGCTCTGAGGATAGGGTTTGGGTTTATGATGTGAGAGTTTCCGAAAAGTAGGGGTACCCTGTTTTGGGTCCTCATAGTAAGGACCCTACTGTTTAGGGTGCTATATTAGGGTCCCCTATTTTCGGAAACTCCCATTTGGGTTCCTATGAACCCAGTTGAACTTCGAAGGCTCCCAAGACATTAAACTGGGTGCTGAAGCTGGTCAATCGCACAGAATAGTCAGCTAGTTCTCCAAGTCTGAACATCACCTATCGCATCGATGACAACGTATACCCCGAAACCTTATGCAAATGCTATCTTTCTCTACGAACTTGCGGCTGCAAAGCTCATCTGGCGTTGGAGCTCTCAGCAGCCCGAGGCTTTTGAACCCTGAACCCCACATACCCTCAGCTCTGACCCTGAAGCATAATGTAGGGGCCTTTATAATTACCTATACTATTTTGGGGGTTCCAAATTATTATAAGTATAGTACGTATAATATGCCTCCAAAGCCTATTCTACCTGTTAAGGCCCCTATAGTACGACCCTGCTGAAAGGATCAGGGGACTTGGTAAGTAGGGTAGAAGTAGAGTAAAAAGAACCTGAAATGAGGTAATCCTACTTATAACCCTGCTTATAAGCTACTTGCTAAGTGGTTCTTTGCGCGCAGTGCAAGGGTTCTGTAGGGGGTCCTACAGGGTTCTATAGGGGCCGGTTGTAGGTTGTTTTTGCTTTTTTAGGCGCTGCCCAGTCCTTGAAAAGTTGTGCAAGTGTCGTGATGAAACCCTTAAACCCCAAAACCTAAAGTCTAGCACCGAAACCTTCAAAAACCCAAACCCCTATAACCCTAGAAAGTCATGAATCTTGCATCCGACCTTCAAAGCTGCACTAAAAGCTTCAGCTTTAAACCCTGCTTGGAGGATCATTGGACTTAGCAACTGGGGTTGTTATACTTGGGAATATAAATATTATAGTTATTCATAAACCCCAATTGGGGTACGTATAACCATACTTGTTGAGCCCACTGATCCTCCAAGTGCCTAAGGGGCATGCCTCTACCCCTTTTGTTCGGTTGCTTGACTTTTTTCGGAGTGGGGTATGACCCTCCAGGTATACTTTTCACAAAATAAACCCGAAACCTTGAGCCCTGATACCCTACTGCCCACTACTACACCTTCCCCTCACACTGCCACCTTCAAGCAAAAACACATAAGTCCGTTCGGAACCCCACATGGAATCCCAAACCCTAAACCCTAAACCCCGAAACACTGCGAGGAGATTGGCAGATTGACCTTTGCCTCGCGCACACACGGCCGAACCCGAATCCGCGTCGCCTTGCAGGCTTAGATGGGCATCCTTTTTTGCATTAGGACTCGTTTTAGGGTTTAGGGTCTAAGCCCTAAGCCCTAAAGGTTTAATCATGTGAGGACTTTGCTGGCCCTGGGTATTACTTCAGTTTATGGTTTTGTTGTTTTTTCTGACGTGCTCAGGGCTTGAGGCAGCTTCCGTTCGCTGTTTGAGTTTTCTATGAGACTTAGTAGAGCCTAGGGATGTTGAGTCTTTCGGGTTTGGTTTTACAAAACATTAAAGCTCTGAGGTTCGTAAGGACACATAGCAAAGCAGGAAGCGTTGGGCGCAGGCCGGAAGCTCCATTTTGACTCTGCGACGCCTGGTCCTCCAGCCCCCCTTGTCTCTGTTGGGGTTTTAGCTTGTTTTGCAAGATCGCCAAAACCCTGAACCCTCACCTTCTCAAACAGTCTGTCCACCAGCTCGCCGAACCCTGAGATGTATGTGGATTGGATCTGACTTGGGGCTTCCTTTTACGCCCTAAGCATCTTTCAATCAAATGAAGATGCCCATAACGAACGTACGCTTCAACAGCCCCTGTCGTCATTTCCAGTTTCCTGCATGTCTATGCATCCGGAGCTCGTCACCGTTACAACTTGCTGCAGATCTTGCCTGCCCAGGACACGCCCCACACCGTGAGCCCTATACCCTCACACCTAACACCCAGGACCCTTAAGTCTAAAGCCCGAGCACTTATAGAACCATTCCGGTAGGATACGGACTCCCTATGCAACCATTATTTATTGAACTCTTATGGAAGCCATTTATAGCAACTAAACCCTAAACCCTGAACCCTAAATCCTAAACCCTAAACCCTAAACCCTAAACCTATACCCTACCGTCTCCGATATGGCGACCCAGGTCAAGAATCTGTTGCTGGTTCTGGGTCCCGGCCCGGGTCTGTCTTCCTGTCCAAACAAGGGAGGAGCTCATTGGCACTACCAGACACTTGGCATTTCGGTTTAGGGTTTACTACAGGGGGCCTAAAGAATACCAATACTGTTTTGGTGGTGCCTTATTCTAATTTTGGTATAATGGGCCCCAAAACCGCATTCTAGTCATTAAAGCGCCTATATTAGGGGCCAGGGTTCACGCTTGACTGTTTGCCGGTTGAGTTTTCGGAACTGCGAGATTGCCCGGCCGGGAGTTATTTGCTGATGTCTAGAAGGGTTCTCATGGTGATGTTGCGGGCATATTCGATCCCTTGACTGGGTTCTCCTTTAGACTTTGGGGGGATTTTGGGTGTTGCAGAAGGTATAGTGCGTGGCAGATTCCTTGGTAACAGAGTATTGTGCTGTTTGGGTGCTAGTGTGGTCTCAAGCTAGATCTTCGAAAGCATGATTCCGGGTCGCAGCCCAAAAAAACATAAGACCCCTAAGCCTAAACCCTAAACCTTAAAATCTTCATGCAGAGAACCTAAGCCCTCAAAACCAGGACGGTGCTTGCCGCGAAGTGGCGGGTGGTGAAGATGATCTGCCAGAGGCTCACAGTGCACCTAAACCCTAAACCCCTAAGCCACTAAATCCTAAACCCTAAACCCCTAAACCACTAAACCCTAAACCCTAAACCCCTAAACCCCTAAACCCTCTGCCAGAGGCTCACAGTTCCTGTAGTGGATGCGACGGCGGCAAGGGAGTCACAGGACTCCCTTGACTCCCTCGGCTCGTCGAAGAGTTTCTGGGCTCTTGTCGAAGGACTTAGTTAGTTTCACTTGCCACAATAGGGCTTAGGGTTTAGGGTTTAGGGTTTAGGGACTTATTCTCGGATCTATTGTGCTTAGTATGGTAAGTTAAATGAAACCCGCGGCCAAGAACCCAGGTTTGCAGGAGATGAGGAGGAGCTTGATGAGAGACGTGCGACAGAGTATCACCAGGATGCCTTATACCGAGATGCACCTGCGGAACATCAGTGTGCAGTTCGAGGATCCCGACTCGCGGCTGGGCTATGGATGCTTCCTCCTCGGCATGAAGTTGGACTCCTTGAAGCTGGACTGGCACCAGGGCCGTCATTGCCACGCTCAGCTGGCACGCTGGTCTCTGTATGCAGAGCCCTTTGCGGCAGCAGACAGCAGTGGAGTTCTCCTGAGATCAAAGCCTAGAAAAGTGGCTCAGGACATGGTTAAGCTGAACAGCGCTGAGCGGCTTCGTTCCTGGGCTTTCGCCAGCATGGAGGACCATCGTCGAAATCCTCTGAAGCAGCTCCGGCGAATGGAGCGCTTTGCGGACAGGCACAACATCCTGACGGTGCAGCATGTGAACATTCGAGGACTGTCAGTCGAACAAAGAGCTGCAAGGCTTTGAGGGGCTGCTTAGGATGTCTAATCACAGATGCTCCCTGCTGTTCCTGTGATCAAGATGGAACTAGATTGTTGGCAGTTGCCAAGTTGCCACGCCTGCTACCCAACCCAAACCCTAAACTCTAAACCGTCCGTGCGCATGGAAAAGGGACGTCCAAAAACAAGAAAAACCGTCCACCAGCCAAGCATTTGGCTCTCCCTAAACCCTAAACCCCAATCTCCAACCGGGCAGCCTCGGTCCAGACACTCCATGCACAGGCCTCGCCTGCCCGACTCAATCCGTGGACAAAGTCAGATCCACTGAGCCCGAGAGTACAGTGTTGTGCTTGCATAAGGCCAAGTAAAGCCCACAACCCCAGCAACTTGGCAAAGCCTTACAACAACCCACAGATAATTTATAACAGATACGTCCCTAAACCCTAAACCCTAAACCGTAAACCCTAAACCCTAAACCGTAACTTCTAGCGTGCAACACGGGCGTTTTCAAGGGAAAAACGCCCCCGACTTGCTCGATCCGTTCCAGGAGCCCCCAAGGAGGTCCCGAAAGAGCGGACCGGAGGACTGTTTTTTTTTCTGATTCTGCCACCCACCCTATGCAATTTCTTAAGTTTAACTCATGAAGTATTCAACTTACATATCTTCTACGGGGCTTGTCTGTGATTTTCGCGGGGATATCTTGGGGGCTTGTAGTGACTATGGTGGTTTTATAAGGTCATGTACTATTGGGGCCTTAATAATTACCTATACCAATTTGGGGGGGGGTTCCTTACTATGGATATAGTATAATGGGTTCCAAAACCCTATTCTAGTTATTAAGGCCCCCATAATACGGGTAAACCCTAAACCCTAAACCACTATGCTGGTTTTATAAGGTCATGTACGGGTTTCCTTGGTCAACCCAGAGGACTCTTGTCGCGCATGGCGGCCCGGTTCGGGGCCTTCGGCAAGGACGGTCCTTGGTTCTCAGGGTTTTGGGACACCTTGCACTTCGGGCGTTTATGCTTGGGGTTTGGGTTTAGGACGTTCAGGGCTCCGGGCAGCTTCCAGGTTTCTTTTCTTGTTTTCCATTTCGGAGGTTTAGGAATTGTTGTTTAGGACGCTTTGGGTTGAGAGGGCCTGCTGCTGCAACCACTCTTCGTGGTTCATACATAAGCGATGACGGCGACGGGTTATGATAGTTCGCGGTTGGAATCTTATGGGCAGGGCGGTGGTTCTTGCGAGATGATGCTGCTCATGATGAGTATGATGAACGGTGATGATGATGACGATGATTCGGGTGATGATGATGCTTGTGGTGAAGATGATGATGCTGATGAAGATGACGGCGACGGTTATGGTGACGGTCGTCATCATCATGTTGAAGAAGAACATGATGATGGTGATATGCCGCTGGTGTTTTCACTTGTGGTCGTGGTGCTGTGTGGTCCTGGCGGTACCAACACAATGCCCGCACCACCACCACCGCCGCCACCACCACCACGACCCTCCTCCTCCTCCTCCTCCTCCTCCTCCTCCTCTTCCTCCGCCTCCTCCTCCTCTTCATCATCCTTCTCGTCATCCTACTCCTCTTCATCCTAACCATCATCGTCATCGTTCGTCATCGTTCGTCATCATCATCATCATCATCATCATCATCACCGTCGTCATCATCATCATCATCATCATCATCATCGTCATCGTCATCGTCATCGTCATCGTCATCGTCATCATCATCCTCTGGCCGATGTCCTAACGGGTGGTGCTGCAGCTCTTCTATCACCCTCCCGAGGACGGCGTGACCAAGTCAACGGATATCGAGAGCGCGGCGATGGCCTCGAATCCCCAACTGGACTGGGACTGGAAGGCCCACGTCCGGCCTATTCGGATCACCGTGGACGACATGCAGCTCCTTAGCCTGACTCTTCGGGGGCCTTGTGTCGTTGCAGATGAAGAGGTGATGGGTTGCATTCTACGGAATTTCTGGTAGCTTGCCAAGCTAGCTCTTTCAGCGGGGCCTAGACCCTCAACCCTTAAAACCCCCCAAAAACCCTAAACCCTGAGCCCTAAAACCACAGTTAGTAAAAAAACCACAGTTAGTAAAAAAAACCACAGTTAGTAAAAAAAACCACAGTTAGGCACGAGCAGTTTTGGTGACGACTCTTAGGTTTCGATGCTTGAAGAATCTGCAACGCTGCATCGGCGACTGGCGGCTTCGTCTGCCTTAGCTCATGGCATGCCGCGCCCTTATAGTAACCCGTATACAAGTATGAGAAATTGTATATAGTTACATATCCATGTAGATTTACTTTATATATAGATAAGGTACACCCTTTGCCAAAGAACCCTTATAGAAACCCCGACCTAAACCCTTTAAAAAGGAACCCTGGAAGGAGCCCTGCAGAATATGTAGCCTTTAAGACGGAACCCTGACAACACAGAAAGGGTGTAGGAGCCTAAACCTGGGAAGGCCTGTAGGTAACAACATCGTTCTTGTCCTCACAGGTCTCGTCATCCTTGAAATCCTAATCATGAGCACATGGCACCCATCCTTAATATCGGGACCTTGATAATTAGAATAGGGTTTTGGGTAGGTTATACTATAATTATAATAAGGAGCCCCCAACATAGTATCGGTCTCTAATTATGAGGGCCCCTACATTATTGCATTTTGGGCACCCCAAACGCTACACAACAAGTCCTGCCGAATCATCGACTTCCCAGCCCAAAGCCCTTTGAGGCCCAGGCTACAAAATCGCTTTGACTATCCCATTATCAAGCCCGACAAGCCCAACCCTACAGCCTAACATCCGAAAACCCAAATCCCTATGTCCGGAAAACTTGATTAAGAGAGAAAGAATCCTTAGTATAATTTAAGGTATATTCCTTAATCCTTGAACCCCTTTGCCCGAAAACCCAAACCCTAAATCCTAAGCCCCACGCCCTCAACTTTAAGCCGTAAATCCCAAGCCTTGAACGGCAGGTGGATACACGACCAGGCCATTCAGTGGCATCCTGGCATCCGCCCCTGCGATCCACAGGCCATCCTTTTCAAGGGTTTTTTCTGCGGGTTTATGAAGAGGTTCCTAAGGGTGTAGGGCTTGGGGTTGCAAGGGTTTTATCCGATTTTGTGAGGAGTTTGCCCAAGGGTTTTTGTAAGGGGTTCTTTTACGGTTTTTCTGCTGGTTTATGAAGAGGTTCCTAAGGGTGTAGGGTTTAGGGTTTAAGGTTTAGGGTTTCAAGGGTTTTATCCGATTTTGTGAGGAGTTTGCCCAAGTAAGGGTTCTTTGAGTGTTTTTTCTGCGGGTTTATGAAGAGGTTCCTAAGGGTGTAGGGTTTAGGGTTTCAAGGGTTTTATCAGATTTTGTGAGGAGTTTTCTCAAGGATTTTTGTAAGGGTGCTTTGAGTGTTTTTCTGCGGGTTTATGAAGAGGTTCCTAAGGGTGTAGGGTTCAGGGTTTAAGGTTTAGGGTTTCAAGGGTTTTATCCGATTTTGTGAGGAGTTTGCCCAAGTAAGGGTTCTTTGAGTGTTTTTTCTGCGGGTTTATGAAGAGGTTCCTAAGGGTGTAGGGTTTAGGGTTTCAAGGGTTTTATCAGATTTTGTGAGGAGTTTTCTCAAGGATTTTTGTAAGGGTGCTTTGAGTGTTTTTCTGCGGGTTTATGAAGAGGTTCCTAAGGGTGTAGGGTTCAGGGTTTAAGGTTTAGGGTTTCAAGGGTTTTATCCGATTTTGTGAGGAGTTTGCCCAAGTAAGGGTTCTTTGAGTGTTTTTTCTGCGGGTTTATGAAGAGGTTCCTAAGGGTGTAGGGTTTAGGGTTTCAAGGGTTTTATCAGATTTTGTGAGGAGTTTTCTCAAGGATTTTTGTAAGGGTGCTTTGAGTGTTTTTCTGCGGGTTTATGAAGAGGTTCCTAAGGGTGTAGGGTTCAGGGTTTAAGGTTTAGGGTTTCAAGGGTTTTATCCGATTTTGTGAGGAGTTTGCCCAGGGGCTTTTGTAAGGGTTCTTTGAGTGTGTTTGAGGGACTCGGGCCTCAGGTTTTTAACGGGTTCGGCGGATTGTGGCAGTCCTTAGAGCTAAGAGTGTTTTCGTCCGGCTGCGGGAAACTTAGCTCGAAGGGTGTGGGGTTGAAAGTCTGGGACTTCAGAGTATAAGCTTGACGGTTTGGGTTCAGGTTTCGTGTCAAGGGTGTGAGGAGTAGGGCCCAAGGAGGTCGTCATAGGCTGTCGCGACCGTGCTTTTTAAGACTTGGAAAGGGTTCGGCATGGCTTTATGGGGTTTGTGTTTGGCGGGAGAGGAAGCTATACATAGAGATAGTGACCGGAGCCCCAAAGCCCTAAACCCTGCCTTAAACAAAAAGCCTAAAACCCTAAAGCCCTAAAACCCTAAAACCCTAAAACCCTAAACCCTAAACCCTAAAGCCCTAAAACCCTAAAGCCCTAAACCCTAAACCCCAAAGCCCTCAAAGCCCCAAAGCCCTAAAACTTGAAGCCTGAAGGTTCTGGAGACCTCCAAGGAGCAGAGATCCGAGATACTACGGTCGTGGCGGTCCGACCGAACGCAGACAATGTCGTATAGAGGCTTTGAGAATTAGAATAGGGTTTGGGGGCGCACTATACTATAATTATAATTATAATTATAATAAGGAATCACCAAAATTATATAGGTAATTAGTAAGGCCCCTACATTAGGCCCCCAATGTGGGTCGTTTAAGGTTCTACATGGGTTGCTGCAGGGGTTTAAGTCAGTAAAAGGCTGCAAGGCCGGCGGCAGCGACTTGCCATGCGTCAAATCACTTTCAGGTTTAGGACATGTCATTTAGGGTCCACTTAACTCAGGATTGAGAGGAGTTAGGGCGTAGGGTCTACGGGTTTAGTGTCAAGGGGCCAAGGGGTTGAGGGCAGAGGGTTTAGGGCTGACGGTTGAAGGCTTGCAGCTCTTAGAGCTTATAGACTAGGTGTTAACAGTTTAGAGCACATGAAAGGAGATGGCCTGGAGGTAGAGGCTCTCACAGCAGCGGTAGACATTCAAAGTGGAAGATCTAGGCTTAGTCACCTTTCAACGATATCGCCGGTCTTATGTGGTTCAGAGTTTACGATTTACGACCTGAGGTTATTGTCAACTGATGATGAATCGCCAAGGCATGTTCTTATGATCCAGTCCCTTGCCGCCCTTCTCCTCAGATGCACAAAGATTCCTGCACCCAAGAAGCCTCTACCTGCGAAGCCCAGACCATACATCCAAAGCCCTGCAGCCCTACAAACCCACAGCCCGGAAAGTTCTAAAAAACTAAAGCAAGAAGCTCTATAAAGACTTGAGACTCTAAACCCCAAACACCTGAAGCCCGAGACTAGCAACCCCCCCAAAATCCTCAGATCATGACTGTCTATAGAATCTCCAAACCCCCGAAGCTCTGCACTGAAGTACTCAGGAGGTCTGGATAACTGAATAAGTGCTTTCGCTTTTCCTAAGGGCTCCTTATTAAGTTATAGCTTCCCTTACACTGCCCCTACTGTATCCCTTATGGTATCCGTTTGAAGAACCCTAGTCGCATAATAAAGGCCTCTCTCTGGTCAAACTACCCTATTAAAACCCTATGCCCTAAACCCTTAAACTCCTAAACCCCAACCCCCCAAGCCATAAACATATAGAACCTAAATGATAAGATCCTTGTTCTTGTCGCTTAACACCCTCCCTCACATAGGAGTTTCAGAAACCCAAACAAGACCCCTAAACCCTAAACCCATATGGGAGTTTCCCTAAACCCTAAGCCCTAAATCTACCCAGAGACTCCAATATCCCTGAATTAGGGAATATATCTTAAATCATATTAGGGTTCCTACTATAATTTTAAGGTATATTCCTTAATTAAGGGATATTAGACTCCCCTAAACCCTATACCCTATAGATCCCTTTAAGGATCCCGGTAAGGAACCCTTAGGGTATATTCCTTAATTAAGGGATACCCAGAGACTCCAAAACCCCTTAATTAAGGAATAGGAATATGCCTTAAATTATACTAGGATCCCTAATATGATTTAAGGTATATTCCTTAATTAAGAGATTTTGGAAGGTCTGGGTATTGGAGTCTTTGGGTACATGCCCCTAAACCCTATACCCTATAGATCCCTTTAAGGATCCCTGTAAGGAACCCTTAGGGTATATTCTTGAATTAAGGGATATTGGCGTCTTTGGGTACATGAGTCGAGGTGGATCTATGCCCCAAAGCCTAAATCCTAAACCCTAAACCCTGGATTATAAACCCTAAATTATAAACCCTAAATTATGAACCCTAAATTATGAACCCTAAATTATGAACCCTAAATTATGAACCCTAAACCCTAGGCCCTAAATCTACAAGAGCCGAGGTGGATCTATGCGAGCCACAAGGCCCTCATTGCCGAGGGCCGCCGGCCCCGCTTCACGTATTTGCCCGTTGGCGAAGTTGGGGCGGGTTTAGGGTTAAGGCTTTATAGGGGTGTAGGGGTTTAAGGGTTTAGGGGTTTTGAGGTTTAGGGTTTAGGCTTTAGGGGTTTAGGGTTTAGGCTTGAGGGGTGTAGGGGTTTAAGGGTTTAGGGGTTTAGAGGTTTTGAGGTTTAGAGGTTTAGAAGCTTAGGGGTTTAGGGTTTAGGCTTTAGGGCGAAGGTGGAGGGTTGTTTCGAGTCCTTCCTTCTAGGGGGTTTAGGGTAAGGGTTACTTTAAGGTGCGCAGTGTTCCGGGTTCCCATGAAGGGCTCTTGTACCAGCTCGAAGGCCCTTCGTGAAGTTGGAGGGTTGCTTTTATGGTTCAGGGTTCAGGGTTTCGGGCCTCGGGTTAAGGGTTTAGGGGTTTAGGGTTTAGAGGTGTAGGGTGCAGGGTGGGTGGGTTTGGGGTTTTAGGACTTAGGTGTGCCCCTTGGTGAAGTTGGGGGATTGATCTTGATATTAGGGTTCAGGGTTTCGAGCTTACTGTTTACGGTTAAGTCCTGGTGAAGTTGGAGGGTTACTTAGACACCTGCCTATAAGGGCTTCAATACGGGTTCGAGGACTTGCGCATTTCTTGCCGATTGGAGGGTTTTGAGCAGGTCCTATAAGGAGTTCAGGTGTCGTCGCCTTGCAGGCGCTTCTATGAGGGGTCAAGTGGGATTTACCAGAGTTTCGTCGAGAAGAATATGGGGCTCCCTAACTAACTACGGTTTCCCGATTCAGGGTAGGGGGGTAGGGGCAGGGAAAGGGGAGGGGGAGGGGTGGTAGGGGAGAGGCATAGGCAGAGAGGCAGAGAGGCAGAGAGGCAGAGAGGCAGAGAGGCAGAGAGGCAGAGAGGCAGAGGCGGATGATGATGAGGATAGTCCCTAATCCCCAAACTCCCTAAACCCTAAAACCCTAAAGGCTAAGCCCCTCAGATTAGACCCGAATTGCTCACCCCAAACCCCCAAGCCTTAAGCTGTAAACCCCTTAACTCCTCCTAAACCCTGAACCCTAAATCCTAAACCCTAAACACTAAATCCTAAACCCTAAATCCTAAACCCTAAACCCTAAACCCTAAATCCTAAAACCTAAACCCTAAGCCCTCACAGAAAGCACTGAACCCATGAACGTGAAACCTGTGGGGCTCAGGGCAGTCAGTCCGAAGCCTGAGCCGAAAACTTCTGACCTACAGTAGAAGCCAGAAAGTTGGAACATGGCTTTAGGAGGATTAGTGCTAGGATCCCTTACACTTTACTACCTTAAGGGCGCATGAGGAGTCTGATGTAGTTGGAATATCATTATCGTAACCCCTTTAGGGTAAATTATAGGGGATCCTACCATTAATCCATATTCCAACTTTCTGGAGTTCCCTTTACGTCCGAAACACCCAACAGCCTGCTAGCTCCGAAGATTTCGAGCTCCGGGTTGAGGATTTAGGGTTTAGGATTTGGGGTTTAGGGTATAGGGTTTAGGGGTTTAGGATTTGGGGTCTAGGGTTTAGGGTTTGGGGGTCTAGGAGGGTTTGGGGTTTCGGGTTTAGTATTAGAGTATAGAGCTCATGCCTCGAACCGACAGCCTGAAACCCCCTGAGCCGAGGAATCTCGTGCGACGGGTGGAGTACCGTCTGAAGCACCGGGCTTTGATCTCGGAGGTTCTGCGCGAGTTGCCGCCGCTGGTTCCAGGCAGGCGCATCACTCTGAAGCTCGGCTGAAGGCATCGGGTTTAGGGCTTTCGGCTGGGTGCTTCTTCTTGCTTCTCTAGGTTTCCCAGTAGTGGCCCTTGCCCTTTTTCTTTCTTTGTTCCCTTATTAACATCAAGCAGGTAGGAAAACGATACCCTTTTTATATTTGGGGTGCTACTGGGTAACGCTACCGCTACTACGACTTACGACGACGAGGATGATGATGACGAGGGCTACAATCAAAAGGATGGCTAGGATACCAACGCCACTGACGATTCCAATGGTCTTTCCTACTTATTACATTGCTTATACCCTACTTACTAAGTTCCCTGATCCTTTAAGTGCCCTTACAAGGCGACCAACAAAAATACGAGCTCAGGAAGCCCGCTGAGCATCACTGCCGAGATCTGGCGCTGCTTCAGATCCCCGCCTGGGAGAACTTTCAGAGGTTTTGGGCTCGTGGTTTCCTTTTCGGTTTAGGGTATAAGGGTTAAGGGTTTAGGGTTTAGGGTTTTGTTGTTTTGGCTTTGGGGTTTTGGCCGGTTTGGGGGTTGGGGTTTGGGGTTTAAGGTTTAGCGCCTAGGGTTGGGCAGTTTAAGGTTGGGCGTTTGGGGTTTAGTGTTTGGGGATGAATTAGCATTTAGGGGTTTCGGTTCAGGGGTTATTTTTTAAGAGTTCAGGGTTGTAGTGAAAAACGGATATGGTAGCGTCAAAGCTCACAAATCTCAAACGCCCTACGCTCTATCCCTTGTATACAAGCCTAATCATCCTTAAATCGAAAAAGCACTGAGGACTCACCTGTCGCAGCCCTAAGCCCTAAACCCTAACCCTAAATAAACGCTAACGAAGAAGCACTGAGGACTCGCCTGCCGTAACCCTAAACCCTAAACCCTTCGGGGCACTGGAGACAAGGAGCTCAAAAAAAATCCTAACCCTAAACCCTAATTCTTACCCAAGAAGCACTGAGGACTCACCTGCCGTATTCAGACATCGTGACCTGCTTAAGGGAAGAGCTCGCGAGGTCCTCGGCGCAAGGCCCGGACGTCTTGCGGACGGGGGTTGCTGCTATAGGGGCCTTCAACTTGGAAGGGTTCCTTTTAAAGGGTTTTGGGTTTAGGGTTTAGGGTTCAATTCGTTCGTATTGGTAATATAGGGGCCTTAATAATTAGAATAGGGCTTAGGGTTCTTTTTTAAAGGGGTCTATAAGGGCTACTATAAGGGCTAGTTATCAAGCCCCCTATATTAGGGAGGCTTGGCAAGGCCTTCTATCAGGGTTGCTACAAGGGGTGAGGGAATCCGCTGCCGATGTCGGCGTTGACGATAACCATGGTCATTATGAGATTTGGTTTCGGCCTTCGTTGTTAACGTTGCCGCTGTGGCTACGATGACAACCTCAACTTACTCTAAGCCCCTTGCCAAAATATTGAGCGACCATACTTGGAGTTCAGGTTGGAGCTTTGTGAAGACGATGCCAGGTTTTCAAACCAAGCGCTGCCTGCTAGCGTAAGGGTGTGAAAATGAAGAGTGTCCAAAGCAAAACCCATGCAGAACCCGCCATGCATTGCTTTACTCGTATAGGGTCTGACGGTTTGTTCTTTAGGCTTAGGGTCTACTTTCACCCAGAGATCCCAATACGCCTTAATTAAGGAATATACCTTAAATTATAGAGGCCTTAATATTATGATTTAAGGTATATTCCTTAATTAAGGGGTATTGGGTTCTCTGGGCATGATGTATTGCGAAGCCGAGTCTCCGACCCCATGCACCTAAACCCTACTAGCAGCCCTAATTCCTAAACCTGCTTCCCCAAACTATAAACCCTAAACCCAATTCCCCGGACCATCGACCTTAAATGCTACATGGAAGTATCTACAAAAACCATTATAAAAAAACCGCCTTCAAAGGCTACAGGTCAGCAAACTCTTAACCCTAACCCCTAAGCCCCTAAACCCTAAACCCTAACCCAAAAGCCCCTAAACCTAAACCAAAGACCGCTGATGCCCCACGCGAGGCTCTCTGAGCCGGCGGCCCACGGCCCGTCCGGGTGCTGCTCCCACGCGCCGGCAGCAGGAGCTTCTAACAGGTACCCTTATAGATCCCTTATGGTAGCCCCTATAGACCCCTTTAAAAAAGAACCCTAAGCCCTATTCTAACTAGTAAGGCCCCTAAAATACCAATACGAACGATTTGGTCCAGAGAAGGCGGCAAAAGGGTCCCGTGGGCTTACCTTCGGTTAGCAGGGAATGGAAGAATGGTAGTAATAGTAGTTGTAGTTGTACCCCATTCCTCCTTTCCCTACTAACCAAAGGTAAATATTGAACCGGAAAGTTCAAGTTAACTTAAGGGCTTGTCTAAGGGTTCCTGGAAGGGTTCTTTTTTATTATAATGTCCCTAAATAGTACATATTAAAACAACTTTAGTCATATCAGTTACTACTGTTATTAGTCTTACTGATGATTGACAGCGCATCCCTATCGGAGATATCCTACTAACCTTGTAGTTGGCGTAGTATTATTGTAGAACCCCTTGTATTTAAAAATATTTTGGCAGCCATATGTTCCCATTACAGTATTGTGATACCCTTTTAGTAACTATAGTATCCCCTATTGTAGATGTTGCCATAACCGTCTATATAGTTGAAATGTTATGGTACCCTGAAGGACCCCTTGAGCATGTCCCCAAATTTCAAACCACAAGCCCGATCTCTTGGTAGATCCTGGGGTCGCTGTCTGCTGGGTAGAGGTTTCTACAAGGTTCTTTCAGTTTTGTACGGGTTTCAGTATGGTTCTGCGATTTAAAGGTATCACAGAAAGGAGGTTCTATGGCTTGGGTATTGTACAGGGTTCTACAATTTGAGGGCCTTTTGAGGGTGCTTAGCTTGCATACTGCCAGCGTTCAGCACGGCTCGCAAATTCAACACTGCCGGGCTTTCCCTTAAGCCCTAAACCAGAAGTCGTAAGTCCTGCCAAACCTAAACTCTAGAATTCAATACCACTTGCCCCGAATTCCCCGATTCCCAAATCCGACGACCCATAATCTAAATCCGACGTACCTCAGGTCGATTTCCGAAATCCCATGTTTTCAAGCCCCAACCAATCCACTCTTCTCAGCTGCTCAGGGGCTCTGGCTTGCGGTTTCACTCAGACGGTGTCGAAATAAGTATTGACAAGGGTTTAGAGTTTAGGGTTTAAGGTTTAGGGATCCGGTCATAGTTTCGATATACCATGATAATGTATCTCAGAACCCTGTTCTATTTCTTACGGCCTTTGTAGAAAGTTTCGAAGCCCATGTAAACAACCCGCATGGAACCCCGATGAGAACCTTGAACCCTCTGTAGAGGAGCCTCAAAGAAACCCTATGCTAAATATTAACGATCAGATATTTACAGTGTTTCGGACAGATCCCCTCGGTCCGCAGGAGGAGGAGAACGACGATGAGGATGAAGAGGAGGCCGGGCTGGTTCAACATGGGACCTGAAGAATTACCAGCGTTGTTCCGCTGTCGTCCCTATATAGTACCTCTATAACCGACTCGTCAAAAACCTTATTCTACCTTTCTATGACACCCGGAGATGCTTGGAAATAGGACTTGACATCCTTGTGACGGAGCTGGTGGGAGGTGGTTCGAATCATTCGGGGTCCACATGTTGAGTTGTTGTTTACGGCTTCAGTGCTCGTTTGAACCCAAAGCGCTAAACCCGTCATGGAGTTTACGGATACTGCTGGAAGTCAGGGTCGAAGTAAAAATGCAGGGTGCTTCGTAGAAAGCCGTAAGCTTTTAGTTTATCGGAGTTCATGTTTAAGGTTTGGGGCGTTGAGGCTTTCGGGGCATAGGGCAGGGATCCTTGGGCGACATCTTCAAACCCTAAACCCTTTTCGGGTCTTTGGGGATGTTTGGGGGGGTCTTTAGGGATGTTTGAAGATCTTTGGGGTTGCAGGCCACAGTCAGAGCCCAAGCCGGCTTTAACCCCTAAAACTTCAGCCCTCGCCCTTGAACATGTGGGTGGTTGTCAAAATTATGGTCCCTTTTTGGGTCCCTAATACAGAATGGCACCTATGATTTAGGGTACCCAAAAAGGGACCCCAATTTTGACAACTACCTGTGATTCAGGAGGTTGTGGCCTCAGAGTCTTCCTCCGTCGAGCGCTCGGAAGCCACCGCATTTGGCTCCTTATCTGCAGAGCTGGACATGTTCCGACGGTTTAGGGACGAGGGTTTGGGGTTAAGGGCTCCCGTGATTACTTTGGGCCTTTTCCCGCTTAGGGTGCCCCCTTGCGTGCCCTTTGAGTCAGATGCTTGCAAAGAAAATTAGCAAATCAACAGGGTGAGTCGTTACAAGAGCGATGCCGGTGTTGAGAGTCCTTGTGGGTGGTGAGTCTTTGTGGTGCCGGTCGTGTTATGCCGGAGCCCTGTGGGCTCCTCTGAAGGTGCCTGGTCTAAGTTGTAAGGTTTAGGTTTTCGGGTTTGGAGTTGAAGTTTCGGGTTTCAGGCTTCAGGATTGATTTTCGACCTTAGGGCTTTGAGTTGATGTTTAGGATGTAGGTTCGGGCTTGATGGGATGTAGGACATCGGGTTCACACCATCCACACTGAGCCCGAAGCCGGCCTAGCACTAAACCCTAAACTTTGTGCTTTAGGGTTTAGGGTTTAGGGTTTCGTAAACCCTAAACCCTAAAACCTAAACCCTAAACCCTAAACTTTGCGCTTTAGGGTTTAGGGTTTGCACTAAACCCGGAGGCTTAAACCCCAAGCCCTCAGCCCAAACTCCTAAACCCTAGCCCTGCATCCTCAGGTTCCTTCAGCCTACTTAAAGGATCATGGGACTTAGTAACTAGGGTTATAATTAGGGTAACTGTACTTATAACTACTTATAACCCCAATTAAGGTACCTATAACCTGACATACTAAGTCCAATGATCCTCCAAGTAAGCCCCAAGCACGCGCCCGCAAGGCATGGCGGACCAACCCCAGGATGAGCCTAGCATGGATGGGCACTGGGAGTTGCCTCTTGTCCTTGAAGGGAGCAGTTTAATATAGGGGCCCAAATAGTTACCATTTTGGGGGTTCCTTACTATAATTATAGTATAATGGGCCCCAAAACCCTATGCTAACTATTAAGGCCCCTATATTAGGCACGCCGTAACATACTCCTCTGTTTCCACCATAAGAAGCACGAAACCTTCGTCAGCACCACCACAAAACAAGCAGGGAGACGTGAGGGTTTACAACCCTGACCCCTTGAACCCCAAACCCGAAAGCCCCTTAAGCCATGAGCCTTTCTAAGCCCTTCCGAAGCTTCAACCCGAGACGACAAGCTTTCGGCCTTCGGACTGCAAGCTCTAAGCTCCGAACACATCATTAGGGTTTAGGGTTTAGGGTTTATACTTGATACTGGAACCCTAAACCGTAAGTCCACGTCCGTCCACAGCCCTAAGCGCTAAACCTCAGAATTGCCTCAACCCCAAGCCTGCTTTGGCGTACAACAACCAGACCGAACAGGTCTTGGTCGGCGCTGGAGGTTTGGATTCTGGGCTCGGGGAGCCCCGGCATGACGTTTATGACCGGCTGGGGTTTAGCGGTTTTGCCGGGCGTTATGGAGGCGCTGTAGGTGTCTTGGCGTCTAGGTGATGGTCCCTGTGGGGTTCTTCGTACACCGTTTGCTGGCAGCCAATGCAGCGTTACGTCCCGGTTCCGCTGGAGGTTCCTATTCTTTCGGAGGCAAGCTCGCTAAGGCCTAAACTACCCGTAAACCATAAAAATCCATAAACCCTTCCGGATTGAGAACATTCTCCACGTGCCTCCAGTACCTAGTACTTGGAAGTTCATGGGTAGTTGTAAATGGCGTTATCAGTCCCATAAAAGGGATTATAACTATAGTTACCCTACTTTTTTCCACCACTTATAACAACCCGTGAACCTCCAAGTTTTGAAAGTCGAGGGGGGCCAAGGGTGCAGGCAACCTGCAAGAGCTTGAAGCAGGACCCCGGACGTGCTTTTCCTTACTAGACGGGCCGTAATAATTAGAATAGGGCGCTTGGGGGGGGGGGGGGGGGAGGTTATTAAACCATAGTCATAGTAAGGAACCCCCCGAAACCCTATTCTGAATATTTCTGAATAGCAAGCCCCCTACATTACGTATGATTTGGGGCCTTTAGGGGTTGTAGGGTTGTATGCTGCATTAGGCATCCTACTATCTCGAGGCGATAGCTACCATGGCTCATCGGCGCAACCCACGAACAGCAGCACATCAAAGATGAAAGAGCCCACCAAACAGCTTGAGACTGATTGTCCGACTCTGTTCGGCGAGCATGTACAGCCCTCTCGGCGAGCTCTCCGACAAGCTCTGCGACAAAACACCGCGGAGTTTGTTGTCCCAGGACAGCCCATGACTGTCAAATTTCACTGCACTGTGCAACCAACCCCCCAAGTGTTGCATCGATAACATCAGACAGCGAAGTTTCTACAGGAAACAGCGGCTACTTGGCACACGATCGAACCCCGCTGCGTGCGAAACGGAATGTATCACTAAGCCCTGTTCTGTACTGCAGCTATGGAAGACTCAACCGGAGCACTTGCGAACGCCGAGCCTCAAAATACGAGATCTGATCCGAAACGATCGTCCTCATGAAAGCCCAGAACAACTCGAGAATAAATTTGGGAACAACAATTAATTCATTCTGCTATTCTTCGCATCAGGCTACATACAACTTGTAAAACTAGGAGCTCTACATCCGATTTGGGGTTGAGTGTTTAGGCATGCATTTCCGAACTTCGGCCTAACATCCCCTGGTAGCTTTTCCAGCTTCTGCAGGTTTGGCAACGGCCGGCCGCGCCCTATCCTGCTCTACGGTGTGCCTGGGCTGCATTTAGCAATAGTTCACCAAGCTGACAGGTTTAGGGGTGAGGCTTTAGGGTTTGGGGATTAGCAGCTGGTTTTCTTGTGTTGCTGACGGCATCATGAAGTTGTGCATCCTGCAACGCCACTATGTAGTTCTTCTGCGATTACCTTGGTCCGCTTGATGGCGAGTATGCGTAACTCGTTTTGGGTCCCTGCGTTTTGCCGGGTTGCTTTTTCTTTTGGGTATCCTGAAGTGCACGCTCCTAGAGAAGTGGACCTGAACGCGAGAAAAGGCCATTGCACTTTCCAACCACCTAGACCCTAAACTTAGATGAACCTTGGCCCAAACCCTGGCATGTGGATGATCAGGCGACCTAAAAAGGCCTTAGTAGCTGAGCGGATGCACTTTCCACTTTTTGGGAGAATATGACCCACTATAAAACGAAAAGTTTAGAATTCTTGGGGGCTTATGAACTCAGCAACTAAGTATAACTACAGTAAGGAAATCCCAAAACAGTATAGGTAATCATAAAGGCCCCCTGTATTAGCAGGTTCTTTGATGGGACTCCGATGGAGCGGAGCCCCTAAGCCTTCCACCATCTTCAACCCTACAGCCTTACCTCTTGAACACCTGTGCTTCAAAAGCCTCCCACCCAAACCACCCGAGGCCCTTGAAGTCTTCACCAAATCCGTAAATGCTGGTGCTTGAGACTGAGCTCTGCTAGAATTTTCAATCACACCTAGACCCCAAACACCAAAAGCTATAGAACTCTAAACTCCCCGAGACAAGACTGTAAAAACCCTAAACCTTGAAACACATCTTTTGAGGTTCAGGAGATCTTGAAAAGAACCCTTATAGTGATAGTATAGAAAACCTAAACCCGGAACCCTGCAACTGTAGAGTACAGAACAATGAAAGCACTCTGGCTTCTCGGAGATCGGTTCCGAGTATAGAACCCAAGCCCCAATTAAATCCAACAGACGAAGATCCCGAGAGCCTAAATCCTTCAAAGACACGCACACCCTAAACCTTGAACCCTTAACCCTCAATCCTACAGATACCCTTAAAGAAGCGCTCGTTTGAGGAGCTCTTGGAGATCGGTTTCGAGTATAGGACCCTCAGACAAAAACCTTATAGCCGAAGAGCCACTTTTGCGCCCTAAACCCTAAACCCCTAAACTCTAAACCCCAAAACCCTCAACCCTAAAATCCTAAACCCCGGAACCCCTAAACCCTAAACCCCTAAACCCTAAACCCCAAAATCCACAACCCCTAAACCCCTAAACCCTAAACCCCTAATAACCCTAAAGCCTTTGAGGAGCTTTTGGAGATCGGTTTCGAGGGGGAGTTCCGGAGCATCGCCCTGGGCGCCCCGAGCCGACGCCTGCCTCCCTTCGGGCTCCTGGCCACCCTAAAGGCCCTCTTTGACGCGGTTTAGGCTTTAAAGGGAACTCCAGAAAGTTGGAATATGGAATGATGGTAGGATCCCCTATAATTTACCTTAAAAAAGAGTATGATAATGATATTCCAACTTTCCGGCTTCTACTGTAGGGTTTTAGGGTTTAGGTTTCTACAAGGAGGGTATAGGGTTTAGGGTTTCTATAAGGTCTTTTAAGGAGGGTTTAGCAGCTTCGGCCTTGGTTTAGGGTTCTGGATTTCGGGGCAGATCATTTTCGGATTTATATAATGGGGTTGTTCAATGCTTCTTTAGGGGTTCGAACCACAATGGCCTCTATCTGGGTTTTTCCCTAGGGTTCTACGGGTTCCAGAAGGGGTTTCTACAAGGTTCTCTGTAAGGGTTCTGGGAGGCTTCCATCTGGGTTCTATGCGGGTTAGGGGTGTATGGGTCCATGGTTAAGGCATGCAGCGCTGAGCGGCAAAGCATTTAGGACATTTTCAGTTTTATATTATGACAATTGTATAAGCTTTTTCCGGTTGATGGTTCGGGGTTCAGGGGTTTCAGGTGCGGGCGATGTCAGGGATACTATGCAGGGTTGCGAGCGGAGCGGTTTTTAAGGGTCTCGTGTCCGGTAGTGTCTTGCTTGCTCCGATGCTTCCGGGCTGCCAGATAGCTAAAGAAGGGCACGTAAAAGAGCGCTCGAAGCAGATTAAACGGAACCCTTTTCTATTTCTTGAAGCCGCTCCATTCAAGCCGCCGTAAGCCCGAAACACAAGCCAAAAAAAACACAGACGCCCAAAGCAACAACGCTAGACCCCAAACCCGAAACCCCAAACCCTACAGCCCAAAAGTCCTAGACCCCAATCCTAAAAGCGACCCTTGTAGAACCCTTATAGACACCTTATACAACCCTTCTAGAAATTTCCTAAGCTCCCTTTTTGACACCTTATACAGCTCTTCTAGAAATTTCCAAAGCTCCCTTTTCAGACACCTTATACAGCTCTTCTAGAAGTTTCCTAAACTATGTCGAGAGGACTTGGCCATCCTCTCTCCTTACTCGGGGCGAGCCTGTGGCGGGATGGGCGTCGACGTGGTGCGGATCCTGCAGCCGGGCGCAACCCAGAGACTCCAATATCCCTTCTTTAAGGAATATCCCTTAAATCATATTAGGGCTCCCTAATATGATTTAAGGAATATTCCTTAAATCATATTAGGGCTCCCTAATATGATTTAAGGAATATTCCTTAAATCATATTAGGGCTCCCTAATATGATTTAAGGAATAATTATTCCTTGAATCATATTAGGGGCTCCCTAACCTGATTTAAGGAGTATTCCTTAATTTAAGGGATCCTGCAGCCGGGTCCAAGCAGGGTTTGGGTGCCGGCGTAAGTCTGGGACTTGTTGGTTCTGGTTTGAAGGTTCAGGCAGTTCAGGGATTACTATAAGTACTACCAAAAGGCTTTAAGGCTTAGGGTTTAGGAGTTTGGGGGTTTAGGGTTTTTCAGTTCCGGTTTGGGGGACTTCAAGAAGCCTGAAACTCTGTGTAGTGTAGGAACCTGATCAAGAAACCTTGGGCCTTTCTTCTTTGAATCTTACTATTTTGGGGTTATGGGCGCAGGGTTTCTGAATCAGGTTCCTACGTTGTGTATTTGCGAGATTCTAGCTTTAGCGAGGGTGGTGGGTATGTTGTCGCATAGGGCATGCTGGACCGAAGCCTTGGGTATTGAGCATGTGCTTGGTGCAGCGGTGGTTCGTATTCGTAGCTGAAGTCTGGAGTTTGCTGGCGAGCAGCACTACGGAGCAAAAGACTTGATCATGTTCAAACCCCATGCCCCAACCAAACCCTAAGCCCCAAACCCGGCCCACCCTAAGCCTTAACCATAAACCGTATACCCTAAACCCTAAGCCCCTAAGGTTCCCTAAGCACCAAGCCCTAAACCCTAAACCCGAAGCCCGAGGCCTTGAATCCAGCTCGAAGCCCTAGGCTTTGATACCATAAACCCTAAACCCTAAGCCCGAAGCCCGAAATCCGCAGCCCTAGGCCCTAAAACCTAAACCTAAGCGCCCTAAATCCTCGGCCCTAGGCCCTGGAACCCTGAGCCCTTAGCCCTAAATCCAGCTCGAAGCCTCAAGCTACCGCCTTTCTGCGGCCCTCCGCCGAGGCAGCCGGTGAAGATGAGTCCCGACTGCCTTCTGCCCAACTTCCCATGGCTGCTAGGTTCTTCTCAAGGAGTTTAGGGTTTAGGGGTTTATGGGTTTTGGGTTTAGGGGCTTCGGGTTTAGGAGTTTAGGGTTTAGGGTTTCGGGTTAAGGAGTGCAATTCATTCAGCTGCCATGAAAAGGAAACCCTAGTATTTACTCTAGATCCCTTTTTCTGGTAACTTAACCGTAAGAAGGAGACGTATTTTTGGTTATAGATCCTTTTTCCTGGATTAAGGAAGCCCTACACTATAGATCCCTCTTTATGGTAACTTGCGACCCCAAACCCTAAACCCCCAAACCCTCAACCCTAAACCCTAAACCTTAAACCCCCAAGCCCTTCACGGCCTATAAGTTCTAGAAGTCCTTGGGAAGCACCCAGGCTGGGCCTGGCCCGCATGGGCGAGAAGTTTGCCTGCATCCTGCTCCTCGGACCCCCCTCCAAAGAGACTCCAATGCCTCTTAATTAAGGAATAAAGGGAACTCAAGGCGGTTCCTTTAAGGGGTCCCTTTATGGGCTCCTTTTTGCGGGTTTCGACTAGAATTCCTTTCAGGGGTCCTTTGAAGGGTAGAAGAGGGGCTTTGGAGTTCGGGTTTGGAGTCTGGGATCAGCCTTACCCAGAGACTCCAACACCCCTTAATTAAGCAATATACCTTTAATTTTTGTAGGATCCCTAATATGATTTAAGGAATATTCCTTAATTAAGGGATATTGGAGTCTCTGGGGAAACCGCCCGAGGCAAGCGAGCCCTTCGGGAAAAGAGGTCCTCTTGGAGATGCATCTTCCCGAAGCTCGGAGCGGATCTTAGGGTTTAGGGTCTAGGGTTTGGGGCTTTAGATTTAGGGGTTTAGGATTTGGGGTTTCCATTTTGTAGGGTTTAGGATTCAGGGTACTTCAGGGTTGCTTTGTGCTTAAAGGATTCTACAAGGGTTACAATTTAGATTTCGGAAAGGTTTGCGAGTGTTCAGTTTTCCTTGGTGTTACTATAAAGGTTATTATCAGAGCTTCCAGCTAACATGAGACGATTATTGGGGCTTCAAAAAGGGTTCGTGAAGATGCAGTTTAACAATTACTGCTACCAAAAAGGTTACAATCCCCCAGGAGATGTTTAGTAGTGTTTCTATACGGGTTACTACTAGGGATCTACAGTACAGGGTGAGCTTGTTTTCGCCATCGCTTTGCACGTTTTCTTTGATGGTCCAGTAAGGGTGCTTCAATGCTGCCAGAGGGGGTTGAAGGCTCGGGGTTTGTGGCTTTCGGCTTTAGGGGCTGATGCCTTAGGTATGGCCCCCACTCAGTAATAGTTGAATAATATTCATAATATAGATATAGTAGGACCTTAATAGTACCCCTATTATAGACTCTTACTGAGTGGGGGCCGTACCTAACTGATGCCGTAGAGTTTTGGGATTGACGGTTTGGGGCCAGACGTGCCACCCTAAGCCTCGACCTTTCCATCTTGTTCTGCTGTCCTGGTCTTGAAAACGTTATTCGTACGGTTGATGATACAAAACCTGCATTACCTTAAGGACCCTAAGGTATGAGAATTATGGTATATTCCTTATTATGGGTAATGCAGGATTTATATCATCAACCGTATCTTTCGTCGCTGTCTGTGCTTGTCTGCATCTGACATGTTGCAGGCAGATGATTTGGACGCTTTTACAGTTTAGTGAACTGTGCGTGTCTGGGGGGACGTGCACTGGCAAGTTCCGTAGTGTATATGAGCCCCAGCCCTATACCCTACATCCCGAACCCTCTTACTAACCCTAAACCCTAAACCCCCTAAAACCCAAACTCGTGGCCTCAGGATGCCCGGATCCTCGTCTGGGAGCCACTGGCTCTGCCTCTGGGGCACTTTCTGGAAGACCGCTCCGACGAGGAAGTCTCGGCCCAAAGCCCTTAGATCCCTCAGCCCTAACCCCTAAATACTAGACGGTTTGGGGTTTTAGGGTATAGCACCCTAAACCTCCTAAAGCCCTAATGTCCCTAAACCCCTAAAGCCCTCAAGCCCCAAAGCGCTGAAGCCCTAGACACGTAAAACCCCTACGTACACACACTTTTCTCTAAACCCTCAAGCCCTAACCCTCCCCGTCCCCGACCTCCGAGCCCTTAAACCCGGAACGCTAGACCCCTGCAGCCCTGAAGCTCTAAACCCCCCTACACCACCCTAATCCCTAAACCCTAGACCCTAAAACCTAAATCCCCAAAGCCTTGCAATGGGGCCTTTTTTTTTTTTTTTTTGGCTGGACCTCTGCAGAAAAAGGCCCCATTGCACCTTAAAAAAAAAAAAAGCCTTGTGAACGCCTAAACCCCCTCTCCGACGAGGATGTCTCCGCCGCCTTCGAGGCTGGGGGCTGTATCTCCGCCTCCCGGCTCGGGTTAGAATTCAAGGTTTAGGGGCCAAGGGCTTAGGGGTTTAGGGGTTGACTGGTTTAGGATTTAGGGGTTTATTTCGAGGCCAAGGGTTTAGGGGTTAGGGGTTTATGGGTTTGGGGTTGATGGCTCATGGTAACTGCATGGTAAAAGGTGGTTCCTGTGATTTCACAGTGTTGGCAGCTGTTGAAGCAGCTTGACCAAGCTATGGGCCAGAAGCATGGCGCGGCAACCCCCAAACTTACCTTTGGTTAGTAGGGAATGGAGGAATGGGGTACAATTATAACTACTATTACTACCATTCTTCCATTCCCTACTAACCAAAGGTAAGCAAAGCCTGACCCAAACTCTGAACCCCGAGCCCCGGAAGCCTCAAAGCCCTAAACGCAAGCCCTAAACCCTGAACCCCAAGCCCTTGCAGCCCTCACGTTTTTGCACACCATAAACTCTAAACTCTAAGCCCTAAACCGGCTGGACCTCATGCAGAAAAAGGCCCCATTGCACTTTACAAAAACCCCAAAAAAACAACCCAAACCCTAAACTCCAAACCCCAAAGCCTAAACCCTAAACCCCAAAGCGTAACCCCTAAACCCCAAAGCCTAAACCCTAAACGCCAAAGCCTAAACCCTAAACCCCAAACCCTAAACTCTCAACCCAAGCAAAGGCTTGGCAAGCAGGGCCTGTGGAGAGCGAGCGACGAGAGCAGAAGGTGCATGGTCGACGGCACCCGTTCCTTGTTGAGGATTTGCCGGAAGTCCTAATACTGTAGGGTTTGGGGTTTAAGGGCTTCAGGGTTTAAGAGTTTAAGGGTTTAGAGGTTTAGGGTTAGTCCTAATAAACTTTTGGGTACTTCTGTAGGGTTCACGGTTTAGTTTAAGGGTTTGGGGGTTTAGGGGTTCAGGGGTTTAGGGGTTTAGGGGTTCAGGGGTTTAGGGGTCTAGGGTCAGCTCCAAGAGTCCTAACTCCCCAAGCCCCCATCCCTAAACCCTGGTTGCAAAACCCCCACACATACTAAGCCCTGGACCGTGAACCCCAAGCCCACATAAGGCACAAAGTAAGCCCTTGGGAGTTTGGTGGGTGAAAATACGGCTCTGTGGGAACATTGGTGAGTGCATGTTGGGTCGGGCACCCAAAATCCTAGCATTTTCAAGCCTCAGTGCCCGCAACTCAAGCGACCCCTGTCGGAAGATCAGTCGTCTGCAGTGCAACTTGTTCAGATTATAGTCTAACTGTGTAGCGAGTCCTGCATTGCAAGACGAGACAGGGTAGTCTCCATGTAAAACAGTCTGGTTCACGATGGTAAGCAAATCCTCGGGAACTGTTTGAAGCATCGTCTTGCAAATTGGTTTCAAGTTGACAACGGACTTCTTGAGGCGTTGATCCCCCTGAACATCAAAGCCCCTAACCTCTGGAGCCGTAAACCTTGGACCCGAAGTCCTAAACCCTAAACCCCAGGGCCTAAGTCCTAAACCCTACAGCCTAAGGCCTAAGTCCCAAGCCCTAAACCCCAGAACCTAAGTCCTAAACCCGAAGCCCAATCCTGAAACCCCAAACCAGGGGTCCTCCGGTTGATGATGTAAATCCTGCATTACCTTAAGGAACCTAACGTATGGGAATTATGGTATTCCCTATTATGGTATGGTCCTTACTATGGTATATTCCTTATTATGGTATATTCCTTATTATGGGTAATGCAGGGTTCTTATCATCAACCGTCCGACATCCAAGGCTCAGACCCTAAACCCTAAGCCCCTAAACCCTAAACCCTAAGCCCCGACACCCAAGGCTCAGAGTGACGCTGGCAGTGCAGAGTAAGCCGCGAGCCTTTATCTTCCCGCACCAGGTGGAGGCTCGAGTTCAGCGTTTAGGGTTTGGGGTTGATGGCCTAAACTCTAAAACGTTTCTAAGTGGGTTTCTGGTGTGGGGTTCAGTTTTCTTTTTGTTGGTTTTGTTCTTTGGTTTTGGTCTTTGTTGTAGTGTTTCAACTGTTTTTTGAAGTTCTGCGAGGGTTCTGTAATATGCAAGAGCTATCTGGCGGTTTTGCGATGTCTAGGGCGGTGACAGCACAGACGTCTTGGAATGTCTGTAGAGTTTTCTGGCGTGTGCGCGTGTGCAGTTTCCACCAATGTTCAGAGTTCAAGCTTTGGGATGCGAGAACCCCTAAACTCCTAAAACCTAAACCCTAAAGCATAAACCCTTAACCCTAGACTCTAAACCCTAAACCGCAGGGAGCCCGGTCTGAGAAATTAGGGGTCTTGTGGCACAGGGGCTTCGATCGCAGGGTTGGCGGATCCCAGAGACATATCCTCTTGTTTTGAGGTCCTTCCAATACTTAGATAGCCAATGGGGGAACTTTAAACTTTTTAGCCTTATATATCTGGTTTATCTTAGAAAACTTAAACTTTTTTGGGCCCGATTATTGAAGGAGAGAGAATAAGGATCCCATTATTTGGGGTACCATTTGAGGGTCCCCCATTTTGGGAAACTCCCACATGAGGGTCCAGGTTTGCCAGAACTAGGTCACTAGGTCCAGGAGAAGTAGGAGAAGGAGCAACCTGGGTTGGGAGCACCATACTTGAATACTTTTTTTGGGTACCTGTTCCTTAAAGGAACCATTATGAAATACAAGTCTATACCTAGACCCTCCATCTACCCTCTATTAGACCCTAAATGCCCCTTATTTGGGACCATATACCCCTATTTGAGGGTACAAGGAGGGTCCTGATACTTTCTCCCTGGATACTTCAAAGTCCAGGCAAGAGCAGGAGCAGGCGAAGAATCGTCGCAGCAGTTCTACTCCTGCTGTGCAAGCAATAGCAATAGTAAGAAGCTATGAATTATCTCAAGGATTTAACCCAAATTCCTGGTTCGAACATCCGCCAAAAGGTATTTAGCCATTTACCCAACTCATCATAGTTGTACTAGCAGTGAGAACGACCAGTGATAGGGAGTGACAATAGCAACAGCGGCACCAGCTATGCCAGCTGCCGCACCACGCAACGACACCGCAGGCAATAGCAATCAAGAGCGCCAGCAATCATGCTTTTGAAGTTTAGTCGTCACGGAATAGCTTAGATGTTGCAGAGCTGTTTTCGTGTGTGTGTGTGACCCTTGAAAAAGCACATGTCATTGCATGAAACCTAAGCCCCAGAAACTAAATTCAAATGCCCCCGACTCTGCGCCCTAGTACCCAAAAGCCGTAAACCTCCATAGCACCCGTCTGAAGACCCTTCTAGTAAGGACTCCTTAAATTAGGAGCCTCGTAGAAACCTAAAAAGCACGTTAAAGCAGCCACCGGAAACCCTAAACCCTATAAGTCCCATATCCTAAGCCATCCGAAACTCCCGTTGAAGGGATTACTATAGGGTTCTACAATAGGGCTCCCTTTAAGGGTACTCTGGGGTTGTATGATAGGGCTGCCTTTAGAGGTGCGGATCCCTTAGAAGGAACCCTTCAGGAACCCTTCAGGATCCATTAAAGGATCCCTTATAAGAGCCCTTAAAGGTGCAGGACCTGGAAGGGGTCCAGAAACCCTAAACACTGAAGCCTGAACCCTGAACCCTAAATCCTAAATCCTCAACCCTAGACGAAACCCTGAGCCCTCAAGGTGCAGGTCCTGGAAGGGCTCCAGAGAGGAGCCCTTCGGGCACACCGGCAAGCTGGGCTTCTCTTGCCCTGGGAGGATGACGCTCGGCCGGGAGTTTAGGGGTTTAGGGGCCTTTTCGCGCTTTGGGGTTTCAGCATTTAGGGTGTGCTTAGGGGTGGGGTCTAGGGGTTTAGGGCTTAGGGGTTTAGGGGTTTAAGGGTTTGGGGGTATAGGGCTTGGGGTGTAGGGTTTAAGGGCTTTGGGGTTTAGGGTTTGGCGCTTGGGATATTTAGCAGTCTAGGGATCTAGGGGACTACTGGGGTTTCGCGATGAGGAGCGCCACATTCATCGGTGTCCACCGTGCACCGTAAGGTTCAGTACTTCGTTGTTCTCGCTCGATGAAGCCCCTCTTGAGAACTTCCACCCCAGGCCCCAGACTTTGTCACGTCCTCAACGGTCACGGCATGCAAGCAGACTGGAAAGTTGACCGGAAGTCAGAGCCATGGTGTGGAGCCTCTGGGGCTGAATCACGACTTGCATCTCAAGGATCCAGAAAGATGCTCTCGGCTTGCGCAAACTCAGATGGCGCAACAGCCCATCTCCGCGGCTGTGCCTGCGCCTGCTGCGGCACTCCACAAACATGGTTCAAGGACCACAAAAGATTCCCTCGACTGGTGCAGCTGCCAGACGCTGTGCGGGTGCATTGGAAGGAAGACTTGGATTTGCCGGCAGATGATGCCGATGTCAAGGGCGTTGCTGAGCACACCCCGGGCTGTGCCAACAGAGCAAGTCCGCTCCCTTTTCATGGCCAAGTTGGCGGAACGGTCCGAAGCTTGACCGCATTGATCTTAGGGCTCAGGATGAAGCAATCGTCATGCTTTGGAGTTAGACAAGACGCGCAAGGCGGACAAACGTGCGGAAGAAAAGAAGCGAAAGGAGGGAGCGGCCAAGCTGGAGAAGGCTGACCCCAGATTTTGCGTGGCATAGAATCAAACTTCTACATGTTGTCCGCAGAGGAGCTTGCTCCTGTGCGTGAGCACCTGCGAGACCTCATGAACCGCGAGCCAAAGGAGCAGGCCGCCTGCAAGCAAGGCCTCCATTCCTGAAGCATGTCCCGATAGCAGGAAGTGCTCATGCAGCACCTGCTCCTGAAGGCGAAGGCGCAAACATGCCAGAGCGACAGATTCCCACCAACCACCTCTTCCACCAGAGAGAAAGTGCAGTGGCAGCCTTGCAATCAACCTCAAGATCCAAGACTGAACTCAAGGAACACGAATCTAACCGGGATAGCAGCTCTCACAGCCAGCTTCAAGGAGGCCCAGGGCTACCAAGCTCCGAAGCAAGACCCGGAAACAGCGACTACAAAAGACGTGCGTTTTCAGAAATGCTCAACAGTACAGCACTTGCAGAAATTCTCAGGAGTGCAGCACAGGCTCTGCCTGGCTCATGTCCTTCAACCAAATTCTACACTTCGCTGCATCAACGGGAGCCCATCAATTTAATTTCGTTATGCGAGACGGCCGTTTACAACAGAAGTTGAGATGAAAATGAGAACAGTAGTTAGCAGATGCCCTGGGCTGTCAGCCCAGCCGGCTTAGCCGGTTGTTTGGCCCATTGCTGCTCAGCCAGTCTAGTCATCCCGGTCAGAAGACGGCGTCCGGAAGGGAAGTTCTGCAATTGTTTTTTCTTGAGTTCTGCGCCTTTCTTCGTCATGGTGTTTGCGCTTGACGAAAGCCGTGAACAGCCGGCCACCCCACGTATCGATGAGGTCGCCATCTGTGATCCGTCCAGCATGCCATTTCCTGTGCACTTCCGGCTCGACCAGGTGTGGGGCGCGAACTCTGCCTCGTCCGCCGCCATGTTCTCCTCCATCTCCTGGATCTCCGCACTGTCGTCGGAGTCCGTGCTTTCCTCCCCGGGCGCAGAGTCCTGCCGCCTCGGGTTGGGGATTCCTCGCGTGAGGACCCCAGCCGCGTGGGAGGGCAGGGAGCACTTGTGGCACTGCCTCCGGTACGAGAGATTCCACTCCTGGCACTGGGGGCAAAGCCACCCGGTTATTCGGATCGCAGCCGCCAGGGCGTTCCTGGTGGCCCGGCGCTGCTGGATCCGCGCGAGCTTTCGCTCAGCCGGCGCATCGCTTTTGCGAGTAGTTTTGTACATTGATGCCAAGCGTGAGCAAGGCATACTGTCTCGCAAGAGCCGATATGTGCTGCAGATGCTTCCCTATACCCCCTTCAGCCATCGTGGCATTCTGAGTGCCAAACGAAGGCAGGAGGAAAAAAACGTTGAACAAAAAATTTGAGACTCTTAAACGCTAAACCTTAAACCGTAATGAAGCCCTTAGCCTTAAACCCTAAACCTTAACCCCTAAACCCTAAACTTAAGCTGGGTGCCCTTTCCGGGTCTTCGGCTTTGGTAGCGTGGAGGCTTGTGGCTTGGAATTTCGGGATATAAGGGATGTACAAGGGTTTAGGCTTCAGGGGTTGATGAGGCTTTTTGTGGTCGGAAGGATAAGGTATTAACGGTCAGGGAATAGGGTCAGTGTTTGGGTTTGGGGTTACGGATTGAGGAGCCTCCTTCGTCGACTTAAGGGTGCCACAAACCCCTAGAACATCCTAGAACCGAACGCTTCCAAATCCTTACAGAACCCTGCGGACACCCTCAAACATGTGTTAAAGGCCCCATAAAAACCCAATATGGGTCGGAATAATTTAGTGACAGTAACATTATCCCGTCATGGTCCCTACAGAAACCCAAAGAATGTACCCCAAATCTGGTTCTAATGATTGAGACCCATTATATTGTACCGAATTCCACCACCTTGCGCTCATAGAGCTGAGGTTGACTTGCGCGTCGTGCTGCGGGTGGGTGCTCTCCGCGTCTTTCAGGCTGCCGGCTTAGGATCTCAGAGCAAATAATATGTACATATATACATATGTATATATACATATATGTGCATACTTGTATATGTATACAGATAACGTATGTATGTATGTATGTATGTACGTATGTATGTATGTATGTATGTATGTACTCAAGGTGTGGATTTTGGCGTAACAGTGGCCTGGGAGGTTACACACGGGGTTATGAGTAAACTTCCACACACGAACCTACTTCGCACCCCGTTAAACCATTGGATCTAAATCCGCAATCCTGGATTCCGCACCCGAATTACCCATCAAACCTTCTTTTAACCCTTGTAGGGCCCTGAAAAAACCCTATCAGAAGTAAGACAGGTCAGTCGATTGATCGGCGACACCTTAGGCGTGGAGGAGGCCCGGGTGGATCCGCCACATGGCACGACTGGAGAGGGGCAGGGTTTGTATGCTATAGCGAGGGCCTTAGTAATTAGAGTAGGTTTCTTGGCGGTGTTGTACCATTATAGTTGTATTTGGGGCAATAAGGGAACACGAGGAGCAATGATTCCGACCCGTTTTCTACCGCGTTTACAAGGTCATAGGGTGTTACGAGTGGCTTTGAAAGGGGCTGAGTTCGACATCTAAACTTTCTGTATACCCGGACATTGGGGGCCCAATAAGGATAATCACCCCGAATCTTACATGCCGAACCCTGACTGTTCGCATAGGTGGGGCCCTTTCTGCGTTTTCCGCAGAGGAGAACCCCCCTGATTTCGGATTCGGGCCTTACAAACCGGAAATCCCTCGAGCCCGAGACTTAGACCCCCTACCGAGGCACCAGCTACATCTCCACCTCGGTGCAGTTGCCAGGTGGCCCTGCGTGGCCTTCTAGGGTTGTAGGTTTAGGGTTAAGGGTTTAAGGCTTTGGGTGTAGGGTTCAGGGATTTATATAGGGCCTTTTGCCGAGCCTTTCAGCACAGGCCCGGTTGAAATTGGGGCTGAACTGAGAGCCTAAACCCTGAACGGGGTTTACCATCTCCACCGAAAGTCAGGGTTTCAGTTTAACAAACAAACGGGTTGCTGTAAAGAGTCTGTGGTCTTCAGACCACCCAAGAGGAGTACAGGGTATAGGTGCCGCAGCTCAGGTTCCATGTTAGGGCAGCGTAGGGAGAGGAAAACCTCTCTGGGAAGACAGAGAAGCCCTGGGAATTTTTCGAAGCAGCTTGCGCATGATCCGGCTCAGCATTCACGCGGGTCCATGGGTTTAGGGGTGAGTGATTTGCACTTCAGATGGCAGGGCGCCATGCTTGCATCATATAGGGGCTTTAATAACTACCAATACTATTTTGCTGGTTCCCTCTTATAATTATAGTATAATGGGCCCCAAAACCCTATTCTAATTACTGAGGCCCCTATATTAGTGCTCTCAGGGTCTAGAGTCTAAAGCCTAGGATTCAAGGTTTAGAGCCTATGATTGGCGGCTACCAGAGATGGCGGAGTTGGACTGTCTGAAGCCTGGTTTAGGTGGGATAGATGTAAAACACCCAAAACCCTAAACCGATGAGGCCGATACGGAGATGCATTCATGGGTCCCAAGAGTACGCCACCCTTACAATCAAGGATCCTCCTCAGCACAAGGGGACCAATGTAGCTAACTATCTTTATGGATTAATTAACACTAACTTTCCATTGATATTGGAGGAGCTAAGGAGCCAGGGATGATGATAATCCCTATTAAATAAGGAGCTAAAGAGCCAAGGGAGCCCCAGAACCACTGGTTAGCTAAACCCAGCCAAACCGATTTCAGAAACACTAAATCCTAAACCCTGCGCGCAAGCTGCCGCGAGCTGAGAGCAGCTTTAAAAATCCCCTAAACCCTAAAGCCTAAACCCTAAACCCTAAACCAACACAGGTGGGACTCTCCCGGGTTTGTGAAGAACTTCTCCGTGACTTGGACGTGTGTGAGGGGTTTAGGGCTTAGGGTTTGGGGGTTTTGGGGTTTAGGGTATTGGCGTTAACGTAGGTTTTTGCGTGGTTTCGCGGGGCTTAGGGCTTGATTTCACTAGACTTCAACCGACCATTCGATTGATTTTGGTGGTCAAGGCTCTAGCCGCTCGTGCTCGAGGAATGTACATTTTAGAATCAACCTGGGATTGTGCATGTACTAGATTTCGATTTGGGATTAGCTTCAGTTTCCCTTCTGGTTTAATACAGAGCCCGAATGCTCAATTTTTTGGGTACTGTTGAAATCGACACTTAGCATAGGGTTCGAGGCTCGAAAGCATTAAACTGACATGTGGTCGGCTGATCTCGAGCGGGGTATCTCGTGTCTCGCTCCATGACTAGATGGCTCTACAGTACTTGGAGGTTCATGGGGAGTTATAAGTGGGGTTATATATAAGTAGGGTAACTATAGTTATAACCCATATGAGGGGACTTATAACTACCCGTGAACCTCCAAGTAAGCTTTGTGCTTTGGAGTTGCTGTGTTTTGATAGGCCGACAGGCTGACCCAACTCCCGAGCCCTGAGCCCACAAAGCCGCAAAAAATCGAAACTCAAAAGCGCCCAGAACCTAAACCAGCTTGAAAGTATCAAGTGCGATCTTGAGATGGAACCCTCAAACCCCATGCCCTAAATCCGTAATGCAGGGGTATATCATCATAAGGAAACCACCAAAACCCTATTTTATTTATTGAGGCCCCTACATTACATCCAGGTGATCGTCGACCCGGGCCGGAAGACGCTCTTCTCTCGCCCCTGGAGGGCGGGGGATGCACACGGGCCGCCTTTTCGAAACCGGGCGGCACTAATATGGTTAGGGACCCCAAAAGGACATAAGCATAAGCATTTTACAGGGATGTCCTTGCCTTACTGGGCTTCATGATAAGGGGTTTTATATGGGATATCACTATCCCTGTCCTGATTTCTGTGTATGTGCTTTTCGGGGGCCATGACGGGGCGGTAAAAATTTGACAGTATTATTCAAAGATAGTGTCCCAAACAAAACCTCGTTCTAGTTATGGAGGCCTCTACATTACCGGGTTTGGGGGTTAGCGAAGTCTTGCCTCCAATACGGCCACCCGTACCGCTATGATTACAATGATTGCTAAGGTTATGATGATCATCAGCGTTACCTATCCAGGCCTAAAGCGTGATGCCCCGAACAGTCCTACAGTCTGTGTTCGCCAATGCTCTGACCCACTGAAGCCTGGCGGAATCCCAGGTGACGATCATGATGTGGAGTTGGGGCAGGACTTGCGGCGGTCCGCTCTGAATCGTGGTGCCCTTTATGGGACCTTATACTCTAGGCCCGAAGCCCCGAACCCCAACATCATAAGCCTCGTAGTCTTGCTCCGAAGTCCCAGGCCTTTTTTGGGGGACTTCGGGCTTGGGGTTGAGGGTGAGGGGTGAAGGGTTTTGGGCATAGGGGGGGTAGAGCTATCTAGATGATTTAGTGTCGGCTGGTGGGTAAGGTTTCATCATCAAGCCTCCGAGTGGTCGTGGGCATACACATTGGGGCTTGCTGCGAGGTGCCTTTTCTACAGGCGTTGACTGAACCAAGAAGGGAATGCGGTTTAGGGTTTAGGGTCTGCAACTAGAGCCCGAAAGCCACAGAATCCCACGATCCAGCGCACCTCGTCATCTGTGAAACTGAACCCGTACTTAAAGAAGCAGGGGGTTGTAAGTCAGGCTCACGAAGTAGTCATGATAACTCCCATTACGCAGGGGCACTTATACCTTCTACGTTCCACTGATCCTCGAAGTACTTGGAGGTCCATCATGAGTAGTTATAGAATGGAGTTATAAGTCCCCTACTATGGGTTGTACTTAAAGTTACCCTACTTCTCACCCTACTTGTAACTACCCATGAACCTCCAAGTAGACCCTTAACCCTATACCCTTATGGAATCCCTATAGTACCTATAGATCCCTCTAAAGGGACCCTTAAAGGAACCCGTATAACTACCCATGAACCTCTAAGTTGAGGACCTGCCCCCTAGACTTCCGGGACCTGGAATCCCCAAGGCGAGCCCTAAACCGTCGGTAGGATTCTTTTCAAGAATTCCATAAGGGTTTAGGGTTTTGGGTTTTGGGTTTCCATAAGGGTCTGAGGCTCTAGAAGGGGCTCAAGATGGGGCTCTACAGCGGTTTCCACAAGGGTCTGTGAAAACGAATTCTCTAAGGGCTCTGTACGAAGCCCAGCCTTCGTGGTTTTCCCAGAGCATGCAGGGATTCTCTAGATCCTGACCCTAAGCCCTAAACCCCAAACGCAGAACCTTAAACCCCAAACCCTAAGCCTTAAACCCTACTTTTGGGGCAGTGATAACTACCTGTACTATTGTGGGGGTTCCTTATTACAAGTATTGCATAATGGGCCACGAAACCCGATTCTAATTATTAAGGAGCCTATACAAACCCTGGGCCTGGGCCAAAGATCTGCACCCTAAACCCTAAACTCTGACCCTAAACTCTAAACCCTAAGATCTGCGCAGGACGAGCTGGGCTTGGATGGGAAGGAGGAGGCACGCCTCGGCGGGCGAACCCTTTTTGAGTCAGGGTTCAGGGTTCTGGCTTTAGTGAAGGGGCTATAATAGGGTCCCCTTCAAGGACACGATAGGTTACTTTGGAGTTTCAGGGTTTAGGGTTTCAGGGTTTGGGGTTTCGAGTTTTATTGTGCTTGTTCTAGGCTTTAGGGTTTCAGGTTTAGGGTTTCGGGTTTCATTGTCTTTGGTCTAGGGTTTGGTTTGGGGTTTAGAGTTATGGGCTTAGGGTTTAGGGACAAGCAAAATCCTACCACAGTGGAAACGCTGGCCTTTTCTTGGGCAGGGGAGTCTGCTCAGGTCTGGGACAGGAGAGTCTAAGGGTTTAGGGATTTAGGGTTCAGGGTTTCAACCCGGCTCCCTAAACCCTAAAGTTACTTCGTTTCTGAAAAGAGTATGGCGCTATAGCATTTACATGCCACGATTCCCAGAGACTCCAATACCACTTAATTAAGGAATATTCCTCAAATCATATTAGGGATCCTACCATAGTTTAAGGTATATTCCTTAATTAAGGGGTATTGGAGTCTCTGGGTTGGCCGACATGTTAATTCAGTTTGGAGCCATCCTCAGTTTCGTTTCGAAAGCTGCTGTGTTGGATGACAGTACTCGCATATTCTCGTACGGTACAGTACAGTACCGTATAGTACATGATATAGGGTAGTAGAGTACATTATCACATAGTAGAGTATAGCACTTCATTCGAAAGCATAGTATAGTACAGTGCAGTATCGCAAAATGTAGAAATTTATCGCAGAGTATAGTGTTGCAGAGCAGGGCAGGGCAGCAGAGGAGAGTCCAGTCCAGTAAAGAGTAGTACAATTAGGAACACAGTTTTGTATTATTTGTTGCCAGGGTTGCTCATCTCCTCGTCGCGCAATCGAGGTTTTACGTTCTAGGGTTGTGGTGCTTCTCCCTCCAGATCTGATATCAGAGCAGAAGCAGTAGTTTGACAGAGTAGTGCATGAGGGAAGTTTGTAGTAATCATTAGTAGTCGTAGTATGGGCACAAGAGTCAGCAAGCCGCCTAGGAAAATTCGGGTCCATACCTTGGGTGCTTTTATGGGGATGCTGGCCATGGAAATCATGCATCAATTTTCGAATGTATAGTGCCACTGCCCATCCTCCATGTGATGTATTGACTCTGATAGATGGGTGGATAAACAGATAGACAGTCGACAGATAGGCAGACCGAGAGATAGATCGACAGATGGATTCGTCGATAGATGGGTGGATAAGGTAGATAGATACATAGATAGATATAGATAGTTACAGATGAAAGGATAGATAGAGTCACTCGTGCTTTTACTGTCGTTGTTTCGTGTAGTCTTCGGTTAGTATGCTTTAACTTGCCTCTGAAGCCCACAGCCCTGTACCCTGTAGCCGGTCAGCCTGTGCACTAAACAGAGTGTACTCTAAACCTCGAATCCGAAAGTTTTAAACTAGAGCATTGCTGCTCCTGGTTAGACCCCCGACCCCAAACCCCAAACCCCAAGCACAAACCACGAACCCTAAGTTTCCGGAAGGAAGAGCACTGCGGGTCCTGGCTTGCAAACTGCTGCTCCTCGCATGCTGCTCATGCCAAGCAGTCACTTGCGGGGCTTCAACCGCTGCGGTCGATGACGCCTCTGGGATCGAAAGATGAAGACAAGGGCTCAATATATTATACATATATACATATATATATATATATATGCTCTAAGCCCTAAACCCTTAGCCGTCAAGGAAATTAGGTTTATGAACCCCGTGGTTTAGGTTTATGATTTATGCTGTGTTGTGCAGGCGTCTAGGGGTTGTGGGGTTCAGGGTTTAGGGTTGTGGGGGTTGTACTGCAACGGTGAATGAATAAGAGAAAGTCTTGGTAGATTTTTCTGTCATGGCAGTGGAACACAATAGCACCAGAAACAGCAGTGTAAGAATGGAGTGCTGGTGCCATAGAACAGCATATGAGTACCTTGTAGGATCGCAGAATGGTGTCATCGTGCCGTCATCTTGAAGTGACCCCGAAGCATGAGCACGGTCCGACTTTGGGTTTAGGGTTTAGGGTTCAGGAGCCAGCTGTCCTGGCGTGACGTTGCAAGCCAGTTGCTAAGGGTTCAGGGGTCTTGGGGCCTAAGGCTGCGGGGGTTTTCGGATTTCGGGTTTAGGGTTCGGATTCTTGGCCTATGGCGAAGAAGTCGTTTGGGGTTCCAGAGTCGGATTTGGACTTTGGCTCCGCAGTCGCAGCATACGGAGAGAGAGTTTGGGACTCTGTTTCCTTTGCTTTTGTTCAAAATGTTGCTGTCATGGACCATACCGCAGTATCTTTTGATGAGAAAGGAGAGGTTTTCGGCCCTTAGCCCTTATTGAGGTCGGAGCTTCTCCAGCTCTCCGAGATTCCGTCCAAACAGAGCTTCTGTGAAGTCTCCTTCTGGGCAGTGAAGGACCCCGTTACATCCTAAACCTCAAAGCCTAAAGCCCTAAACCCAAACCCCCTAAACCCCCAAAATCCCAAACCCTAGGCCCTAGAACCCTGAACCCACTAACATCCTGAACCCCTAAACCCTTGAAGAGCCTCAATACCCGGCTCCCTCTTGCCCTAAACCCTAAGACTACCGGGGCCGGAATTGGAACAGGATTTTGGGTTAGATTATATCACGGCTGGATTTTGGGGTCGATTAAATCATAGCTGCAAGAATGGACCCCAAACTAGTATTGGAAATTAACCTTGAGGCCCCTATATTACCTCAAATTCAACCCTAAATCCCTGAACCCCCGAAACCCTAAACCCCACTACCCATGGAAGCTGTACGATCTGGGCTGCGCAGGAGCGGGAGTTCAACGCACGATTCTTTCTGCGCGTGGGGGATGATTGGCCACTGGGCTGGACTCGGCTGCAGCATTTAAGGGGCCGAAATAATTGGAATCGTGTTTTGGGGCCCATAAGGCTACAATGACTTGTAACAAGGAACCACCAAAATAGTGTTGGTAATTATTTAGGCCCCTATGTTAGGGCTTAGCGCGGAACCCTCAACCCCCAGCTTTTTTTGGGGTTCCAACTCTCAGGATTTATGCTGGTGTTGCCTTAAATCAAAGGAGCCCAAGCCCACAGGTATCACAAGGTGACGGCGAAGCCGGCAGACTTGCGCTGAGAAGCCGGGCTTGCTCACGGCCCTCATCAAGCTGCAGCAAGTCTTAAGCCGGGCGAGACCCGAAGACGGCTTTGTTTTCAGTTGTTTTTGGGGTTCAGGGACCCTAAACCCTAAACCCTGAACCGCTTCTATCAGGAGTTGTTAAGTATTCGAGTTTGTAGGAGTTCAACCGCTAGAGAACCCTTCTAAAAGCCCCAAGATTGGAATTCCCGCGCAAGGGGCACCACACCCCGTTTTGTAGCCACCTTACTCGAAAACCCAAGTCTCGAAGTCCATACTGCACCCTGTTGTTTAGGGTGGATTTAAGCGACTCCATCTTTGTACATAGTGTGGCGTGCATCCAAAGTGATGCTGCAACTTCTGTCAAGATGGCAGAGTTGCAAGAAAGCTCTCGTGTCGCATGGAAACGCTCTGAAAGCAGGCAGGGCGCAGTTGCTTCCATCCGCTTGAGAGTTTCGGAAGTCATAATTTAATTATGGATGCTGAGAGTTTAGGATGCTAATTCAATGAGTACCAGCGGTAGATGTTAAGTGCCGAAGCCTTAGTGTTGGTGTAAGGGTTAAGGTAGCGAGAGCGGCTGCTGGGGATCATACTAAAGCTGATTTGAGTTACCATGGTAACATGGATCTATCGTAAACAACATGGTTTCTCTATTATGGTATCTTAAATTGTTAAGATCCTTGACAAGAGCCCTGTGGAGGTCTTTACCCCGAAGAGGGGAGATGCAGGCCCCTGATCCCATAAACTGTCAGCCTTAAGCCCTAAGCCCTAAACCCTAAACTAAAGCCCTAAGCCCAAAGCCCCAAGCCCCGGAAAAAGAGAGGCGATAGCCAAAAACCCAAACCTGGACCGCAAAGTGCCAGAAGCCACGCCGTCTTCATCCAGAAGAACATGCTTTAGTTAGGGTTTTAGGGCTTTAGGTTTTGCCAACTTCCTAGAGATTTTGGGAGTTCAGGGTTTTTGGCCTGATGCCTGGATCTCCTCTGTTGGTGGGGCAGCGCTTTGGCTTAGAGCTTCGGCGTATCCGAGGAGGACATTGCCATGTAACGAATGCCATGGGGCCCCAAATAAACTATGTCATTGTGCAACACACCTTAATCTTCACGCACGTGCATAAGGACATACGTGCATACATACAGACATACGTACTTGGTTCCGTCTATGCTTCGATCGTGAAGCTACTCTAAAGAGAAGCTGTTTGACCAGACGTGTCGATATTTGGTGTGGACCGCCACGGTCTGCGAGCAGAGCATATAATATCACCTTAGTAGCTGAGTGGATGCACTTTACACTTGTTGGGATAATATTACACTCTATAAAACTGAAAGTGTACACTTTTGGGGGCTTATGAACTCAGCAGCTAAGATCGCTGATACATCCCACGTCCTGCTCCACATCTCCACATTGAACGATGCAGTAGTCTACACAAGACAGGCATGGTTCCTTCTGCTTTCTTCAGCACTTTGCCGGTCTGGAAAGCAGCATGAGTTGCAACCTAAACCCTAAACCCCAAACCCTAGACCCTCGAAGATAAGCGCATGGAGCTTTGTGCCCATCAGCTGGCCTGTTGCAATGGCGGCCAGACACGTTTGCCTGTTCGCTGTGCTGGCGGTGGTGACCTACATTCTCGTCGCTTGCCCGTCTAGTCTAGGTACCACGGTTCAGGGGTTACGAAAATCAACCTAGTGTGCTGGTGCTTCGACCGGCGGCTGGTTGCCAACACATTTTTCCAAAGCTCGATGGGGGGGTAGCTTTGGATCCTGTGCGTTGCAATTCGTTCCTAACAAAGACATGTCTGGACAAAACCTGCACCCTAAAGTCAGGAGCCCAAGACGTGAACCTTCTTGTTTGCAAAAGCAAGTTCTGAACCCTAAACCCGAAACCCTTAACCCTAAACCGCATGACACGGGTGGGTGGCGCAGGCTGACCGCTATGCCGTGTCGGACATCATCCCCTTCACGATCAGGCGAGGGACTGATACTGAAGCTTAGGACTTAGGGATCACGGACCTAGATTCAGCCCGGAAGCCCCAAACCCCAAACCCAATCCTAAACCCTAAGCCCTTAACCCCAAACCTTAAAGCCGTGCTCAAGATGCGTCACGGTGGCAGTGACGGGTCAAGGGTTTCTGGGCTACAGCGATGTGATAAAGGGAAGGTGCAGATCATCTTCTACATTGACATGGCGGTAGGGCATAGGACATGGAACCTGCCTAGAGGCTACATAAGGCTGCTCTATAAACTGTAAAACCGCAAATTCCAAATGTTCAGAGCTTTCCCAAAATCCTAAACCGTGTAGTCTGAACGCACGTCCTTTATCTACTTCTTCACTTTTGAAAGCAAAATTTGGATGCTTGAGGCTTTCCCGCACTGTTGATTCAGCCCAGCTGTCTCCGTGCCTAAAGCCCACCAGGCTAATGCCAGATGTCACCTGTATGCTTAACACTTTTTGGATGTGCGGCTTCGAAGGTTCTAGGTCAGATAGGAGGGAACGTAAGGGTGCAGGTAAATCCTGCAATCTTGCTGCTGTTGTGATTACTGCTATTGCAGATGATCAGCTGATTCCTCAGGGTTGTGCTGTGCGTGATGTTTCTGCTCGCTGGTGAGAGTCAGGGGAGTGTCATCATTCAAGCGATAGTCAGATACATAAAGGAACGGTTATGTTTTTCAGTGGTAAGTAGCATTCTCAACTGAGCAATTTCAGTTTTTGCGCTCTTGACTTGGCATATTGTAGTATATCCTCACACCATCGTTGTTGTCACTATCACTGCCAATATGGGTACTACCATCATGATGGGTATATGGCTGAGTTTTACTCGTGATTCCAAGTACGCTGCTATGACCACCGCTACTGCGGCCAGCACTATTTAGTTCCATTACCGCCATGACTATCGCCATGACTGCGCCTTGCTTGCTGTGATTATCGCAATGATTGTGATGATCACTCTGTGACTGTCATATCATCGTCCTTGCTCCCGTAGTCCGAATTTGATGCAATTCTGTTACTCACTTGTACTGTTGTCGCCATTGTTGTTGGGGCCAGCATGTACTTCGTAGTATGGCAGCATATGACAGCTATAGTCGTGTTAGCATGTAGGGTTTGATAACTCCCGCAAAGTCCTCAAAATTTTGTTAGGGGCCTTAATAATTACCTGTACTATTTTTGGGGGCTCCTTGTTATGATTATAGTACAATGGGCCCCAACACCCAATTATAATTATTAAGGCCCGTGTAGTATAAAGCCTAAGCCTTGCTTGCCAGGCTCACCCAGCTGGGCGCGCCCAATATGTCTAGGCCTCAGGAAACGATCGCAGGGAAGGTTTTCGCAAGCTCCTGGCAGGCTCCGGCTTTTGCGGTTAGGGTTTAGGGCTTTGGGGTTTAGGGTTCCGGGTTTCAGGCTTAGGGTTTAGGGCTTCAGGATTCAGGGTCAGGGTTTAGGCTTTAGGGCTTAGGGTTTAGGGCTTTGGGGCTTAGAGTTTAGGGCTTCGGGGTTTCGGGTGTAGGGCTTTGGGGTTAGGGTTTGGGTTTAGGGCTTATGTCTTTGGGGGTAAGGTTTCAGGTTAGGGCATGTTTGGTGTGAGGGTAGACATAGGAGCCGCAATGAGAACCAATGTTATTACTTATGCTTCCGGGGATAGCAATCGCAGTTCAATTCTTCAGGCCCTCGAAGTATAGATACCCCAAAACCCTACTCTGAATCTGAAGCCCCCTCGTTTGAGGTTCATGGATAGTTCTAAATGGAGTTATATGTCCCCTAACATGGGTTGTTGCTATATATACCCTACTTATACCCCTCGCACTTAAAACTACCCATGAGCTTCCAAGTACTCCATATGGGTTGAGGGCTTCGGGGTTGGGGTTTGAACGTACGACACTCGAATCCTTCTGGCTGTTGATGACGCTCCGGCCGAGAACCCACCACCGGTGAACACTACGACCATGTTTGTCATGACTCCGTCGCCCTACGAATCACCGGCGACCAAGATTGCCAGCCAGGCAGGAGGCGAGGTTGACACGTACGAACTGACGACGGGGGTGCAAGCAGGACCGTGGTTGGTTGCTCATCATCTCCCGTTGTCGGCAGGATGGGCACGGCGATGGCGATGGGTGGTGTGACGGGAACTGCCAACGGCAAAGTGTACATCCAAGTTCTTCGCGCCGGGGTGGAGCGCCATGGTTCCATGAAGAAGTTCATTGATGGCAACGCAATTGCCTCTACCTTGTTCAGCTTGGTGAGCTCGGCAGCAGCGTCTTCCAAGCCCAGCTTTCTGGCCTCCCTGACATCCGGCCAGACCTACAAGGGCCGACCGAAGGCGAACAATGCATGTCAAGTCGAGAATTTGGACCTTGAGAGTCCATGTTGGAACCTAAATCCTGAAGCTTAAAATGTGGGGTTCAGGGTTGTCAGGCTTTTTGGGGTTTAGGAATTTCAGGGTTCAGGATGTTTCGGGATTAGGGATTCTTAGGTTTCAGGGTTCTGAACAGTTGATAGTAGTATCTTGTGCATATCCCCGTGTAGCTCCTACATATATATTACATAACAGTTTCTATGAGTACACATTTCTCTTAACCCTACACCGCCAAAGCCCTTGTGTCCTGCACCAACCCTAAACCCCAAATCCTAGCGCCATAAAACCCCAAGCCCTTAAGCCTTAAACCCTAGACCCCAGACAGTGGTCGGCTTTTTGTTTCCAGGTTAATAAAGGTAGCAACAACAATGAGAAGAATCGGAGCTGAGGACTCAGCATCTGGATTTTGTCATGCACGGCTTATGGCGGACAGTTTTGGACAGTTTGGTCCTGTGGGTGTTCTTCTGCCTGAGGGTTTCGAGTTTAGGGGTTGGTGTGGGATTTAGGAGTTCTTCTGCTTGAGGGTTCAGGGTTTAAATTCAGGGGCTGGGGTTTGGATGTTGGTGTTCTTCTGCTAGACGGTCTCATGCAATCGTGGCTGAGGGGCGCGCGGCAAGATGTGGGCATATCGACAGCACCGGCAGCGACAACAACGTCTCGGTGTGAGCCTTACGCAGCCCAACAACCCTAACCCCCAAAACCCTATGTACTCCAACGACCCTTCAGCTGGTTCAGTGAACCTAAACTGTAACTCGTAACTAGTGGCCCTGACATTGACATCCTGAACCTGAACTCTTAAGTTCTCGTCTAAGCCCCAAGGAAGAGACTCAACCCGATAGGGGTGGGGGGGCCAAGGATCGAAGTTCAGGGCTTAAGGGGGTAGGACCGGCTAGGGTCACTAAGCCCTAGACCCAATCTGCTCTGAGACCCCAAATTGAAGAAAGGTTCGGCTCAAATACAACATCCGGCAACATAGAATACTACATTTTTCTGCGGCAGAATACGGTACAGTGTAGTATAATAGAGTTCGCAGTTTAATGTACCCTACTATGCTATAACATACTCCAAGATGATTTAGTACAGTCTCATCACACCGTTCACACAGTAGAACAGAGCAATGTATAGTGTAATATATCATCAAACAACACAACGTAATAGAGCATACTCCGGCACGGCATAGGGTAAAGTATGATAAGATAGCATAAGGTAATATTCTATGAGCATGAAATGCAACATAATGAATAACGTGGAATAAGATAGACAACATAAAATCTAAGAGCATTTCCCATCATATCATGTCGTATCATGCCGTGCCATCTCATCTCATGCAGCATAATATAGCCTAGTATAGTGTATTATAGTACAGCTTATTACAGTACCTTAAAATATTGCAGCACATCATATTTATTCTGATGCCACGTCATATCATGCCGTGTTATATTGTATTTGTATGTAGATAGGTTTATTGTATACAAAGAGATAACTCCATGAACAAGATACCATCATAAGCTTGCATAGGGAACGCTGAAACCGGTTAGAGCCTTGATAGTCGTATGTCATGATCATCAAACTGTCCTCTGACGGCCCCTATGTCACCATCCGAAGTTCAGATACACGTGTGAAAGATCACCCTGCAGATCACAGTGTCCGTCTGTCGGGGCATCTGAATAAGTGGCCACAGAAGGGCTATATCATGTGCACTTGGTACAGGGGCGATATTTGCAGTCCTCCGATGTCACGGCATGCAGAAATTGCACAGAATGCCAGAGCGTGAGGCAGAGAGCGAGAGAGAACATTGAGTGAATCGTTTCGCGGAATGTGGATCCACTATTACACCGCCCTTACAGTGAGATAGCGATGAAGATCGGCCCTAAATGGAAAACCCGCCCATGTAAGTCCCGTGCAGGGGCAGGCCCCGAACTTTGTTGGGCTGTTTGCAGGTGACCGGCTTATTACATGTTCAAGGATGGTCTCAACCTTGTTCTCGAAACCCTAAGCCCTAAACCCTAAACCTTGAACCAACCCTAAAACCCTAAACCCTAAACCTAAACCCTAAACCCCTAAACCCTAAACCCCAAAACCCCTAGGCCCGCTAGGCCCCAGCTAAACCTTAAAGCTTTAACGCCGCATCCAGGCCGGAAGGGGCGCTGTTCACGAATGCCCCACGGCAGGCCCCGTACTGGAAAGTTCAGACTTCCTTGGGCTCCTTTGGGTTAGTAGGGTTACTATAAGGGCTACTATAAGGGTTCCTTTTAAGGGTTATACTATAGGGGGGGCTATACTTACCTTTGGTATGTAGGGAATGGAAGAATGGTAGTAATAGTTGTTATACTTGTACCCCGTTCCTCCATTCCCTACTAACCCAAGGTAAGATCAGGGTTCAGGCTCCGAGGAGAAGTTTTGGGGGTTCAGGGTTTGGGGGGTTTAGACGTTGGGGAGGGCGTAGGGTTTTCGGGCTCAGAATATCAGGGTCCGTGGACCACCAAATACGGCGTAGGGGTTAGGGCGGAATGGTGTGGCAGCTGATTCGCTTTGCCGTCCTGACCATGGGGCAGTTGTTAAGCATAGAAGCCTGAACGACTACAACATGTAATATGAGAGAGAGAGAGAGAGAGAGAGAGTGTGTATATATATATATATATATATACATCCTGGTTATAATTGTCGTACAACATACCCCAAACCCTGCTCTGATTCTTGAAGCCTGTCTATGAATATATGTGGGTAGTAACGCGCATAGAAACCCTTTATCCCAATAAACCCTTGAAAGGAGCGCCGTTCTAATTATTAAGGTTCGTGTTTAGGGAAATGTGTAACAAACCTGAAATCCCAAAAGCACCCAAATCTCATTTTCGGCTGTGGCGCAAGCTCCCTCTATTGTTTAACACATCTTTGGTTCAGGCTTTAGGGTAGATTGACGACCGATATTGTTCCTTCTCGTTATGAGAATCATGGTATGACATCACCCCGAAGCCTGTTTCTGCATTCGGAGCCTGTAGTAGTAGGCATGCTTCCTGATGTTCGTCAAAGAGTGTACAGGATCCGTCTATTCCGACGTCTATATCCCTGGGTAAGGGGTGTTGGTCTCTCTGGTTCGTGTGGCCTCAGCGGAGTTTTGGTGGTGAACTTCGTTCGTAAAAAGGCAGCGTAAAAGGACAGCAGGGTTGAAGCGTGACAAACCAAAGAACCGGGGTTCTTGTTAAGGGGTTTGATTTAAGTTGCCAAATAGGGATCTATAGCAAACGATATGGTTTCCTTACTAATTATAACTTCGTCCGTTAACATGAACCCAGGAACAAGGCACCAGTTCCACAAGTAGACGAAGACAACAAGGCCGAGATCCGGAGGTGCGAAACGTCCGAAACCTTGCCGCTCTGAAGCCCCGAATGCAATTCGGTAAACTCTAAATCCTAAATGGGAGCTTCCGAAAATTAGGGCTACCCTATTCTGGGGTCCTTATAAGAAGGGTCCTACTGTTTAGGGTACCATATTAGGGTCCCCTATTTTCGGAAACTCCTCAATCCTACTAAATCCGCAAATCAGCTTTCAGCCCGCGTGGGAGGTGGAGCCCCCAGAGACCACCTATGTCGTCGCAGCGAGCGATACGAGTGCGAGGACGCGGGTTCTTCTTGCGGAGTCACGGGTCTTTGGGTGGGCAGATCGGCAACCTAGGCTGGACCCTTGAGCTTGACTGCTCTTATGAGGTTTTCCCCCTAGGGTTAGGTGTCTGGGTGTGGCATAGAGTGGCTCAAGTTCGTCATTGGATAGCTGTTTTTTACTCTTCTCTTTTGAAGTAGCTCAGGTTCAGTGCAGAATCTCAAGCAGTTCGTGTTGTTTATCTCGGCCCTCCGTTTTATCATATTCAACTCTTCTCAGCAAGTGTCCTCTTCCTCGTGCTGCGAGAAAGACACGTACTTCTCGGAATCGTGGCCCCGCTTGGTTCACGTTTTTGACTCACTTGTTACTTAAAGCATCATAGGAAATATTCGGAAGTATGGCAGAACTAAGGCTATAGCTGTGATAGCCCAATTTAGCAAGGTACTTATGGCCCAAATCTACCCTGGTAGCACTAACAGACCATAAACATCACAGCAAAAAGCTTTGTAACATCACCCAGAAAGCTTTAATCCAAACCAAAGACCCGAAAATACCATAAAACCAAAACCAGCTCTGCTCTAACATCCAAAAGCCCTAATTCCTAAACCTTAAGCCGTAAGCACTATAAGCCTTCAGTCCTGAGCCACGAACCTTATTAAACCCTCAGCCGCGAATGATTTATTTTTCAAATCCTATATAAGCACATCCTAATAGGGAACCCTAAAAAGGAAGGTTTTCTAGGGTCCAGGTAAACCCTAATTAGGCCCTAAACCCCTAAACCCCGAAACCCTAAACCCTAAATCCTAAACCCTAAACCCCTAAACCCTAAACCCTAAGCCCCCCTTAACGCCCTAATCCAAAGCCAGGCTCGCGAGCCTCTTTCAAGTCTGCGGTCTCTGCCCGGGCGGCAAAAAAATCCGCCGCTTCGGCCCAGGTGGGCTTCTGGGGTGCCCAGAAGGGCTTAAAGGGTATAGGGTTTAGGGGAAGGGGTTTAGGGTTTAGGGTAGTAGGGTCGTTTAGGGTTTAGGATATAGGGTTTAGGGTATAGGGTTTAGGGTTTAGGATATAGGGTATAGGGTATAGGGCTTAGGGTATAGTCTTCTACTAGGAGGCTCATGGGTAGTTGTAAGTGGGGTTATAAGTCTCTTAATATGGGTAATTTCGAAAGTTGCCCTACTTATAACCCGACTTATAACTACCCACGAACCTCCAAGTAGGATATGGGGCTTCGGGTATAGGGTATAGGGATTGGGATATAGGGTTTAGGGTAAAGGGTTCAGGGTAATTATAGGGTTAAGGGGGTTAGGGTTTAGGGTGTAGGGTTGAGGGTCCTTGAGGATTTGTGGTGTACTATAACGGGGTCTTGAAGGGTTTCTACACGGGTTCAGGGTTTTAGAGGTTTGGGATCGAGGGTTTGTAGGGGTTCGAGGTTGAGGGTTTGGGGGTTTTAGGTCCAAACTTTGGGCGGTTTCGGGTTTGCTGTTTTAGGGCTTCTGGGGTTTCTGCAGGCTTCTGCAAGGGTTCCATGAGGGTTCATTCTCGGCTTGTCTCAAACTTGTAATTGTAATCAGGGTGTTATACCGGTTTTAGGGTTGAAGGTGTGAGGGCTAGGTGCTTCGTTTTTGAGGGTTTCGGGTTCAACCCCTAAACCCTAAACCCCTAAACCCTAAACCCTCAAGGGTTCAGTGCCTTTGGAGTTTCCAAGTTCCATGGAGGGGTTGATATCTGCTGTTGGGGGGACCTTCAGCCCTCCACTTCAGCCTTAACTTACGTTAGCGTGTAGGGTCTAGGGTTTAGGGCCCCTAAGCTCCCAACACCATGATGTTCCGTAAAAGTTCACCGCAGCAGGAAAGTTCAACAACTCACTGCATGTCGGAGCAGCTCTTCAGTTCTTGGAAAGGCCAACTAACCCTAAGAACCCTGAGCCTTAAATGCTCCGAGATCTCCATCCCTTAGCATAAGATTCGAGGAAGAGCAATGTAGAAGCCTAAACCCTAAACCCGGAGTAATTATCATTCAAGATGCCCCAAGGCATCCTGTTATAATCATAGGCGACTGTACACTAAAACCCCGTTGTAGCTCTTCGGGCGCCTAGATCACGGCTCAGGTGGATATGCAATCTGCGAGGAACTGCTGGATTCGAGCTTGGTTCGTCTTGCAGGTGCCGATGCCTGGAACAAGCTTGGCGCCAACCTCACTGTCCTGCGCCCGGACGTGAAAATTCAAGTGATGACCTGCGAACCTGCATCCGTCGCTCCCCTCACTTTGTGAGCATTGGATCTGTTTACAACACGAACCAGTTAATGTATATGTACTCGTGTTTTGGATACATAATGTCAGTAAACTGTGAGCTGTGCTCTGTTCCTACTATACATCCCAGGTTGTCCCTCCGAAGGAGGTGCAACACGGTGAGGTGCTGCATGCTACGCGTTCATGCACGATTGAGCAAGCCTGGTCACCCTATCCTGTCGTTTTGGGAAAGGTACAGGCCCGGCTTCTGAAAACCAGTTTTAGGGTTTAGGGTTCAGGGTTTGGGTTTAGGGTTTTGTGTTTTGGAAAAGCCGGGCTTCGATTTTGCAATGGTTTAGGGTTTTGGGGTTTAGAGGTTTGGGAGTTTACGGTTTAGGGTAAGTTAGCTAAGTTGTGCAGGTGTTTAACAATATCGGCGTGGCGAACCTTGGGCAATTTGTCTGGAAGCACCTCTTGGACACTCCCGAAGCCTGGACACACTATCGAATGCTGATACTGGAGCTTCCCTGGTTGGAAGAGCAGACGAACCACCTTCTATACCTGCAGGCAATGGAGATGCTTTTGAAGGAGTTCCTTCTAGTTCATGCACCCTGCTTCAAAGATCTTCACTTCCTCGCTCTGCTGTTGTAGCCTTATCGGTTGAGGAAAGAAGGGCGCTTTAAGCAGGCACAGGGGTGTGCGCGCGTGCATACCCGGAATATTGGGGCTTAAATGCAATGCTACTTTGGGGTTCCTTGTTGTACTTACAGTACAGTATATTATACCCCAGAATACCATTCTACATTCTTGCAGCTGTTGCATATCTGAAACCCCCATGCAAAGAGGATCTAAGGTGGATGTGTCGACATGCCACGGACGGTGGCAGATCCGGTCGACAGAGGTCGGAATGCCAAGGGTGGTGCAGGCGACTTTCGTTCGTAAAGATCTGGCAGTTGCACAAACATGCACGACCCAGCTGCTCACTGACTCTGGCATTTGGGACTGCCCGGGCATACCGAGGCGATGATTTGGAAATGCGTTTTTCTTTAGCCTTTTGTATAGAATGCCTCTACATGTGCATGTGCATGTGTGTGTTGTTTCTATGTTTCTATGTATCGACCTATCCATCTACCTATCTACAGTAATCTAGCTGTTTATGTGTTTATATGCAAGGTTGAAGTTTGCATAAATAATCTTTCGCCAGTTCACGTGTTTTAGATTTGGCGCGGAGCCCTGAGCCTTCTGTAGCTTCTTCGAAGGCCCGAGATCTTCCACAACAACTTCCCAAATCCATATGGGGGGGGGGGTTCCGAAAATAGGGGACCCTAATACAGTAAACCAAAATAGTGAGATTCTTATATGAGGCCCCCCAAATCAGGTACCCCTATTTTCGGAAGTTCCCATGTTCCCAGTATCTGGAGCTCCACCTTAAACCCTCAACCCGTATTACTCCCCAGCCAACCCTACACCCTAAGCCCTGCATAATTAGACCGGAATTACAGTCCAATGCACATGTGCAAAACATCCCTACTCCTTAAACCCTGAACCCTAGAACCCATAAGCCCTATACCTTAACTCCCTAAACCCTGCACCCTGAAACCCCTAAAGCCTATACCTGAAATCCCTAAACCCTGAACCCTAAAACCCCTAAGCCCCATACCTGAAATCCCTAAACCCTGAACCCTAAAACCGCTAAACCCTATACCTGAAATTCCTAAACCTGAACCCTATAACCCTTAAACCCTATACCTGAAATCCCTAAACCCTGAACCCTAAAACCGCTAAACCCTATACCTGAAATTCCTAAACCCTGAACCCGATCCCCCCTAAACCCTCTACCTGAAATCCCTAAACCCACCCCTCAACCCAAAACCTGAAATCCCTGAACCCTGAATCCTATAACCCTTCTATACTGATTTTGTAGCTTTTGGCGCTACTCGAGCACGTTGCTTCATCTGTGGTGGGCCCGCGGAAGGGCCGAAACGTGCATAAAAAAAGGAAGCTCAGGGTGTGTCGGCGAGATGGTGGGGCAGCCGGGGGCCCGAAATTGTGCGCCAGTTGTGACATGTTTTTTTTTTCGTGGGGGCCGGCTCTGCCGAGCTGTGGCGCAAGCACTGCTGGCGCAAAGTGCGTTCGAGAGGCGCACTGCTGGCGCAGTAAAAGTGTTCGCGAGACGCATGCACTGCTGGCGCAATGCAGTCTCACCAGATGCTCGGTGGTGCTTGCCTTTGCTCCTTGATTCCGTTTTCGTTTTCATTTTGTAGTGGTATTTCTAGGTAGGCCGCATGCGCTGCTGGCGCAATGCAGTCTCACCAGATGCTCGGTGGTGCTTTCTTTTGCTCGGTGATGCCGTTTTCGTTTTCATTTTGTAGTGGTATTCTATAGGTAGGCCGCGTGCACTGCTGGCGCAATGCAGTCTCACCATGATGCTCGGTGGTGCTTGCTTTTGCTCAGTGATGCCGCTTTCGTTGAAAGGTCTGCGATGCCTTAGATGTCCTGGGCAGCACGGGCGCTACACAAACGCGCTCAACTTTCGCCAGGGTTCTTATTTTGGGGGGTGGGTTGGTTCAGGGCACCCTAACCCGTTCGGCCCCGCAGTAGGCTTGACCCGGCTGCCCTGCGAGTGTTTCTGCCGCCCTAACACGTAGGCCACCTTTTTTTCCCACGGCTCTGCTCTGAAGTGCATGTCCCGCGCTCGCTCCTCAAAGGTAGTTTGTTGGTTTGTCGCATGTGGCAACATCGGAAGCAGCACACAGTATAGCAGCACCACATCAGCGGCGTCGTGCAAAAAACAGCATTGTAACTTGTAACAGCAGCTCACCACTCAGCGGGAGCCTCAGAGTGCAGGCGCTGGGCTTTGCGGCGTTGAGAATCAGTGGGGTTGAGTGTCTGTGCTCCTCGTTGCTGCGGCCCGCCTCACCTTTGCCCCCCCCCCCCGCCGCTGCTGTGCTCAGGCTGCATCACTCGCCTCGTCACCTTCGACTTCGACTTCGGATGGCCCGGAGCCTGGAATTGCGCCAGGAGGCTTTCGTTTTTGAAACGTAGGTGGTTGGAGCCTTTCAGCAGACATTTTGAACGCATGCTTTCACGCTTGAGCATGTCTGGTTGAAATCCGTTGCCTTTTTGGTCTCAAGCTCCGTTCGATCATTTTCTTTTCATCTGGGGCCCTCTAGGCCTCTTTGTGCTTTCGAACAGGTCTTGGACCCCTGTACCACGGTGCTTCTAGTGGGCTTTGCTCCGTTGCCCATGGGAAAGCGTGCGATTTCTCGGGCGTCGGGTGCTCCTGATGAGGAAGAGACTGCTGAGCTCCAAGAGATGGCTCGGTCTTTGAATCAAGGGCAGTGGCGCCCTACGGAAAAGCTCATGCGTACTATCGCTTTGGTGATCAATGTTTTGGAAAGCACCATTCCGAGTCATGAAGCAAAGGCTACGGCGTCGGCGGACAAGGCTGCAGACAAGGTTCTCTCACGAGGATCCTTCAGATCTCCCAGGAAGTGTCACTTGCAAGCCACCTTGTCGTGTGGCGGGTGGCGAGACTGCTGTGCAGCGTGATGCCTCGCTTTGGGACCCAAGCCAAAAGTTTCGTATTTCGTAGCAGCGTCCGAGTGTCTTTCCTGCAACATGTTTTCAGAGTGCACTGCTTTGGGTGTACGATCTACAGTGTTGTTTGCTTGTGCTCAGGCTGCATCACTCGCCTCGTCATCTTCGACATCGGATGGCCTGGAGCCTGGAATTGCGCCAGGAGCGGAGTTTTGGTGTTCCAGGTCCCCCTCCCACTGCCCTCCCTCGCTGCCCGTTCCCTTCCCCTGTAAATCCCTGGCGTCTCTTCAGGTTGGACCTCTCTTCGATGCCGAGCCGATCCTCAGAGTGCCTGCCGGGGTTGTTTTGGGGCGGAAGGGTTGGGGTTTGTTGGGTTTCTGTCTTTGCGAGGGGTTGAGTGTTTGTGAGTGCCTCGTTGCTGCGGCCCGCCTCACCCTTCCCCCCCCGTGCTCAGGCTGCATCACTCGCCTCGTCATCTTCGACTTCGGATGGCCTGGAGCCTGGAATTGCGCCAGGAGCGGAGTTTTGGTGTTCCAGGCCCCCTTCCCACTGCCCTCCCTCGCTGCCCGTTCCCTTCCCCAGTAAATCCCTGGCGTCTCTTCAGGTTGGACCTCTCTTCGATGCCGAGCCGATCCTCAGAGTGCCTGCCGGGGTTGTTTTGGGGTGGAAGGGTTGGGGTTTGTTGGGTTTCTGTCTTTGCGAGTGTCCGTGAGCTGCTGCCCAGCCGCCCGTCCGTAACTAAAGTAACTAAATCCCGTGTCTGCGTTGGTCGTTCAGGCTGCCCTCATCCAGACCGTGACTCCTGGCGCAATGGTGAAGGTGCCGGCGCCCGGGATGACATGAAGAGTGCGTTCGCTTGCAGTTTGGGTGGTCGATGTGCAGGCTACGATTTTGGGTGGCATAAATCTTGAGCTCTAGGCTTTGCGCAATGCCTGCCGCATGCAATGCAGAAGCTGTTGCGTAGAATCAGGACGTGAAAAAATGTGATAGTGAAGCTTAGCGTGGCTCCTGTGTGCATGTGTGTGTGCGTGTGTGGGTTGCTGATCAACGAATTCCATTCAACCTGTCTTGAACGTACATGTGATTGCGCCAGGAGTGTGACACACACACACACACACACACACATTGCTGCCTTCCTAAGACCCTTGTAGGATCTTGCCTACCCGGACCCGACCCCTTCTTGATCGCTGCCCATCAGACGGGGAGCTTTATTTTCGGATCGATTGTATAATGTGGTGTGATGGCTATATACACCCTTCCGGCATGACGTATGTATATATGTATATATATATATATATATATATATATATATCATTTATATATGTGAACCTGCAGTTTTTGTCGCGAGGGGGCCACTTCTGGCGCAATGTGGCTCCGCCGGGTCCTTGTCAATGCAGCTGAGAGGGTCTTCGGGCCGTCCAGTTTTCGTGCTGCCTCACCGCAGTGTCTGAGATCGCGCGAGGGGTTCCTGTGAATGTTGCCTTCTGTGTGTTCCAGCCGCGTTGCCAATCGCATCTGCCACCTTTTCTGTGGCTTCCTTTTCCCGGGAACCCCGGGCCCCCCGCTGCTGTGCTCAGGTTGCATCACTCGCCTTGTCATCTTCGACTTCGGATGGCCTGGAGCCTGGAATTGCTGCCTTCCTAGGACCCCTGTAGGATCCTGCCTACGCCTTCTTGATCGCTGCCCATCAGAAGGGAGCTTTATTGTCGGATCGATTGTAATGTGGCGTGATGGCTACACATTTCCGGAATGACATCTATATATATCTATATATGTCATTTATATTATGTGCAACTGCAGTTTGGCCACTCCTGGCCCAATGTGGCTCCGCCGGATCCTTGTCAATGCAGTTGAGAGGGCCTTCGGGCCGTCCAGTTTTTCTCTTCATGCGTGCAACCAGCAGAGCAGATAGCCAGTGTGCCCCAAAGTCCATCGCTCTACAGAGTTACACTTGAATGCTCCGTGCCGCTTTGCAGCATTTGTCTCGGGTCGAACACCCAGCATCGTTGCGAAAACTGGTATATGGAGAGCACAGTCCCGCCGCCGTCGAGGGAGGAGGACCCGTTGCACGTTGGGAGCTGGCAGTACTGGAGAAAAAGTGTGTATATAGCCCACTAGCAGGCGCAAAGCTCTTCGGGATCTACAAGCCCTTCCTCATCCAGCTCCCTCTCGCCGCGGCGAGCTGCAGCGATGGCAGCCCGCAATGGGGGGCGATCGCGATCGCAGGTTGCGTGGGGTCGTGTTGTTGTCGTTATGGGCATCTCCAACAGTCGGGACAGTTACAAGAATCAGCCCCGGACCCCCAGGCGAAAAGAGGCCGTGGCACCACTGCCGAGAAGATTCCTACAATCGAAGAAGGCATGAAGATGCTGTTCGGTGCGACTGCATCGACTGCGAAGGAGGGCGGGTATATAAGAGTTCTTGAATCCCTTGCATGTGCTGACCTGCAGGAGCCCGCTGCTGGCAAGACGCTGTTCGGGGCGACTGCATCGACTGCGAAGGAGGGCGGGTGAGGGTTCTTGCATGAATCCCTGGCATGTGCTGACCTGCAGGAGCCCACTGCTGGCGCAACGCCGGGTGAGATGGCATGCCCAGCACAGGCCGGTTTCGTGCCCTGCATGTTTTTTTTCTGCGAGAAAAGTGGCGTCGTCCGTCTCCGTCTCCGCTCTCCCTCTCCTTCTCCCTCTCCCACTCCTCTTCCCCTCTCGCTCCCTTTCCCCTCCCCTTCTCTCCTCTCTCGTATATCTCCCAGTCTTTCCTCTCCTCCGCCCGCCAGTGCTGGCGCAATCCTTCGCCGAAAGTGTCAGGAGGAGCCCCGCGGGCCCAACGACACCGAGGAAGCATTGTGCGAGGATGTATGTGATGCAATCGAGGACTCCTTGCTGCGTCCCTATTTGACCAGTCCTGCCACACCGCTCAGACATGGTCGCAAGTCGCACATCGGCGCGGTGCTGGAAGACCCAAGTGCTAGAAACCGCCAGTTGTGAAGGAAAATTAATGTATCCGACCTGCGCCAAGAGCGGCAAAAAAAGTATACCCTATACCTGAAATCCCTAAACCCACCCCTCAACCCAAAACCTGAAATCCCTAAACCCTGAATCCTATAACCCTTCTACCCTATACCTGAAATCCCTAAACCCACCCCTCAACCCAAAACCTGAAATCCCTAAACCCTGAATCCTATAACCCTTCTACCCTATACCTGAAATCCCTAAACCCACCCCTCAACCCAAAACCTGACATCCCAAGAAGGACTCTCCCAGCACCCTTCGGATTGCTTGGGGCTCCCGGCCTGGGGGAGCCCTTGGGGCTCTTTCACGTCTATGGGTCGCCCATCGCTGTCCACGCAAGAAGCACGGTGGTCAACAGGACTGAAGATAGGGCTTTAGGGTTTAGGGGTTTAGGGTTTTGGTGTTTGGGGTTTAGGGGTTTAGGGGTTTAGGGGTTTAGGGGTGTAGGGTTTTAGGGGTTTAGGGTTTAGGGCCTTTAGGGTTTTGGGGTTTAGGGTTTAGGGCCTTTAGGGTTTAGGACTGAAGGGAGAAGGGGACTTCGTGAGTAGGTTGTATGCGATTCGTGATGAGGGCTCGAAGTAGGATAATCGTAACTTGAGGGTATTTAGAATTAGGGCACCACCTATGACCCACTTACCAAGACCCCTGATCCTCTGTTCCATACCCTAAACCCCAAACCCTGATCCTCTTCTTAGGGGGACATGCGACGGATCCTACATTCCATGGGCCTGACGGGAAGTGGGATCGCGGGTTCAGAGTGGGAGGCAATCTTGCCGGTATCTCCTAGGGTTTAGGGTTTAGGGTTTGGCGGTTTTGTTCGCGATCCCATTACAGTAACTATCTCTAGGGTTCTAAACCCTAAACACTACACCCCAAAAGCCCTAGAGTAGGATCCTACTACCAGAAACTCCCGCGTGAGCCGCGGCCAGAGCCAGGAAGATCACTCTGGATCTGCTGAAGCGATTTCGGCTCTGCCATACGTGTCCAGAAGGCGATGGTGATTTTGTCCGCGTCGGTGGGGGCCGGGATGGTGGGTATTTGCTTTGCGGCAGCGCTGCGCGAAACCTTACTCTGGCGATCTCCATAGGCATCCGGGGAGACTTGGTGCAGGATGCCCTTTAAAGGATTCCCATAAGGGCATACGGCATATGTGTGTAGGGTTTTAGGGTTCAGGGATTAGGGTTTAGGGTTTTGGGGGTTTAGGCTTTAGGGCTTGATGCAAGTAGGGGCAAGATCAAGAGGAGGAAGATGATCAGAAGAGCCACAAGGACGAGTAGGACAAGAGGCAAATGGAGTTTTATCAGTCCTGGCCCTCGCCGCTGTCCACCTCGTTTTATCTTTGCCCCAAGCCCCCACCCTGTAATAGTGGTATAATAGGAATATAATAGGGCCCTAATATAATCCTTATAGTCGCTATTACAGGGTGGGGGCCCCTTCTAACCCATGTCTTTTTCCCACGATCCCTATCATCCTCGTCATCGACATTCTCGTCGTCCTCGCTGCTGCTGCTGCTGCTGCTCGTTCGACCCTGTGCGTACCGGTCGTCATCATCGTCGCCGCCGTCCAAGCAGGTAAAAGTGGTCGCGATGCCTAGACTGAGGAGCAGGATCAGGAGCACGAGCAAGAGCAGCTGGAGGAGGCAGCAGATCTTTCCGGCTTGTGACATATTGCTTGCAGCGTGTCCATGCCTTCTAAGCAGCTGGAGGAGGCAGCAGATCTTTCCGGCTTGTGACATATTGCTTGCAGCGTGTCCATGCCTTCTAAGGACTGGACCCGTTCGGGGCAGCCTTGTCTGAAGAATTCGGGCCGAGGGTGGAAGGTTTCGACTGCACCGGAAACCCATATGCTTGCCCGCCGAGCTACAGCAGATGTCGCTTCCACTTCAATCCACTCTGCGTGGGTAAACCTTTCGATGGCATGCCTGCAAGCCAGTTCTTGTCGCCCGGCTCACAGCTAGGACTATGGCAGCTCCAAGCACACAGGCTTGCGGTTTGGATGGTTTGTCTGAACATATATACTGCCAACCGTCTGTTGACCCATTCTTGCTTACAAGACAGTGCTTCATTCACGCCCTGTGTTATGATACCAAAACGTGGTTGAAACACAGCTCAATGCAGCTTCGTGTTTTTTTGGGCTATTGACAGTGTCATTCCCTAGTCTCTTTTTTACTCGCCCATTCAAAACCGACATGTCGCAAACATGGGGCGAACAATCCTCCCTGCTTCAAGATGTGTCATGGCGCGCTGTTTGCTCCACACATTTAGAACGACATGTCGCAAGACCAAGGTTTCGCGGGCTGTTTTCGTTTGTTTGTGTCTGGGTGTCCGTGTTCCTCAAGTTTAGAAAAACAGAGTAGCAGTGCTTGCCACAATAACAGTATTGACGGTGTCGACATCGACGTCGTCGTTGTGGTCATCATCGTCGTCGTCGACAGAGGCATCCAGGGGTCCCGGTGGATTGTTCTGGTAGTGACGGTTGTGGTGGCTGCGCCGTTGCCAGTGTTAGCGGCTGGGTGGTAGAAGTCTTCGTCATCCATCAACTGCCGTCCTAGTAGTAAGCAGTAGTGGGCGGCGGTGGTGTTGGTGGTGCTGATGTTGGATTTGAGGTGCATGGTTGTTGTAGTAGCCAGGAGCAGCCGCAAGCCAAGACTCAAGCTTACAACACTGCTTCCCAAACCCTAAAACCCTAAACCCTAAGCCCTAAACCGAGGATGCTGCCCGAAATCCTGGATCTCTATGCAAAACCGTCGGACGAGATGCTTCTGAAGATCGACTGTGAGGGCTGTGAGTGGAGCGTGCTGCCCCAGATAGAGCCACGTGTCCTCCGACGGTTTCGCATGATCATCATGGAGGCACACTGGCTGCTTTGTCATAGTTGGGTAACATTTTACATTTTTGTGGGTACTTAAACCCCATGAGGAATACAAACTTAAATTTTTCATCCAATCCCAACCATGAACTAGGCTGGAGAAGCAGGACAAGCATCCTGTCTATGCAAAGGCAGCATGGCCGCACTTCGTATAGGGATAGGACGCCTCCACGACGTTAGTCAAGGTTGAGGGGCTGCTGGCCGAACCAGAACCTACAAAGCTCTTGGTTGCATTTTTCGCCTTCCTTACTTATATTGTAGTTTCTCTTTTATGTAGGCTCTGAGAACTTACCCCCTTCCTGAAAATAGGTTAGAAGCGGGATCCGAACCACAGAAATGGTGCTAATTCATCAGGGGTCTACGTTTGGGATCCCAAGAACAACCAATATGTTTAGAAAGGGCCCCAAAACGCTATTCCAATTATTCAGGCCCCCTGTATTACCTTCCATGGAGACACACCCAGAAGCTCCTGTGACTATGGAATCCAACAACCAACGACTCCGGAATCCAAAAACACTGGCTCTAATGAGTAAACCTGCAGCAGATGATCAGGGGTCGGAATTGTCAGTGCTAGTATTCCTTGGTACCGGAACAGACCCCCAAATCCCATCCTAAGTGTTCAAGCCCCCACAGTATATGATTCCTCATGCGAACAGGCACCGAAAGCTCAAGCTGAAATCCCAATGCCCAAACACTGTAACACTAAACCTCCACGCTCAAAGCCTGCGACCCCTGCGACCCCTACACCCCTATAGCACCCTTAGAGGAACCCTCAGATGAACTCTAAACCCCGAACTCAATCCCTACAACCCTAAGGCCCCTTTACGAGCTTCTTTCAAGCAGGCCATGGACGTTATCCTGGAGCATTTTGATCTGGTTCACAGCCACGCCTGCAACCGCTACGATGTTCTGCTGGTGTCCCTCGGTTTTGGGATTTTAAGGGTGAGGGTTGCAAATATCTCGGGGGTTTATACTGTATATACTGTATATACTATATATACCATATATACCATATATACTATATATACTTTATATAGTATATATATATATAGTATATATATATATATGTATATATATATATACATATATATATATATATAGACTATATATGCTACATTAGATGTTTGACGGTTGCGGGTTGAGGATTTACGTTTTTGGGGGCTGAACTTGGATCGTCGCTTGCTTGCGGCAATGCACCAGCCTCCAACCAGCGAGGCAAAGGAACCATAGATAGACAGATCTCGAACCGCACAACTCATCAAGCCCTAATCCCCAAACCGTAAACCGCTAACCCTAAGCCTAAACCTAACCACAAAAATGCTTGACATTGGGTACTGGCCCCATATAGTAAGAGTTTATGATAGGGCTAGTATTAAGGTCCTAATATATCTGCCGTACCCAAGCTTGACAGTTTAATGCCGAGGAATGGAACTGACTTCCAGCTGCCTCGAGTGTTGGAGGTGACCTTTCTTCGCAAGGACCTCACTGCTTCTGCCAGCTGCAGGAACTCGAAGTACCGCCGCTGGCCAGCCTGATATGTGAGTTTCCGATAATAAGGGGGGGACCTTGTTTTGGGGTCCTTATCATAAGGATCCGAGTATTTAGGGTACTAGATTGGGGTCCCCTATTTTCGGAAACTCCAAACCCTAAACCCCCATATTCAGGTTTTGGGTCTATGTTTTTTTGGCTGCGGGCGGGGATTTCTGGATCTATGCATCGAAGCGCAGGTTGGTTCCTGCGCTCCGACTTTAAGACGTACGAAGTCTTGAACTACAAGATAGCGGCTTCAAACCTATTCTATTTTGGGGGTTCCCTATTAATTATATATATATATACACACACACTATAGCGGGCTCCAAAACCTTATTCTAATGATTAAGGCCCCCATATTACAGCCGAATGGCAAAATTAATGCGAAGTGTGTTCCCGATGTGAGAGTTTCCGAAAATAGGAGGGACCGTATTTTGGGGTCCTTATAAAAAGGATCCTACTGTTTAGGGTACTATACCCTAATTTTCGGAAACTCCCATGTACAGGTAAAAGGAACCTTCAAGACACACAAGCTGAAGCTTAGCCACACTACAAATGCTGAGAGAAGCAGAAAGCAGAACCAAGAATGCCAGTGTAGATCCAGGTGAGACGTCATAAGACACCAGAAATGGCTAGCATTATCAAGCGAGGCAAGGGTAGTACTGGCAAGCAAGTTTCGGTTTGGGACATTGACATAGAAACCCTAAATGTAGGCCCCTAAATCCTAAACCGTGAGACATAGGTAGTGCGCCGTGTAGCAGCTTGGAGGAGCCCGCCATCGTGTCAGTTCTCGTCAGTCGTCAAAGGAAACGACAGTGATGCCATAACGTTCATCATCGACATGGTTGCCGACATCACGTTCATGGTAGTGATCATCATCTTCTTCTGCATTTTCGTCAGCATCTTCACCATCATCAGATCATTGGTCACGGTCGGCGTAATACTCATCGTGATTTCCATCGTCATCGTTGTCCTAGTCGCGTTGTCGTAGTGATTATATACTGACCTATATACGTAGTAATAGTAGTAACACATAGCCATAATAGAAGTAAGAACGGTAGTAGTGATAATACTCATGATAATAGTAGTAATACTGAAAGTTATCACAAGAGCAACACTGATATACAGCATTCACAGCTGGGACCTGACTCTTGTATTGATGACCTAACTTGAGGTGATGGTCTCGACAAGCCAATCGCCAATGTGCGCGAGCTCGACGCGACTGCTTTCCGACCGGGGGGGGGGAAACGATGAAATTTGGGCTTCAGCTTCAGGCGTTGTTCAGGGACATGGATCCCACAAAAAGCCCCAAATCTACAGCCGGAAACCGGAAGTCCACAATCTTGACAGGACTGCCCCCAGCCGACTCCGAGACAGACGTCAGATGAAGTGACGGAGAAATGCGTCCGGAACCATTGCATTCTGTTGTTGATTATACTGCGGTGGTTTGGCTTTGAGCCTGTGGTAGTGGCGCGGCTCATGGATCAGGGAGAGACTGAATCAGGTTTAAGTTGATGGAGTCTCGGCTGGTTGCGCTTGGTTTCATGCTAGGTTTCAGGGTTGAGGGCTTTAGAGATTTAGGCGGTAAAGTGTTCAGGAGTTTTGAGGAGATCCACTATCTAGAACCTCTCGTTTCGCAGCATACAGGAACAGCAGGAAATTCTGGTTCAGGGGATACCGCTAAGGCAGCAGATCCGTCCTCAACCCTGAATCCTAAACCCTAAACGACTGAAACACCCCCAAAAAGTAGCTTCAAATCCAACAGAGAAATGCCCAAGTCCTAAACCCAAAGCCCCTGAACCCCAAACCCCTGAACTTTATAGACCCTACACACCCTAAAGCACTACTTGGAGGTTCATGGGTAGTTATAAATGGAGTTATAAGTCCCCTGATATACATATGGGTTGTAACAAAAGTTACCCCACTTAACATAACCCCACTTTTAACTACCCATGAACCTCCAAGTATTGATCCCTCAACCAGGGCCCTTTCCACCTCGACCCATTGGGCCCAAAAGCTTCTGAACCAAGTCTTTGCCGGTCGGCGTTTAGCGTTCGTGGGCTTTGGGTTTACAGGGAACTCCAGAAAGTTGGAATATGGTTTCTTGGTAGGATACCCTATAATTTACCATAGAAGGGTTTAGGATAATCATATTCCAACTTTCTGGCTTTTACAGGGGTTTAGGATGTGGGGGTTTAGGTTTTGGAGTTTCGGGCTTGGGGATATAGGTCAGCAAGACTAGGAATTTGACGGGGTATGTTCTGAAGATTGCTTGCTCAGCTGGAGAACTTAAGCCGCTTTATGGACTGTTGGAGACGAGAAGCTTGAGCTTGTCTCTGGCTTTTGATTGACCCAGAGACTCCAATAGCCCTTAATTAAGGAATATACCTTAATATGATTTAAGGTATACTCCCTAATGAAGGGATATTGGAGTCTCTGGGGATAAGAGACAACAGGGCACCGTTTAGGCATTCTTGCAACTCCTTCAGTGTTCGAATCTTCACCACACTGGCTCAAGGAAGGACGAGTTGCAGTAGTCGCAGCTCATCATCCATCCTGGGCCGCTTTTCCCAAAAGGCTTACAAGATGCAAACCCTAAACCCTGAGCCCTGAATCGCTGAATTCCTCAACCCCCAAACCCTAAACTACCAAACCCCTAAATGCCCTAAATCAACCAATCCCTAAATCCACCAATCCCTAACAATTCCTTTGAAGAAGCGGGCTGAGACCGCCCCTCCGAACCCCTTATACTCACAGGATCGACTTGAAGGTTCATGAGTAGGTGTCCCCTAATGCGGTTGATGACATAAATCCTGCATTACCCAGAATAAGGAATATACCATAATTACCACAGTTTCGGGTCCTTAGGGTAATGCAGGATTTATATCATCTCTTAAGTTAGAACTACAGTTGCCCTACTTATAACCCACCTCTGAAGCTCCAAGTAGGAGCCCTCAGTAGTACCCCTTGGCCCTTTTCAGTCTGGGGGTCTCTTTATCAAAACTGGATGGTGGGACAAAGCTTACAACAGAATTGCTGGGGAACCCATTAAAAGACCGCCTTGTGGGTCAGCGTGCTATGGTTAAGGGTTTAGGGTTTAGGGTTTGGGGCCCTCTATGCTATGGTTTCTGTTCCTAAGCCTAAATCCTAAGCCCCTAAACCCTAAACCCTAGCATAGAGGGGCCCAAACCCTAAAACTCCTAAGTCAGAACATGCAGTGGTCATGCTGACAAAGCGCACTTGCGTAGCCGTAACCGTGGCCGCCGCGCTGCTCTATGCCTTCGCTGCTTGGTCGAGGGTTTAGGGGCGTTAGGGCTGTGGGTTTAGGATTTAGGGTTTAGTTTTTTTAGGGTTTTAGGGTTTTAGGATTTTGGGGTTTTAGGGCTTTGGGTTTAGGGTTTAGGGTTCAGGTTTAGGGGTTTAGGGTTTTACGGCTCTGGGTTTAGGGTTTAGGGTTTAGGTTTAGTTTTTTAGGGTTTTAGGATGTTTGGGCTTAGGGCTTAGGGTTTAGTGACATTCAGGGTTTAGTGTTGGTTGCTCTGTTCTTTGGGATCCGATTGGAGACAGACTCTTTAGGGCCTGAGCATATACTGACAAATATACCGTTTGGGTACCCGGACCCACCCTTAGGAAATATGAACTGCATTCGTACCCGCGACACGGGACGGAAAGACAGAAGGTGGACATGTGAGAGAGAGGGTTTGCAGGAGTCGACCCGGGATTGAGGTGGGCTTGGGTAGATTCTGAATCATGTTTGGGATGTTGGGAGGATGGCCCTGACAGAATTCAATGGGGAATCATAGGGACCCTTAATGGGGACCCCTACCCTATAATGGGCTATAGCTATATTAAGGGCATATACCTAGGGGTCCTCATTAAGGGCCCCTCCTTTTACCCTTGGAATGATGGCGGAGCTCCTCCTCCCCAGTCGCCACTCTGCCACAGGCAGCGGCACTGGAGGGGAGGAGTGGGTCTCTATGCCGTCAGAAGTCTTGCCGGAGGAGGTCATGACGGTGACCCACAGATTCCCCACATTCCGGGAGAAGTCCTAATGTGACAAGGAAGCCTGAATAATTTGTAATGCTATTCCTCAGCATAGTAGAGTATACCCCGACACGTTGTTCTCCTAGCCCTAAGGGTCCAAGTGCCCAAATGGCAGGGTTTGGAGGTTCAAAAGCCTCTCAGAGTATGGACTCTAGGACCTAAAACCCGGTCCTTTGCACTTTTTTAAAAGAAGCCCTACCCTTTGGGTACTTGACACTCTGGGTAGAAACCCTTCAGAAGCCCCACTCACTTTTCAAAAGGGCCCTGCAGTCTTAGTATTCTGATCCCTCATGTGCGGTAAATCCGCAAATCCTATTCTATTCTGTAAGGTCCCAAGAAAGGTCCTTGGCTCTTGGTTTTCAGACAGATAAGCCAAGTTGATCCCGAAACCCTACTTAAAGGGTACCCTTTTGAGCGCTACTACAGGGGTTACTATAAGGTAGGGGGTTTACTTAGAGGTTCAGGGGTAGTAATAAGCGGGTTTCTAAGTAGGGTAACTATAGTTCTAACCCTATTAGGGGACTTGTAACTCCATTTATAACTACCCATGAACCTCCAAGTACACTCTCGACCTGAAACCCTCATCTCAACCCTCTCACATTCCTACAGAGGCCCTGTGTTAATCCCCTAATCAGTAGAACCCCGTATATATGATCCCTTTTTCAACGCCTACAGATCCCGAGGCGGTTGCGGGCGAGGTCGTTCCGCGGTACGTTCAGCTGGACTCGTTACTCTTAAGGCGCACCCAAAAGATTCGATACGCGTAATAGAATTTCGAATCTTGGGCAGGCTTCACCCGAGTTCAGGGCTTAATGTTATGATATCGCGTCCAACAAGCTTCTAAACTATAAAGCTTTCCCCAAAGCTTTGTATACTGGAAGCCACACTCTCGGGACCCGACATGCTTTGCGAGTTGTAAGCATGTAGTAGTTTCCGATAATGAAGCCCCTCATATACATTCCCCAAACCGTGGGATCCTTGTTATACGGACCCTTGATAAAGGCCACCGGGAACTACCCTGCCCAGTTTGTGCAAACCGTGCAGTTGTGTAACTTTGGAAGCATACGAGATACAGAACTAGGAGCGTACACTAGTAAACTGCGCAGCGCAACGTTGAAATTTAATATACTGTCTATGGAGTCTGCCGGTGATATCAGCATGTAGAAGCACTGTGATACCGCATCATGCGTTTATGGCTTACGCTTTGGGGGTTAGGGTGAGACTGAGAAATGAGAAATGCCAGACTCGGACTTTTAGGGTTTTGCGCGCGCTCCTGCTCAGACTGACGTCCCTGCCGGCGCAGACATCTGTGCCAGGGCCTTACATAGACAATGATGAAATGTGGATGTGTTTTGAAACTGGCTCATCGTCGATGGTAGCCACCTGTGCATCTGGCAGGACTCCACAGACGGATGTGCCGAAATCAATATCCTTGCCGGCGGCGTCTTTGTGTGGGCCTCACAAAGCATGGTCTGCCCATGATGATACTTGGAGGTTCATGGGTAGGTATTCGTGGGCTTATAAGTCCGCAAATATGGCTTATAAGTATAGTTACCGTACTTGTAACCCCACTTATTACTACATCTGAACCTCCAAGTACTTGCTAGGATCGTATACCTCGGAGACTTGCGTTCACGCACCAGGTCGTCTTCCCAGTCTAGGCCATGCCCTGATGTGAACCCCAAACCCTACAAAAAAGTATATAGGTTTTGTAGGTTAAGGTAGCTTCAACCCTGAACCTAAACGACTGACTCCATAGAACTGGACGCCCTGACTCCCAGAGAGCCCAGTACCCCTTAATTGAAAGAACATAGCTCAAATCTTAATATGAAGCCCTATATATTTTAAGCCATATTCCTTGATTAAGGGGTATTGGGCTCTCTGGGCTAAAAGACTCTGCACGATGCTGACTTTCGCTCCGGCAGTCCGACTACTCATGATTTGGAGTGGTACTGTTGATGATATAAATCCTGCATGACCTTAAGGACCCTAATGGGTTTAGGGTTTAGGGTTTAGGCCTAAACTATGGGAATTATAGTATCTTCCTTAGTATGGGTAGTGCAGGATTTGTATCATCAACCGTATGGTGATGCCACGATGACGACAACCTGCACGCCTTAATGTTGGTCATACCTGAGGAACGATGACAAGGGAACATGATGCTGACTAGCTGTAATTTCTTGCCGCTCTTCTGGCTATCCCGACTAGTAACCGTCAATACGGCGGCATCTCTACATAGACTAAAGCAGCCGAAGTCTGCTGGCAATACTCTCCAGGAAGCAACAGGAAGCCGTGTCGCGTCCCGACACTCGCCTTAATGTAGGGGCTTGAATAACTAGATTTGGGTTTCGGGGCCCATTATACTAGAAGCTAAACAAGGAGCCTCCACAACATAAAAGGTAATTATAAAGGCCCCTATAGTACAGCTATCAGCTTCAGAGTCTGTCCATTACCCATGGGAGCGGAAGATCCCCGTAGTAGACAAACAGTCACTGCACCATTATTGGGGATTTCGCCACTTTACTAGGGTTTAGGGTTTAGGGTTTAGGGTTTAGGGCATTTGTGCCTCTTGAGATGTAGCAGGCTTTGCTCAAGGATAAGCATGAGCTGGGCATTTGATGCAACGGTTTGGTTCATGCGTCTCTCGCAAACATCAAGAATCCTGCCAGGGAGCCGCCACATGCACTGCCTCCGGCCCCTGCGCGTGAAACTCAGACAGCATGACCTGTGCACGATGAACTTGGAGTCGCAAAGATAATGGGAGTACCAGCAATAATGATCAATATCGACAACAATGATGATGAACACACTGCCAATAATGCAATAACAATAGTGGTAGCAACAGTAACAACAGTTCCACAGTGAGGACAATAGCAATAACGCTAACGATAAAGAACAATGGCAATAACAATGAGTAGTAGTAGTAGTAGTAGTAGTAGTAGTAGTAGTAGTAGTAGTAGTAGTAGTAGTAGTAGTAGTAGTAGTAGTAGTAGTAGTAGTAGTAGTAGTAGGTAGTACGAGACCGAAAACAACAACCATGAAGATCGGCTAGAGGCTCATGAAGACTTTAGGAGGAGCACTTGTCGGTGCTGTTTATCGAGATTTTAGGGTTCATAGTGAAGGATACAGGTCTATGACTTCACCCGGCCGTCCGCGTAACCTTGCGATCTCTCTGGCGCCAGGGAAGTTCAGCAGCATGCCGCCGATCCGGCGCAGCCTGCCCCTGCGACGGGGTCCCCAGGATCGGCTTTCATAGGAAGCCAACAGGGGGTTTAGCCTATGGGGGTTTAGTATAATAGGGTTCATGTTAAGGAATCCCTACCCCAAGAATCTTAACCCCCCGTTTTGGCCTCCCATCAGGGTTTCAGAGCAGTCAGGGAATTTTAGCATTGGGGGAGAGGGGGCTCAAAGGCTCCCGGTGAGTGTTCGTGTCTCGTAATTTGTAGCTTGGCGCATCGAGCGGGCGTGGTGTGATGCAAGGATTAGGAGGGTGATCGAAAGGGGCTGACGGGTTTAGGGGCTCAGGGTTCTAGGGTTTAGGGTTTAGGGGTTTAGGGGTTTAGGGTTTAGGAGACTGAGCATATCTCTCTGCACCTGGGACTTGAAGAATTAGAAAGTCCATACCAATAACGCCCGTATAGAATTATAGGATAATGCACCTTCCAAGATACTGTGGAGACCCCGACCCGAGATTGGTTTGTCCCGAGCTTCCTACCGGATCTTTAGGTAAAGCCGTGGTGCTACAGTACCGCAGCTTGTGCAGAGCCTGTCCTACAGCAGAAGCTCAACGCTTGTCGGCAAGCCTCTCAACTCGCAGCGGTCCTGTGGAAATCAGAAAAGCCAGACTCAACATTCCTGACCTGCGGGTCCTAATTTCTAAGCCCCAAACCCTTTTTCGAATTGATGAGCGCTCGTTCGGACTCAAGCATCACCGGAAAAAAACCCCAAAACCCTTACTCCCAAGCCCTAAACCCTAAACCGCTCATGTCTTAGCCCCGGAACCTGAGATCCGAAGTTGGGAAAAGTCGGGGTGTGGGGATATGGGGAGTACCAGTGTTTAATATAGGCGCCTAAATAATTACCTATACTACTTTTGGGGGTTCCTTATGATGTTGGTAGTATGATGGGCCCCAAACCCTTTTCGAATTACTAAGGCCCCTATATTACCAGTGTTTAGGTTTTGGGGCCTTCCCTACTTAGAGGTTCATTTGTAGTTATAAATGGAGTTGCAATGTCTCCTTATATTGGTTATAACTATAGTTACCCTACTTGTAACCCGGCTTAAAATAACTACCCATGAACCTCCAAGTATAGGTCGGACGAGCCGCTCTTCACGAATGCCCCGCAGCAGGCTGATTTAATTTAGGTTACCATACAAAGGGTTTCTTCAAGGGATCTGACAGAGTTCCTTGAAGGGTTCAGGGGTTAAGGGATTTACTTTAAGATACCACAGTTAATAGGGATCTATAGTAAACAATATAGTTTCTTGATTATGGTAGCATGAATTCAATTCTTTAACCAGAGCCCAGTGATGTCTGTTGTGGAAGAGCCGAGAACCAACAGAGTGCCCTTCATGTAGATGCTAAATTGCGATGCTTGCTTTCGAAACCATACTACCAATATTGTAAGCAAGACCAACTAAATGCAGATGATAAGAATATATGGACGATACTTGTATGAGTAGAAGTATGAGCCTTAAAAGAAAGCAGTCCAGGTTTTCGAAAGAGGTGGCTGGCCGTGTGCGGGAGGGAGATTCCCCTATTTTCTAGAGGCTCTCGAAGCCTGCAGTGCAGAGCTTGTGTGAAGGGTCTAGGTTTTAGATGTTTAGGGTGAAGGGTTTAGGGTTTAGCGTGTGTTCGCGTCTACCTGCACAGGCTATTGGGTGTCGGCCGTGTTTCCATGCCCAACCCTGAAACCGTGGGTTCAAAGGCAGCTGGCCCTCAACCTCTGAATGCAAGACTCCTCCAAACCTTACAAAGGCCTGGCCCACACGCGGGCTACTGTGTGTGGCACCTACTGTGGAAAATCAATAGTCATGTGATACAAAATTTTAGCCACAATAGACCTATGCACTAAGGATGGTCTTCCGTTTTCAACATCGCAGCACCTCGTAGTTTTGCAACTCCCACCCCCACCCCCCAAGCCCTAAACACACAGACCATGAAAGTCTAAACCCCAGACCCGAACCCATCCCCCTCCGGTCGTTAAGGAACCGTTCAAAACACAGGATGCTTAAACAAGCTTAAACCTTGAGCCAAATGTCCCAGACATCTCCGGATTCTCCAAACTACGACTGGTACTTACGCGGTCATTTAAAAGCCACATCGACACCCTTCGAAGCACATGAGAGCCTCACGAAATTATAACAATACAAGTTACCATAATGTGGTAACAGCTTTTTTGCTATATAATTTCCACTAATTAGTGTGCTTAAAGTAAGTTCTATAGCACAACACGTACGTCTATTCAACCTTTGTATACTCGTATGAAGCCTTCTCGAAACCCTTCAGGTAGAGGGTCCAACCCCAAAATTCTAAACCCAATTTTCGCTTGCCCTTCCAAGAGCAACCTACCACTAACCTACCCTACCCTACTACCCCACCCTACCCTACCCTACCAACCCTACCCTACCCTACCCTGCCCTACCCTACCGCTCAGTCTGGAGGTGGAGCCACCAGAGACCACCTACGTGGTGGCTCCCAGCGACATCAGCGCGAGGTCGGGTCCTTAGGATGGGCTGGGGGTGGGTTTGGGTTTAGGGTTTAGGGTTTAGGGTTTACCTAGAGTATACGACCAAGGTACCTTAAAGCCTTAAACAAGGCAAACGTATCTTTTTTGGGGGTTATATCCTTGTTTTAGGTACATTAGTTACTCTAGGTACGGGTTTAGGATTCTTGGTTAAGCGGCCTGGCCGAGGCTTTCAAGTTTAGTGTTTTGGAGTGAGCTAGCGTTGGGATTGCAGACTTCCCTATCCCTAAACCCTAAACCCTAAATCCTAAACCCTAAACCCTAAACCCTAAAGTAGGTTCATAGGTCGTCAGAGCCCAGTTGCAAGTATATCCTTGATGGGGTAAGTTATGAGCAATACTTCTACTTGGAGGTTCGTGGGTAGCTATAAACGGAGTTGTAAATCCCTTGATATGGGGTATAACTATAACTATAGTGTCCTTACTTATCACCCCACTTACATGACCCCATGACCCTCCAAGTAGAGTGTTTTCGGGGGCTTGTAGCTTAGGGCTTAGAGTAGAAGCCGTATGAGAACTTCGCATGGGCAGCTGTCAACTCTTTTCGCGCAGGGCCATCAATCAACTGAAGTTTTGGGTTTGGGTCTTTGAGTTGAGGCCTAACGGCCTTGATAATGAGAATAGGGTCGTGGGCTTTTGGGGCCAATTCCACTAAAATTATAACAAGGAACCCCCAAGCTAGTGTTGGTAGTTGTTTAGCCCCTATATTCGGGGCCTTGTTCCTTTGAATTCCGTTGTTCTGTGGGCGTCGGAGATCGAGGTTCTTTGGCCGCATCTGTCATAGGGATCCTTAGGGGTGTAGGGGGGAGGGGTGTAGGGGACTATATTTCCTTAAATAGGCCTTATTAGTCCTTATTATGGGCCTTAAGGCCCCCTACCCCCCCTCCCCCTACACCCCTAAGGATCCCTATGAATCTGAAGAAATCTGCAACCCCGATGGCCCACCGTCTCATCGAGTGCCAGCGTCCCAACGCTGGACCTTGCGGTGAACAGGCATAATCTCGGGAGCATGCCAAAGAGGGTTTGAGATTTAGGGGTTCAGGGGTTTAGGGGTTCAGGGTTTACATTGGGGTATAGGGGTTTCGGGGTTTCGGGGTTTAGGGGCTTAGGGGCTTAGGGTTTAGGGGTTCAGGGTTTATATTGGGGTATAGGGGTTTCGGGCTTTAGGGGCTTAGGGAAGCCCGAACCACGCCCAGGCTGGCCAGCTTGTTCCAAGTTTGCGGTCTCTGCTCCGACGGTAAGCAGCCGAAGCGGTTCGGTAAGGGCGGATACTCGGTCCCCGCCCTCCTACTGTTGATGGACAAAATCTTGCATTACCCATTATAAGTTATAAGGAATATACTATAGTTCCCATAGTTTAGGGTCCTTAGGGTCATGCAGGATTTTGTCCATCAGCAGTATCTCCTACAGGGCTTAAGGTTTAGGGTTCAGAGTTTAGTTTAGGGTGTAGGAGTTTAGGGTTGATGGTCTCTTACGCCTTTTATTTCGACGTGTCCTTGATGGTGCGAAAGCCAAAGAAAACAGGGAACCCTTATCATTGAGGTGGTACTGGGAAGCCAAGGATATGCCATCTGTGAGGAGTTGCTGGGGCAAGGAGTGACACCACCAATCAAGCTTGCGACCGGCCTGAGCTTTCTGAAAGTTTTGTCTAGGGTTTAGGGTTTAGGGGGGAAGTCCAACATGGAAACCTAAAAAATTATCAGAAGTTCCTGAGTATACTTGTTCTCTAACACACGTCGAGACTTTGTTCTAATTACTGAGTCCCCTATAGTGGGGCTTAGGAGTCTGTTGAGAAGAAGAACCCAGCACCCTCGATGTGTTGCCTTTCCAATACAGGTGCTTCAATAATTTTCGAATGGGGTTTTTGGGCACAATGTTGTATGATTATCTTAAGGAACCATAAGGAATCGTACTGGCCATTCTATTAAGATTTATATTAACCTGCTTCTAAACCATCATCAAGACCTAGGCAGGGGACGCCGCCTGGAACAAGTTTGGTGCCGACCTCACCGTGCTGCACCCGGAGCTGTCCTTGCAAGTTCTCACCTGCAGTCCCTCCGCGACGCGCTGTCCACCAGAGAGGCCCGGCTGTGGGATGTTCCGCACCGAAGGTGGCATAGCTTGCACAAACGAAGAACTGCTTTCGTCGTATCCCGTGCTGCTGGCAAAGATCCCCGGCGGTCAAAACAATTTCGTTGCAGTGGTAAATCGTGGCCACTACATCTGGAAGCATCTCCTTGACACCCGACGAATCTGGTCCAATTATCGCATGATGATATTGGAGCTACCGTGGCTGGAAGAACAGACGCACCATCTGTACTATCTTCGGGTAATGGAAGTTCTTCTGCACGACTTCAAGCTGGTCCACGCAGCCTGTTGGAAAGATCTGTACCGTCTTGCTATGTTAAATGACTCTGACGGCTTTGGCCCCTAAAATCCAGAACCCCAAATGCGGAGCAGTCATAATCTGAAACGACCTTTCCTTAAAGCCCCAAGCCCCAAACCCAGGTAGATGCATCGACATGCCACGGACGATGGCAGATCCGATCAACAGAGGTCGGGATGCCACGGGTGGTGCAGGCCACCTTCGTCCGCAAAGATCTGGCTGTCGCACAAGCCTCTAGGCTGCTCATGAGCATCACATTTTACTTTTAATATGTTCAATAGAGCTTTACTAAAGAAGGATAGCAGCTACAAGCAAAGTTGCGATGGTTCGAATTGATTTTGAACTGCAAGAAGAGACCAGGCTTGCACTACCCAGCTGCACTGGGACTCTAGCGTTTGGGACTGCCCGGACCTGCCAAGGTCGCGCGGTGGCAGCAGAATCATCGAGGGTGGGATTCAGGATTTAGTCCTTAGAAGTTTGAGGTTTAGGGTTGGGGTCTCCTTTTTGCTACTTGCTGCACTGCGTTCCTGATTATCCTTATTGTCACAACTTAAGCCAGCTAGGAACCGAAGCCAGGATTCTCGACCCTATGTCCCGAAATGCTTGAACCAAACTGTAAAGCAAGTCTTTCCCCAGAGGTCCTTATAGTTTAGGGTACACTTCTTGTAATGTATATAAGTAACAGGTATACTGCTCAGCCAGTGTCCATTCCTTATTTCTAGGGGTGTTGGGCTCTCTGGGTGTGCACTGTCGAGGCCCCTAATGATGCATCCTACCCCAAAACCCTATTCTGCAAACCCTAATCCCGTAACCCTGAACCCTAAATCCCCAAAAACCCGATGCACTACTATTCTGCGTATTAGGGCCCTCATACTACATGAACTCTGGGAGAACCTTCGAGGCAAGTATCGGAGCCCTTACAGGAGTCCGTAAGGCGACTCTAAGATGAGCACCCTGGGCCTCCCCCAACGCATGCGCCGAAAGCCTGACGTGTGATTTAGGGTCTACCTATTATAGGGTAACCGTCTTTTTGTGAAGAAGGTGAAGGTACTTAATGGTAGGGTTTTTACCTTTGTTTTGCATGTACTTCGGCTACTCTAAATTTTAGAGAGCCGACCCTAAACCCGACGTTTGAAGCCTAAGCTTCAAGCCCGAAACCCTATACTCTACGCCCGACGCCCTCAACCTTCAAGCCGGACCCTAAACCCTAGACCCTAAACCCTCAAGCCCCTAAACCCTAAACCCCTAAACCCCTAACCCCCTAAACCCTAAACCCTAAACCCCTAAACCCCTAAACCCCTACAGCCCCTAAACCCTAAACCCCTAAACCCCGAAAAGCGCCTTAACTTGAAGCCCGGAGCCCTCAACCCTTTCTGCTCCGAAGCCCCAAACTCCAAGCCATACGTCCGAAGCGTTGAGCGACAAGTCGGTGTCTAGGATGCCCAGTAGTACCCTTATTCCTTTTTTGTAGTCCTAGTCCTTATAAAGTTACCCAATACCAAAAAGAGAGGCCTTTTTATTCTTAGGTTACTGGGTGTCCTCGGTGTTCTGAATACCTACGGTTTGGGGTTTAGGTTGAGGGTTTAGGTTGGGGGCTTAGGGTTTTAAGGGTTTAGGTTTAGCTTTTAGGGTGTTAGGGTTTAGGTTTGGGGTTTAGGGTTTTAGGTTAAGGGTTTAGGGTTTTAGGGTTTTAGGGTTTTAGGTTTGGGGTTTAGGGTTTTAGGGTTTAGGTTTGGGGTTCAGGATTTTAGGTTTAGGTTTCGGGTTTAGGGTTTTAGGGTTTAGGTTTCGGGTTTAGGGTGTTATAGGGTTTAGGTTTAGGGTTTAATTGGTGTAGCCTATTGCACCCGCCAGCACCCTGTTCAAATCATCAAGGCCCCTATATCAAGTGGCGTAAGCCTTGCCCCACCAGCACCCAAGGACGCCCCCCCAACCGTTGAGCTTGGTCGGGGCGCCTGTTCTGGGAGACTGGGCCTTGATATAGCATCCGCTTCAGGATTTAGGGTTGATAGGTCGAGGAGCTGAAGTTTTAGTAAGGTCTCGGATGTTGGGCTCCAGGCAAGGGATGACGAAGGTCCGGGCATTCCTGCCCGATGCTTGTTTGTGTTTCGCGGCTGGAAATTAATTGAAAGTAGGTGGCAGTAGCAATGAGTGATGCATCCTAGCTGTGTCAGAACATGGCGGCCGAGATACCTGTCAATTACCTTGTCGGTTTTAAAGTTCTATAGAGAAGAGCCCTAAACCCTAAACCTCTAAGCCTCTTCACGAAAAAAATCGTGTGTCCTCGAGGCACAAGCCAAATCCGCCCAAGCTTAAGGTGCTGCGGGCTTCTTTATCGTTGGGTTTCTCAGTGCTTGTAGGATGTAGGGAGTGATCTATGTTGGGACTATTTAGAGCTGAGGGTAGACGGTTTCCGGATTTAGTTTGTCTTGCTTAAACGTCCAGAGGGGTGTTGTCCATCGATGGCAGCTGACCTAAGTGCGGCCCTGCATCTACTTGTTGTTGGTTCAGTTTAGAGGTTTAGAGTTTAATCGGTTTAGGGTTTAGGGGCGGTGAGAAAGGTCAATGTATTTTTGAAAAAGGACACACAGCTCCTCATCTCCCAACTAAGCCTTAGACCTGAAAGCCTGAAACCTAAACTCTAAATGCGTTTGCCCAAACTCCAAATTTACCCCTAAGCCCTAAACCTTACAACCTAAACCCGTAAACTCAAAGCCTAGACCCACGGCCTAAAGGCTAAACTCCAAGAAAGGCACCCCCAAAAGCCATCGAAAGGAGAGCCTCACTGGGGCGTCTTCCAAGTCTATGCATCACCCATCGATGGCTTCGATGACGTCCTGGTACCTCACAGGACACGTGGTGCGGCGTAGAGTCTAGGATTCAGGGGCTTTGGGGAACGGGGGCCTGGGGGTTGGAAAATTAGCGGTGTAGATGTGTAAAGGTTTAGGGGACTTGGAGCAAAATCACTTTTGACCAGGGTTTAGGGTGATTGGAAAAAGAAATTGTTTAGATGGCGATGTTGCTTGATACAGGAAAGTAGTAACCCATTGCAGTTGAAATGTTATCATCGACACCGAAATCATGAAGGCGTCGAAATAGGCCCGTGAACCGGCGCTCTCGTGAAAGCAGAGCTTCCCTTACCGAGAGACATAGACTCATAGACTGGCTTGCAATACAACATAAAACTGTTGTTCTGTCGAGAAAAGCAGGCCTTGACCTACTAATCGTACCTACATCAGTCATGATCATTATCATCGTCATCGTCATCGTCATCAGCAGCATCAGGAAACCAGGATAAGCCCATTCAGCGGCGCACTTCCTTCATTCAGGAGTGTCTCGCTGGAGTTGCTGAAGAGATTCCGGCTTTGTCACACCTGCGCGGCCGGCGACAGCGATTTTGTTCGCATCGGAGGCAATAGACGCTCGGCTCTCCAAGCCGCTCCAGCAGCCAAGTTTCACTCGTTGGGTGCTGTATGGTTTAATGGAGTTTACAATGTTCTTTGGGTTTACTTGGTTTAAAGTTTTGGGTAGAGGTTTCGGGGTTTAACATACAAGTTTTGGGGCTTAGGGTTTAGGGGTATACTCTTGAGAACGGACCACACACTTGTGAGCCAAACCCAAACCTTCAACTCTGCTAGATTCGACAACGAACCAGGCGGCAAAAGGCGCTTTAAGCAAACATACATAAACTCTGCCAAGGAGACGGTGGCCTTTGTAAGTAAAACACCCTAAACCCTAAACCCGAATTACACCCCTAGACCCCTGAATCCCTAAACCCCTCAACCTCCAAGCCCCTAAACCCCCAAACCCCTCAACCCTAAACCCCTCAACCCCTCAACCTCCAAACCCCTGAACCCGTAAACCCCTAAACCCCTAAACCCCTAAACCCTAAACCACCAAGCTGAATGATACGAAGTTTGGTGGTTTCTGCCTGCCCAAAACGGGCTGAGAAAGCTGTCAGACTCTGTCATGCAGACTCAAAAAGGCCCTCCAAAAAAAGCCAAACAACTCTAAACCCCTAAACCCCTAAACCCTAAACCCCCCCAAAACCCCTAAACCCCTAAGCAACCCTAAGCAACCCTAAACCCCTAAACAACCCTAAACCCTGAACCCCTAAACCCCTCAACCCAAGGAGACGGTGGCCTTTGTAAGTAAAACACCCTCACCCCTAACCCCTTATTACACCACTAAACTCCTAAAACCTTTCAACCCCTCAACCCAAGGAGACGGTGGCTATCTCATTTGCGGCCAGGCTGCTCGGGACTTGACCTTGGCCTTTTCCATCGGAATTCGTGGAGCCTCGGTCCGGGATTCTTTGGGGTTCGGGGTTTTGGCTTTTAGGGCTTATTCAGGGTTTAGGGTGTAGGGTTTATAGGGTTTAGGGTTGAGGGCTTAGGTTTAGGGTCGAGGGGTTTAGAGGTTTAGGGGTTTAGGGTCTAGGGGTTTGAGGTTTAGTGTTTAGGGTTTTGGCGTTTAGGGTTTAGGGCAATCCGATACCCAAAGTACTATTCGTTAGTTCTGTTGTTTATTTTTTAGCATGTCAACCATTACTTAGATTAGAACCTTTAGTCTTCTTCGTACTATGATTAGGCCCCAGAGTAGGCCCTTATTCCCTTTTTTAGGGGTTCAGGTTCCCTTATAAGGCCCTTTAAACCAACAAGGGCATCCTTTTTATGCCTGGGTTACTCTGGGGTCTAGATGATGAGGAATCGTATTAATGGCTTCTTTATTTGTAGCGGTCGTGGCCGTTGCAGTAACAAATGCGTCGTCCCTTCTCCAGGCCATGAGCCGTAACCCTAAACCCTAAACCCTGAACCCGAAACCCTAAACCCTAAAACCCTAAACCCTCAACCCCCAAACCCTAAACCCCTAAAGCCCTAAACCCTAAAACCCTAAAGCCCGAAAGCCCTAAAACCCTAAACCCTAAACCCTGAACCCAGGAATGGACCCCTTCGGGGCGGCGCTGTCCGAAGAGTTTGGGCCCAGGGTGGAGGGTTTCGATTGCACCTTAGGTCAAGGCTAGGGGTTTAGGGTTTAGGGCATGTAGGCTTTGGGGTTAGGGGCTTAGGCTGTGGGGTTCAACAACTGGTTTGTTAAAGGGTTTTTGGTGCTGCGCGCTTTTTTGTTTATAGTTTTGGGCTTAGGGTTTGGGCTATTCGAGGTTGGGGAATTCACGGTTTCGGGTGGTATTTTTTCTTTTAGTTGGTTTGGGTTTCCTTCCGAACATGGACCAAGGTACAGGGGATCCTTACCGCTGCCCAGCGGCTCTGACAAAATGCCGCTTTAACTTTAATCCCCTCTGCCTCGGGAAGCCTTTTGGGGGCAAGCCCGCATCGCAGTTCCTGAGCCTTGGCCGGTTCAGCCATGCCTGCTTGGTAATACCCCAAACCATAAAGCCCTAAGCCCCTAAACCACTAAACCCGAAACTCCGAAACCCAAGCCCCCAAACCCTAAATGTCTGAATCTTGCACCTCCTGAGGAGCCTCTCCGAAATCCTAGATCGCTTTGCCGAGCCCTCGGATGAGATGTTGCTTAAGATCGACTGTGAGGGCTGCGAGTGGAACGTGCTGCCCGAAATCCCTTCCGAGGCTACTGGGTGCTTAAAGGATCATGGGACTTAGTAACTGGGGTTATAAGTAAGGTAACTACAGTTATAATTACATATAACCCTAATTAAGGTGCTTATAACCCTACTTACGAAGTCCCATGATCCTCCAAGTAGTAGGATCCTGTACTAGGTATCGGTTTGAGATAACTTTGAACTTCCCTGGATGTACTTAAAGGTCAGTTGGTTCAACTGGTTCTGCATTTAGGTTCCTTTAAAGGAACTACTTAAAAGGGTCATGGGACTTAGTAACTAAGGATATAGTTACAGAGTCCAGATGACGTTTTTCGTTTTAATTTCCTTCTTTGTTGATGATGCAGCACAGGTTTTAGAATGTTTGAGGACTGTTGAAGGCGACACCTAGATTAGGATCCTGTGCAGTGAGCCCTAGGAAGTTGGAACAAGGGACAAGGATGATTGGAGCTAAGATTCCTTATGCCGGACCGTAACGGCTTAGGGTTTAGGGTTTTCTTAGGGTTCAGGGTTTAGGGTTTAGGGTTCAGGGTTTAGGTTAGGTTTTAAAAGGGTTTAGGGTGCGGGAGGATGATCATGTTGCAGCTTCCGACCTTCTTTAGGGCTCAGTATCAAGGGCTTGTGAAGGCCAGATTTCAAGAAGTAGTTCTGCACATCGGAGCCCCAGATTGGCAATACCTCAACGAGAACTCGGAGGGAACCCAACGTTCTTGTACTGCGCCGATCGCTCTCCTTGGCGTTCTCTGAACATGTGACTTTTGCAAAGCATTGCAGGTTCTCAAGCGCTTTCGAATGATCGTCATGGAAGCGCACTGGCTCGAGACGCAGCAGAAGCACCCCACAATGCTGAAGGCACGCCCCCGTTGTCCATCCCTCAATTATTTCTGATACTGTTTTGTTGCTCTTCTAATCTTTGATGTTCTTATTATGCCCATCATTATCATCATCATCGTTGTTTTGTGTGGTGGTGGGGGTGGTGGTGGTGGTGGTGGTGGTGGTGGTGGTGGTCGTGGTGGTGGTGGTTGTTCTTGTTGTTGTCATTGTTGTCGTGGTGGTGGTCGTCGTCGTTATTGTTGTTCAGTTTTTTTTATAATTACTTCAGCATGAGTCGTCTCACTACTATGAGTTGCTACTGTGAGTATTCTGAGTTTGGATTCCACCGTTTTTAGGGCCTAATTCACTTGCCCCTGCCAGCTAGGAGAACCGAAGACTAGATTTGAAGCCAGAAGCAGGTACATCACCCAGGACCTCCATAAAAGTTGTTGGGCCTGGTCAAACAAAGGGGATGTCAGAGCTTTTCGGCCGTCTTCCTGTGAAACGGCCTGGCTCCAAGCCTCATTGCACCTGATCGTGAGGTAGTTCTGGGGTCGTACCGGACCCCTCAACCCCAGGCCCTGAACTCTAAACCGTGAGGTGGGTGGTATTAGTATAGATTAGGGGTCTGACAGATTTGCTGAGGCCCAAACAGCAGATTCCTCCTGGTAAGGAATTCTTTTCGTACCTGCAGTTGGAAAAGGGCCTCCTCCCCGCAAAAAAAAAACAAGTTAAACAGTACCGGACAGGGCTTAAGGGTCCTTGTTTGGGGTGTCCTAGGGTCTTTGGATCACTACGGGCTAAGTGTGAACCCACCCTCAAACCACAATCCGAAAAACCGACACGCTTTAGTGTTCATCATCATTGCTGAATATATGTTTTTGTTATTGCCGTCATCTGCAGTGTTTCTACTATTATATTTAATGAACATATCATTTGTGTGTATTATGAGGCCATGGACCTCATCCTGGAGAACTTCCACCTGGTGCACAGTCACGGCTGCAACCGCTTTGATGTTTGGGCAGTGCGCCTGGGCAAAGCAGTCTCCCCGAGCCTATACAGGGTTGAAATCTTCTTCCTGTGCAGACCGAAAACACTGAATGTTTAGTCACAGAAATCGTAATGGCAATAGTAATACTGAGAATAACTTGAATAATCGTACTGACAGTACTGTTCATGGCAACAGTAACAACGACAAATATGTTGTTCCTTTACAGCCCGTCGTGCTGAAGATAAGCCTCGAGAAACAGGAAGGGATAGTCCCAGAACAACCCCGAACACGGAGCAAACAAGGCGCCATCCGCGCAAGCTTTGGACCCGGAAGCAAGCCCAAGTTGAGCCCAGAACCTGACCCGAAGCCCTCAACCCTCAATCAATCCCGAAACCCCTAAACCGCTAAACTTTCAACGGTAAACGCTGAACCCCGAATGAACAAAATCAAACTGTGGCCCCTGCTCCAAAGTCGTTATAGGGGGTTTGGTGGTCAAAAGCTTTCTTGTTTTCGGTTCACGGTGCTGTGTTCTACAGGGTTTCCCAAGGATGCAATGAGGATTATGTAATGTTTCTGTATGTCAGACTGGGTTGAGCGTTTGTTTTGTGGTTTTGCGGGTCAGGATGTTGGTTTGGATTCTTGTATTATTCGGGTCTGAAAGATTTAGGGGTTTAGGGTTACGGAAGTGGGATGGGTTGTGCTTTCTTGACCGAACATGTAGACCAGGGTCACGGGTGTAGGGATTAGGGATTTAGGGTTTAGGGGTCTGTATCACCCAGGCTGCAGACTAAAGCCCCGAGTTTTTAAATCCTCGGCAACCTCAGGAATGGCACGGACTACAAGATGCCTCGAGTGGTGGAGCTGACGTTTGTTCGCAAGGACCTCGCTGTTCCTGCAGCTTGCGAAAACTCGAAGTATCGCACTTGGGCGGCAGAAGATGGAAGAAGCGAGTCACCTGTTGCATCGTACGGTAATCATCAGTATAATGAGCAATAATTAGGACACAATGTGGTCTAAAAAGTTTAGACTGCCCTTCCAAGCCTCATAGAGTAGCAGAACATTAGTATCGCAGTATAGCCCTGATTCAAACCCTAAGCCGTGCACCTTACAGAGCAGGATAGACCCGATGCTTCGTCTCGGTCCTCTGACAGAGCTTTCCACCGGGGCAGTAGGACATGCGGGGCAAAAAGTCAGATGGAATTACTCCAATGCAGCAGAATGTTCTCAAATAGCACACAAGATGTACCTATAGCTTCTCCGTCCTCAACAGCGACACCAATCTAGTTTGTAAAGATTGAGTGGGTTGTATGTTCGTCTAGGGTTAAGTCGAGGGGCTGCGAACTGCCTTCGACGATTGCCACATGACGCGGTTGTTGCGGCGGGGCGGGGCGGGGTCGGGGCACGGATGGAACCTCGCCATTCGCTCCCCATTTCGGAAGAGTGATGGTGACATGGTGAGTACTCGGACCCGCACGAACCGGGGTCCATAAAGGCATCTGCGGCCACAACAGTGCAGCCGCAAGCACCTCCGCAGGTTCGACAGGCTGTCGCTTTCGAAGGCGAGCAAGCCCTCTTGCTTAGCCTTCGAGAAAATCACAGCATCGGTGCTCAGCAGAACAGTGGCAGCAGCAAAGCAACTGCGGCAAGAGATGTCGCCTTTAAACTCGGTCTTTCTTCAGGCCTCGACCATGTTCGGCCATCCTTCTCACATTATTAGTTCTCCTTTACTCCTTAACCCTCCAAGCCAAAGCCACCAAGCTCAAGAGAAAGGGCTAAACTTATGTGGCCCATTTCGAAACTACAGCAGAACTGCAGAATTTTGAGCCCACCCTGAGAAGCTCTGAACCCCCGGAAGCACCTACCGCCGAGCAGAGCCGCCCCTTTGAACTGTGGATTTGAAAGCAGCGGCTTTCTTAGATAGTGAACGGGGGAACTTTAAACTTTGTGGTGTTATGTGTTAGCTCTATCTTCGAAAGTTTGAACTTTTTGGGACCCGGTTGTTGAAGAAGAGAGCTTTAGGGTTTAGTAGCTAGGGTTTAGGGCTTAGGGCTTAGGGTTTAGGGTTTGGGGCTTAGGGTTTAGGGCTGAGGGCTTCGGGCTTAGGGGGGAGGGTTTGGGGTTCGAAGCCTTGAATCCAATGCCTAAACTCAGGCAACGGCCTCGACAAGCCTATTTGTGGCTTCCGTGAGCTGAATGCGAACCACTTCAGACCGGGGGTGGGTGGGTGTGATCTGGGCTTTGAGGGAGGCACGAAACCCTAAACCTTAAACCCTCAAACCCTAAACCTTAAAATTTAAACCCTATTCCCTTAAATGCTAAACCCTAAACCCCTACGTTTGGCATCGGGGGTGGGGCCAAGACGGATTGGGAAGACTCTATTAAACGTACTCTGAGAATCTTACAAATGTCGTCTGCGTATATGTAGCTCCTCATACTACAACCCAGTTCTGAACCTTGCAGGCAGCTATATGAGGTCTGTGCAGGAGTGATAATTCCCGACTTTGCATCTCGAGGTTCTCTATTAGGCAAGTTGTTATCGCAGGGGCCAGGTAGGTAATGTTGAAAATCCTTTGCGGATATAGATCGTACTACCATACCTAAAAGCAAAATGCTGGCCTTTCTGGGGCTGGGCTACTCAGCCCTAGGACCGTGCCTCAGACATATTCCGACATGACTTGTTTGCTGAAAGCACTGCCCGAATGTCGCAGCCACGATAATGTCGGTTGTGACGACTTTCATGACAGCAGTGATGGAGAGGGGTGCTGTGGTGCATGGTGTTTTCCATGTCCTGGTCACGGTCGTGGTTATGGCGCGGGTGTTGCTGATGAAGAAGATGCAGGTTTGTTTTTTGCCGCTTCATTGCTGCTGCTGCTGCTGCTGCTGCGGTTGCTCATGGTGACCCCAGGTTTGTTTCTCGGCAGGGTCGGCACCGTATGGTTTGACCTTTGTTGTTGTTGTTGTTGCTGCTGCTATTCAGTCGTGCTTCGGTCTTCACCATGATGTGCTTCTGACGGTCATGACTCACCCCACGAATACTAACAGTACTACTTACCGGCAGTATTTCTCTTTCTGCTTCTTTTTAATGCTGCTAGTTCTGGTACCAATATCTGTTCTGGTCCTAGCTATGGCGCCACCACCACTACTAAGAGCCAAGGAGAGAGCAAAAGCGACAACTGCCGACTACTATGAAGCATTATAATGTTTTTCATTCCGATTTCTGTGTCACTATTACTTCTGCTGCTGTTACCGCGATGCTGCTATGCTGGTATTACTGCTACTGCTACGTACTGCCACTTCCGCCATGACAGAGGCGAGCTCCTGTTGGAGAAAAAGTATTCAAGAAGCACTTTAGAAGCCTAATCCTCCAGATGGGGGTTTCCTATGTTGGGGTCCTTATAATCATGGGGGGGGTTTCCTACGTTGGGGTCCTTATAATGAGGATCCTTCTATTTAGGCTATTATATTAGCGACCCTGTTTCCGGAAACTCCGATTTTCCTGCGCCCCCCTAAACCAGAAAGCCTCCGTAGTCTGGTGCTCTTTAAATCTTAAAGCCTACAGCAGAAGCCAGAAAGTTGGAAACCCAATAGCCTCAATCCTGAAGAGTAATGTGCAGGGAATCCCAGCACGATTTGGCTTCAATCCGGTTTCCATCTTTATGGGGTTTAATTCCTGCACGATTTTGCAGGACTGCCAGCTGCAGACTCTGAAAGCAGGTGAGGATTCGGCGAGCTGAACTTCCTTGGGGTCTCCCGCCCAATGTCCCTGCTCGGAACGTAGTCCCTGCGCACGAATATACGGATCAGAATACTTCGTAATGCAGTCGTGCACACTCCCAAACCCTATTCAACTTTCTGAAGGCCCCTGCGCCACTTCGAAATATGGTGATCGATGCTTTCATGCTTCCGGGCTACATCTACTGTTCAGGTCGGTTAGGAACCTTTGGGGGATATCTAGTCCGACGCTAGAGGCTAGCTCAGTATACATGGACCCTCTCTTCGAAAAGGAAGCCTTCGTCGTCAGCTGTGTTTGGCGATCGGGCGGTTGTTCAATACCCTTCCGGTAGTTGTAGGTAAGAGAGCCTGGATCCTGGAAAGTTCGTAAGGGATCCCTACAAGCATACTAAAATATTCCCCGAAAACCAGTTTTGCGAATCAAGGCCCCTATATATCAGGTACTATACCATTCCGCCAGTACCCCAAGTCGAAGCAAGCAGCTGGTTTCCCATAGCTGCCCTGGCCAAAGTCGCCCGGCATTACCAGGTATACTCAGACGTTGTGGCTTCAAACTATTACCATTGTTACTCTTGCTACTGTTGTTGCTCTAGAAATCTGCCAACACGGCAGATCTCGATGCAAACCGTGGATGCGATCGGAGATGCAGCATCCCAAAAAGGTCTCTTTGCAACAGCCCCTCAACCTTGGCAACGAATCAAACCCGACACCCCCAAAACCTAAACTCAAAGCCCCGAAGCCGTGCCCAAAACGACACCACGACACAACAAAGCAGCACTCCAAACTCAAACCCTTGACCCCGTGTAACCCTAAATCGTGAACTATAGAACTCGTGCCTCGAGCCCGGATACCCCTACCACTATGGGCTATTAGACCCTAAAGATCCCTATTAGGACCCTATTAAGGGTAGATTAAGGTACCCATAAGGTCTAATAGCCCATAGTGGTATGCATGCGTGCATTCACAGAGATTGAGCGATGGGTGCGCTGGTCTGCATACGCACTTCTGCGCGCACACAGAGGTACACGCGCTCTGTTAGTCAACCGGGCTTATTTTGATGGTCCTCCCGGCTTCAGGTTGACTCGTTTGGATTGGCCGTCAGTCAATGGTCTTGAATATTTTGGCTTGGTGATTTGTGGCTTCTGGGTACGTCCAGGGGGGTGCAGGGGTTCAGGATTTGGGGTTTGCAGTCGGGCAGAGAAACTGCTTCAATTGCAACCACGCTGGCTCTCGACAGAGATTGAAGGATACCAGTAGCTTACCGAAGCTTCCCGATGCACAGCAAACGCAAAACTGCCCAAAGCTATGCCGGGGCATCCTAAATGCTGAAGCTCGGCTTAAAACCGAAGCCGATCTCCTTTAGCCCCTAAACCCTAAACCCTAAACTCTGAATCCCCAAAAGAACCCCTAGATCCCTCTGCCCTCCTACAGGCCCCGGGCCCCCAAACCGCAAGAGCCCCTATGCCCCAAAACCCTAAACCACCATATCCCTCATAGCCCCGAAACCCCCATCCCCCAAACCCTAAACCCTAAACCCTAAACCCTAAACCCATCCCCTAAACCCTAAACCCTAAACCTTACAACCCGTAAACCGTAAAGTCGACATCTCCTTACCCCCCCTTGGCCCACCCCCTAAACCCTAAACCCTTCGTTGGGCCCTTAGCCATGATCCCCATACTGCTTGCTCTGGCCTTTCCCGGGCTGGGCCGCTGCATGAAGCTTGGGCTGTGCGGGGTGGTGGTGGGGTTTATGGGTTTTGAGTTTAGGGTTTAGGGCTTTTGGGACGGTAGCGTAGTCGCGGTCGCAGTTTCAGGTTTAGTCGTAGTCGTCGGCGTCGGCATCGTCGGGGTCGTGGTCGCTGTCGTTTTCCGGGTCGTGTCTGTAAGTATAACCCTATGCAGCCCAAAAGATCTGACCCTTGACCCTGAGTTCCCGTAGGAAGCTGGAAGTTAAGACGGCCTCATCTGGAAGCCACAAATCAATGCTGAGAAGGGTTTGGTGGAGGGCTGAGAGTTCAGATTTCAGAGTTTGCAGTCTGAGGTTTACGTAGTCTGTTATAATTATATATACATATACATATACATATATATATATATATATATATTCAATCTCCATCAGAATATCTTACAGTCAATGTCTGGCATGCAGCAATGGTCGACCGTCGTCGCACGAACCGTGGCATTTGCAGCGTTAGATCGTATCATCATGCTGCAGCACGAGGAGTAGCACGAGTAGCTGCAGTCGCAGTTATCATCGTGGTCTGCTCCGTCTTCCATCTAGCGGAATCTAGCGGTTGTCGGAGTCAGCACAACGACAAGCAGCTAGAATTGCGCGAAGCAGACGAAGAACGGCAGCAACGACATCTCATGTCATGTCTATTATAGTATATCATAATTGGCATGTTATAGGTTGTTCTAATTATAAACATATACTATATTAGACTATACTTTATACTATATTATGTCATATTAATTTGTTATTATATTATAAAAATATTAAAATTGTTATAGTACTGAGATTCAGGATGCTGCCTGACATCGTGGGTATCGGGCACCAGCTCCTTCATCGTCGCATGCCGGAGGAGGGAGCGTGGGTGGAAGCTCCTGAGCTGATGCTCCCAACAACAGAGGAGCCCGGGGTTTAGGGGGTTCCTAAAAGGATCCTATAAGGGTGCCTTCAAGGGATCCTATAAAGGATTTGTCAGGGTTTAGCCTGAACCGTATTGGGGTTTTAAGTTTGGGGGTTTTAGGGGTTTAGGATTTAGCGTTTAGGGGTTTAGGGGTTTACGGGTTTAGGGGTTAGGGGTTTACGGGTTTAGGGTTTAGGGGTTTAGGGTTTAGGGGTTCAGGGGTTTAGGGGTTAAGGGTTTAGGGTTTTAGGGTTTAGCTGTTAGGGGTTTAGGGTTCAGGGGTTGGGGGTTTAGGGTTTAGAAGTTTAGGGTTTAAGGTTTGGGGGTTTAGGGCTTCGGGTTTAGCCCTTGAAATCAGTGATTGAGGCTTCTTTGGGCTGCCTGAATACTTACCAACACTATCTTGGGGGGATGCTTATCATAAGTGCTGTATCATTATATAACATACCCCAAAATCTCATTGTAATTGAAAAGGCCTCTAGATTTGGGGCGTCGAGGTGTGGTTTCAGGGGACTCGTTTTTTTTTGGGGGGGTGGGGGGATTTCATAGTGACGGGCATCGTCTAAGTGAAGGCCTATTTACGTGGTTCTTGCCGCCTGTTCGGGAAGTTGGTTCCGGGATGTGCCTGCACCCGATTATATGTCTACCGTGAACCAAAGCTGCTTAAACTCCGTAAGTCCTACAACACTAGGGCAGAGACAGATGGCCTCAACTTTGGACAATCACCTGACTGATCTTAGTCCAGTTTGGTGCTTTGTTGTGACAATCGGGGTCATCGGAAAGGCCAAATCGACAGATCAGGGCCAGTTAAGCGTCACCAGGTCTTCGATTCGACTGCTTCTGTCCCAACCAAGAGATTCATAAAGTCCACTTCCCTAAACCCCCAAACCCTAAAAACCCTCTGCTTGTAGGATCCTTCAGTCATTCAGCGTTCATGCCTGGACGGAGCATTCTTGGAGGTTATAAGTCCCCTAATTTGGATTATAACTATAGCTACCCCACTTATAACCCCACTTATAACTCCCCGTGACCCTCCAAGTTGAACCCTAAACCTTATACCCCTATAGAATCCCTGTACATCCGGGAACCCTCATAACTTCCAAGTTGGGATCGAAACCCGAAACCGCTGAACCCCTGGCCAAGCCTGGGACCTCGAGCTCCAAACCCCCAAATGGGAGTTTCCGAAAAAAGGGGGCCCCCATATAGTACCCTATAGTTATTATGAGGACCCCAAAATAAGGCACCCCTAATTTCGGAAACTCCTAAATCGAAATGCACACAAAAATCTTCAAACTTTACTAACTTTGGATGCCTGGAGTAAACCCAAAAGCCTAATTCCCCGAGGCTTTACAACCTTATACGCTAGACCACCGGAACCTCAAACCCCAGACCCAATTCAGGAATATTCCTCTTAGGGACTCTAATTTAAGGTATATTCCTTAATTATAAGGGATATTGAAGTTTCTGGGAAGGAGATCGCGGAGATGCCAACCAGTGAGCGAGAGCAGCGAGCAAGGTTTTATTTGCCACGAAGCTTGCATTGTTGGGCGTTGTTGTGGTTCAGCTCCAAAGCCCTAAACTCTATACCTTCAACGGTAAACCTAAATCTGCAAGGCTTGTATGGGTTGAGACGCTGAGTCCTATACTGTACCCTTGGCGATTGTTGGTTTTGAACAGGTGCTCTGGGCTAAACTGTCCTCTCAGAATGTACGGGGCCGTAATGATGACTCTGAACAAAATGATCCGTCTGACAAGCACACCTAGAGAAAAAGGCACCCTGCGTTTCAACTAACCTTACATTCTTTTATGCTGGTTACGAGTTTCGGAAAATTATGGGGTACGTTATTTGTGGGTCTTTATAATAAGGATCCTATTATTTAGGGCACTATATGAGGGCCCCTGCAGAGTTTCCAGGCTATCCCGGCCTTCAGGTGCTGTCGGTCTTTCGATCTGTGATGCATTTCTCAAAGGGGACAAGGAGGGACCCTTAAGGGGGACCCCTACCCAATAATGGGCTATATAATGGGTATATAGTCGATATATTAGGGGTATATACCTAGGGGTCCGTATTGAGGGTCCCTCCTTTTACCCTTGGAATTTCGTTTTCGTTTCAAGATGTGGTGCTGCATGTGTTGAGCCTGAAGCTGTGCGCCTAGGTGCATCAGTCCAAAGACTACCTAGCAGCTAGCAATGTCATTTCTTCCGGCGCTTTACTACTTTGTAACCCCTTATCCTTAGCTTCCGTGCTTTTTTCGGCCTGTCGATTTGCGGCATGTATGCTTAGGAATGCACCAGGAAACTCCGGTGTGTGTCTACGAAAGACTTCTCAGAGTTAGCAGCTAAACCCCAAACCCCTGAATCCTAAACTCTGAACCGAAACTACACCTCTAGATCCTGAAGCTTAGACCCTACACCTCTGAAGCCCAAGTTCGAAGGCTTCAAACCTGAACCCTAAGCATCCCGAAACCCTAAAACTGAACCCGAAACCCGAAGCCTAAACTTCAGACCCTAAAACTAAGCCCTAAACTCTGAAGCTAAAACTTAAACCCACCCCGCTGTTGATCTTGGAGCCTGCATGAGGTCAGCTTTCCTGCTGACTTACGGGGTGACGCTCGTGGTGGGCACGGCAACTAGGGCCACCAAGTAGTACTCTTGCTCCGTTCTGGCTCGGTTTCACGGCTTTAGGATGATGTTTGGGAATCAGGGTGTACCCTATTCCCTTCTCTGCTTTGGAGTTTCCTTTAAGAGGCGTTCTCACCTATCCTTCAACCCTAAATTCAAAAAGCCCTGCACCCCTCAACCCCTCGTGTTCGTGAGTTGCTGGGGATCCTTAGGGATCCAAGAAGGACATAAGCATAAGCATTTTATAGGGATATCCCTACCTTATTGGGCTTTATCATAAGGGGGGGGGGTCTATATGGGATATACCTGCCCTTCTTTTCACTTATGTGCCTTTTTTTGGGGGCTCTATAAGTCTCGATCCGAGGCCATCATGAAAGTCGGGCCCAAGCTCTGCGGGGAGCGGCGGCGCGATGTCTACGAGCCCATGGGGAATACTGACTCCGAAGAAGAAGAGTCGGAGACTCTGCCGACAGGTGGGTTTAGGGTTTAGGGTTGAAGTCTAATTAGAGTTTAGGTTTAGGGTTGGGTGGGTTGCGAAGACGGTGATTGCAAGGGATGGTATAGGAGCCTTACATAATTAGAATAGAGTTTTGGGGTAATGTGGCGGTCGGATTAATAGTGGGGTACCCCCCCCCCCCGACCAAAAAACAAAATTCTCTTTAATTTGGAACCGGTAGCCCCGGACAGGGGTCAGGGGTCGGTCTGAGTGGCAGGGAATTGGGAGGTGCCGGGGTTTGGGGGCTGGCTTGGGTGCAGGGTCTGCGGTTCTGCGCGACTGCGCGGTCGGGGGTCGGGGGGTCTGGGCCAGCGCTTGAAACCCTAAACCCTGAACCCTAAACCCTAACGAATCCTAAACTCCTAGACCCTATAACAAACCCTAAACCCTAAGCCCTAAACCCTTCCAAAGGGGAGTCGGTCCAGATTCGACCCAAAACTTAATTTTTTTATACAAACTTTAGTACTGGAGAGGCCTCTTTTGAGCTAGGGTCCAATCCCCGATTCGGCGGTTCACCCTAGCAGCCCCCCCCAATAATCAAGGTATAGTAGAATAGTAGTACAGTAGTAGTACAGTAGTAGTATAATAATAATGCAGTAGTACAATAGTAATACAACAGTAGTACAGTGGTAGTACAATAGTAGTACAGTATTAGGACAATAATAATACAGTAGTACAATAGTAGCACAATAGTAGTACAGTAGTAGTACAGCAGTAGTACGATTATAGTACCGTAGTACAATAATAGTACAGTAGTAGTACAGTAGTAGTACAATAATAGTGCAGTAGTACAATAGTAATACAACAGTAGTACAGTGGTAGTACAATAGTAGTACAGTAGTAGTACGATAACAGTACAGTAGAACAATAGTAGTACAGTAATAGTACAGTAGTAGTACAATTGTAGTACAGTAGTACACTAGTAGTACAGTAGTAGTACCACAGTAGTACAGTAGTAATACAGTAATAGTACAGAAATAGTACCAATAAGCAAAGCATAAAGCCAGTGAGTACATTCCCCCAATAAGCAAAGCATAAAGCCAGCGCCTGAAACCTTAAACCCCGAACCCTAAACCCTAAAGAATCCTACACTCCTAAACCCTATAACAAACCCTGAACCCTAAGCCCTAAACCCTTCCAAAGGGGGGTCGGTCCAGATTCGACCCAAAACTTAATTTTTTATACAAACTTTAGTACTGGAGAGGCCTCTTTTGAGCTAGGGTCCAATCCCCGATTCGGAGGTTCACCCTAGCAGCCCCCCCAATAATCAAGGTACAATAGTAGCACAATAGTAGTACAGTGGTAGTACAGCAGTAGTACGATTATAGTACCGTAGTACAATAATAGTACAGTAGTAGTACAGTAGTAGTACAATAATAGTGCAGTAGTACAATAGTAATACAACAGTAGTACAGTGGTAGTACAATAGTAGTACAGTAGTAGTACAATAATAGTACAGTAGTACAATAGTAGCACAATAGTAGTACAGTAGTAGTACAGTAGTAGTACAGTAGAATAATAATAGTGCAGTAGTACAATAGTAACACAACAGTAGTACAGTGGTAGTACAATAGTACAGTAGTAATACAGTAATAGTACAGAAATAATACCAATAAGCAAAGCATAAAGCCAGTGAGCACATTCCCCCAATAAGCAAAGCATAAAGCCAGCGCCTGAAACCCTAAACCCCGAACCCTAAACCCTAAAGAATCCTACACTCCTAAACCCTATAACAAACCCTGAACCCTAAGCCTTAAACCCTTCCAAAGGGGGGTCGGTCCAGATTCGACCCAAAACATAATTTTTTATACAAACTTTAGTACTGGAGAGGCCTCTTTTGAGCTAGGGTCCAATCCCCGATTCGGCGGTTCACCCTAGCAGCCCCCCCAATAATCAAGGTATAGTAGAATAGTAGTACAGTAGTAGTACAGATTTTCATTCCTGACGCCCCAATAAGCGAAACAATTCTGCAAGAGATTTCCGGGCTTCAGGGCCAGGGTTTTAGGGTTGGGTGGGGGTTTGGGTGGGGGTTTAGGTCGTGGCTGCCTTAAGATTGACCATCAGCAAATAGCACAGCCCCGCCACCAAAAAATCACCCCAGCCAAAAAAAAAACGCATTAATTAGAACACCCAAATTTTTTTTGTCAGATTCGGAATTAGCCCCGGAGCCGACGCATTAAAAGAGCCTATATTCCTAAACCGACCCCCACATTATATGATACTATAATGGAAGTAAGGAACCCGGAACATAGCATTGGTAACCACTTAGGCCCCCATGTAGTACTCCAAGTGCTACGATGACTACTATAAAAAGCCGGATTTTGGTTTACGGAGTTTGCCATAGCAATTGATTTAGAGGCTAGTTTGGGGCTTCGTCGGAACCCCACGGAGCCCAGCATAGGGGTAATAGCACCTGTACAAGTACACGTTTACATATGATGCCGCAAAGCATTAACCCAACTTCTAGAATCCGTAAATTCAACCCTAAACCCCGAGACCACACCCTAAACCTAGCCTAAACCGTAAACCCCAAACCCTAAACCCTAAACCCTAAACCCTAAACCCTAAACCCAACCTTAACCAAGAGCTTCCTGGCAGGCCCTGTGCCGGAGGGGAGCCTGAGCGCTACCCGCCAGAGGATTCTCTTCGGGACCGTCTTCGGAGCGCCCCGGACTCGTAGAGTTTACGGTTCAGGGATTTAGGGTTTATGGGTTTAGGGTTTGGGGATTTAGGGTTTGGGGTTTTAGGGTTTAGGATTTAGGAGTTTAGGGTTTAGGGTTTAGGGTCTTTAGGGTTGAGGGGCCGAGAAGTTTTTTATGGGTATTTTGGAGCCAAGCCATCGCAAAATACAAGCTGCCTTACACCCTGTATCCTGGTTTGCATTCCAAACAAGTGGTTTAGAGTTTAGGGTTTGACAAGAACCGAGGCAAATTTGGCTTGCTGCCTCACAGCAGCCATCGTAACTTGGCACACAGTTTATGGTCCAGGATTGACACCAATGTGCTTTTCGGGCACAACTACCGTTGCCGTTTTTGTTGACGTCATGCTGTGCTGAGGAGGGACTTCAGGAGCTTGAATACTTACCCATACCGTTCCTTAGGGCTCCTTATTATAACCACATTCTAGTTTCGAAAAGTCCTTTATGTTGGTTCTGTTTAGGGTTTAGGGTTTAGGGAACGATGCCGGAGGCAGGAAGCCAACCGCCATAGTGCAGAAGCCATGGTATCAAAGTGTCAGCAGTCTGGCGGTCGTAGAGCTACTGTCGAGTTTAGGGCTTCGGGTTCGAAACCCTGACCTAAACCCTAAACCCAAACCCAAAACCCTAAAACCCTAAAACCCAAACCCCTGAACCTTAAACCCCCAAACCCCTAAACCCTAAGCCCAAACCCTAAACCCCTAAACCCCTAAACCGTAAACCCAAAGCCCCTAAACTTTTTGGGGTACTAGAATGGCCCAGGCGAGTCTCGCCACCAATCGCCTGTCAAAAGACACCGGCTTGGATTGGGAGGTCTACTTCCTCCTCTTTGTGCTCAACTGCACATGGCTTCTTGGCGTTCTTCTGGTTGGCTCTTTAGACTTTAAATTTTTGTGTTTCTATATGAACTATAATAAGGAGGCTGAAAGTATAACTTTTAGGAGGGGTTCAGAAGTGAGCCAAGGCTTGTAGTGCAAGCTGCTGTTGCGGTGTTTCGGCTGCGTGGGCGGCGCAAGTTTTCGCTTTCCGTGTTTGCCGAATGTACGATTGTAGGTACATGGCCCATTTTATCCGACGCGTACGACACGCTGAAGGATGTCCTTTTTGGTGCACTGTGCATCCAGTCTGAATACGTGCTGCTGAAAATCATCGGCGCGGCAAGCTGGATGTATCTGATACTAATTCACGTGTACTTTGCACGCGATGACAACTGTGTAGCAGATCTCATCCTGTGCTACTTGTGTGTTGTCATGGCACCGACGACAGCGGCGGATGTCGATGGCAATTCAAGCAGCATCAGCTGCTGGGTTATTGTTAAGGGCGTTAGTTAGTTATTTTTTGCTACCACTTAGAGCAAAAAGCATCGTTCTTGGTGGTGATGTAAAGTAATTAGGTACCTCTTGGAGATCTAAGGCTACTTCAGCTTCAGCTTTGTTGCGGCATGGTGTGCTTCCGCATCTGACACCGTCCTGCCGCTGCTGTACAAGCAGGCAGGCACAATGAAGCGACTCAAAGCCGCGATGCAAGCCCGGCGACATATTGATAGATTACTAATGTCATCGTTGCTCACTGCTGCTGCTGCTGCTCCTACTACTACTACTACTACTACTACTACTACTACTACTCCTGCTGCTGCTGCTGCTGCTGCTGCTGCTACAACAACTACTACTACTACTACTGCTACTACTCCTACTTCTACTACTACTACTTGTAGTACTACTACTACTAGTACTACTACTACTACTACTACTACTACTACTACTACTACTACTACTACTACTACTACTACTAGTACTACTACTACTACTAGTACTACTAGTACTACTAGTACTACTAGTACTACTAGTACTACTAGTACTACTAGTACTACTAGGACTACTAGGACTACTAGTACTACTAGTACTACTAGTACTACTGCTACTTGTTCTGCTACGACGACGACTACTATGATTCTTAGTTTCTTGCTACCGTGGTGAGCAGGTTTAAACGTTACTGTTGTAACTTCGTAAAATGCAGATATCAGGATTATTTCTGCATTACTATCAAACTCAGTAGCATCTGATGGCCCACAGGTGACACCGACCAAGCGCCATCTGCTCCTGTACGAGAATGTACCACAGGCTGTGTTTGCAGTCGTACCCTTGGCTGCACAGGCTTTTTCCACGAGTTCTACTTCACAAGAAGATGTAGTGTAGGGAACTCGGTGGGACTGTTACTGCGAATCGTCACATGGTATTTTACAACTGGGTTGAACAGATGTATTGTAGCGGACGACCAGGGCAGTGCAAAGTCTAATGTATCGTGGTGTGATATGTTGTATCATACCATGTGTAACATGCGGCGAGGTAAGTTTAGCATGAAGGTACTGTAGCGCAGTGCAGCTGTCATGTAGACCCCCTGCCCGATCTGACGATTTCAATGGGGGGGGGCGCTATATTATTAATCCCATAGGCCCTAGCAATCAGGGGTCATGCTTGCCGCCATGTAACTCGATGTGGCAGGGTTGATGTACTTGGTTTGGGCAGCGAGGGGTGTAGTCATGGATCAATGTCCAGGGCTCCACCTGTCATCACAGAAGTCGTCGAAACCCGGATAGTACGATTGTAGCAGAATCACTTCTAAGGATCCTCGCCGTAGTCTGTAGAACAAACAAACTCGGGTTGATGACGATGAACCTCGAAGCGAACCTAGGGTTTAGGGTTTAGGGTTTTAGGGTTCAGGGTTTAGGGTTTAGGGTTTAGGGCCTAGGGTTTAGGGGGAGCCGCAAGGTGTACCTCCTGTGGGAGGATGGCGGTTCTATCCTCGTGGCGCTGCTGAATCTTGCGATTCCGGCGCTCCAGATCTTTCTTACCTATACCCTGTGCCTGGGACGAAACCCTGAAGCCTAAAGCCTAAACCCCTAAACCCTAAACCCCTAAACCCTCAAACCCTAAACCCCTAAACCCTAAACCCTAAACCCCTAAACCCCTAAACCCTAAACGACGGCAGTGCCTCCGGAAACAACACCGGTGAGACTCTGGGCCCGGGGTCATGAAAATACAAGAGGGCCATAGGGGCCTTAAGGGGTTCCTTAGTATGATTATAGTATAAGTGTAGTACTTCTGAGAGGAACAAGGGCGGATCAACAAGAAAGGTTACGAAAGCACGTAGTCGCTTGGAAGTCGCCACCATCGGCCTGGTGGTTGTCCAAAGTATTACACAGCAAGCTTGAAGCCTTAACACTCTCTGCCCGCATATCCTCAAAGTCTTGAGTTAGGTGCGGCTGCTATCACCGTTACGGTTATGATTGCTACTGTACCTTCCGTTCTCTAAGCCCCGAGCCCCAAATCCTGAACGACTTTCGTCAGCCGCGGCGTTCTGCAGCTTCAGCTTAGGTTCATGCCGCTTCGCATGAAGGCTCCGCTTGCACTTCAAAGGCTTCAGGTTCTTAGAACAAGGTTTCACAGACTGTGGTTCAGGTTGGTGTGCTAGGGCGTGCAAGGTCCCCACACCCGGGCTTTGGCGGGGATACTGATGGGTTTTCTTGACCCCCCCCCTAAAGGATCCTTCACCCTTTTGTGGGCTTATCGTTTGGGGTCTTCCGACTCTATACGAGAGGAGGCTCGAGAGTTGTTGATGTTCTTCGGTTTACCGGGCTTTGGAGCACCATACGTTAATACTTTTTGCTTAAGGGAACCACTATGAGATAAAAGTTCATACTTGTGTCTCCCTGGTTACTTAAAAGCCCAGTTTATGTTCCTTCGCCGCATTCTCATGAGTGGCTGCGGGCGGCCCGAGTTCGACGCTCTAATCCTTAAGGGTTCAGGGTTTGCCTGCCTTCATGTCTTTGAAGTTTTAGGGTTCTACTATAGGAGCCGTTATAATTAGAATATGGTTTTGCGGCCCATGATACTATAAGTATAAGAAAAAACCTTCAAAGTAGTATCGGCGTATCGGTAATTACTAAGGCTCCTATGTTCCGAACTTTGAGGATATACGGTTGCAGGAACTTGCTTGACTGCCCATAGAACCTTCTGGTTGTATGATTGCAAATCTCAGGGAAGGAACCAATCTCCCAAATGTCCTAGGTAGTTCGTCTTTGGGATTGCAGATTCAGATCTTTTGTCGTTGTTTCGGTTCTATAATGCCGAAGCCATTGTTTCGTTCTATGTTCCGTCCCAGACGTGCAACATGTTCATATATTGCAGTTTCATGATCACTGAATCCCAATTGTAACATACAACGTGGCAACACGTACCGGGCGATAGCATTGCATTCTGTGCCGTCACTTCCACCGAAGGGACAGCTGAGAAGCATAACTTGCCGAACCTCTTCGACCTCAGGGGTTCTAAATCAAAAATATACCAGATTTTAAACCCTAAACACGTGGTGGAGGTGGCGCCCTTCTTTGCCAAGAAGCTGGATCAAGCCGTCGAGGACGGCAACACGCTCATGGAGGACGGACCGCCTTGAGCATCAGATTCAGGATCTGAATGTTGGGTTCAAAGTTTAGGGTTTAGTAGTGTCAGGTAACGTAGAAGCCGTCCTATTTTTGTCTAGGATTTCTCGTCATGGTTACGGTATCATAGCCCCCGCGACCCTATTCTAAATGTGTGACCACAATCCTACCCCAAATATGACCACAACCCTGTCCTAAATATGACCACAACCCCATTCTGAATGCGACTATTAGAAAGTGAAGGAGTGAAAGTCCCTATTTTAGGGGCCTTAATAATCAGAACAGGGTTTTGGGCCCATTATATGATATCTAGTATAGTAAGGAACCCCCAAAATAGGACAGGTAATTATGAAGGCACCGAAACTAAGTCAGTCAGGATCCTGCCTGCCGAACGAGAGGCCCTCAAGTTGCTCTAACCGCCCTGGACTACGCTAATATCGGGGCCTTAATAAGCCTTAATAGTTAGAATAGGGTTCCTTTAAAAGGGGGTCCTATGAGGGTTACTATTAGTGTACTATAAAATAGGAGCCTTAAGACTTACCAATACTATGTTGGGGGTTCCTTATTATGGTATAACATACCCCCCAAAATCCTGTTGAACTTATCAAGGCCCCTATATTAGTCATGAACATTTCGGGCATTCACTTGGAGGTTCATGAGAAGCTACTGGTTATAAATAACGTAACTATAGTCAAAAGGTATATTGGGGACTTGTACCCCCATTTGTAATTCCCCAGCGACCTCCAAGTAGACCATAACCCTGGGCCCCGCCGACCTCCCATAGAACGACCCCCAAAACCAGTCTTTTGATTAGGTTTAGGGTTTAGGGTTGGTATCTTCAGCTTCGGATCAGATGGTACAAAGGCATCGCCCCAAAGCCTTGGCTCTAGTCTAATTTGGGAGGCCACTGTATTGAACAAGCGCGAGCCCTGTGAAAAGTCTTTGCAACAAGCGCAGCCTCTTAAGCATTCTCATCGTGTATGATAGTTCTTATGAAACCTCATCAACAAGAAGCTTCCAAACCCTCAACAGACCCCCTATGAAACCCCATCAAATCCTGTAAAACCCAACGCAAGGCCGACGTAACTTCAGCAATATCACAGAAACCATAATTTACGGGCCTTAATAATTTGAACAGGGTTTTGGGGCGCATCATACTATAAGTGTCACAAGGAACCCTCAAAACGGCATCGGTAATTACTAGGGCCCCGAGATTGGTACCCGAATAGTAACCCTTGTAGGACCCTTTTAAAGGAGCCCTTTAAAAAAGCCCTATTCTAATTATGAAGGCCCCTAAAGTACGCAAGCCTCTGGCAGAGGCCCGCGTCCTACAAGAGACGGAGCTGTGTGACGATCCCCAGCTTCTTGGTGCCTTAGTCACTGAATGAGTACACTTTACACTTTTTGGTGTAATCTTATCCCTTCATGCCACGGTTTGGCTTTTTGGGGTTTAGGTTGTCTTTCTACCTTGTACTTATGGGATAATATTCTACCCTTCATGCCACGGTTTGTTTAGGCTTTAGGGTTTTGGGTGTCGAACTACAAGTTTGTGCCTTTTGGTGCGAATGAGCTCAGCAACTGAGGTGCCGTCCTCCATAACTGTCGCAGCTGGCCCGGATCAGGCCGGAGGACTTGCTAGAGTTAGGGACCCAAAAAGGACCTAAGCAGAAGCATGTATTGTAGGGATATCCCTACCTTAATGGGCTTGATTATAAGGGGGTGGATATGGGCGATCCCTAGCCCAAGTTTTGCTTATGTGCTTTTTTGGGGCCCTATAGAGTTCCTTCAAGGATTTTGTTGGCTGTTTCTTTGTTTTAGGGGCTCCTTCCCCTGCGAAACTCTTATAAGAACAGGCCCCCCCCTTCCTGCCCTTATAGAAGCCCCTTTGGAGCTCCTTAAGGCAAATAGATGAAACCCCTCTGACAGCCCTTAAAAACGGGTCCCGTAATGTCCTCATGGAACCCTTAAAACTTGATGAAACCCCTATGATAGCGCTAGCACGTCGTGCTCTGAAGTCCCCCACGGCAGGGTTTAGGGTCTATGAGAAGGGTTTTGTTATGAGGGCTACCAGAAGGGGCACGGGGCTTCAGTATGGCGGTCTCGATAACTAGACAAGGGCTTCGGGGTAGAAGAGGGAAGCCTACACACACTATTGCTAAGCATTCGGGCTTCTAGGGCTGAGGGTTTAGGCTTAGTTCTATATTGGGGTATAGGGCTCAGGCCCTGAAACCTTGTGCTCCGTCAGGGTCTCTAGAGCTGAGCTTCGCCGACGGCAAGCTGATGAAGGCCGGCGAGGGACCCAAAAGCCTTAATTAAAGCCAAGAAAACACTTATGCCCTGGCCCTAAACCCCATTCCTCTGGAGCCCTAAGCCCTGAAGTTCTTAAGCCCCATGACGACCCCTGAAACCCTAAATTCGCATGCCCGAAAGCCTTAAACCCTAAGCCCTAAACCCGAAGCCCTAAACCCTAAACCCTAAGCCCTAAACCCGAAGCCCTAAACCCTAAACCCGAAGCCCTAAACTCTAAAGCCCTAAAGCCCTAAAGCCCAAGGTCGGTGCAGATGCGCTCGTTGAGGGCCTTGCCGGGCCACTGGGCGGTTGGTTTAGGGCTACGTACTAGAAGGGATAGGGTTTAGGGTTTAGGGTTTAGGGTTTTATGGATACTACTACTACTACTACTACTACTACTACTACTACTACTACTACTACTACTACTACTACTACTACTACTACTACTATGGGAGTTGGGGTTAGCGGGACCCTTGGGTAAAGGGTACCCTTAAGAATACTACCTATACTATCTCTACTACTACTACTGCTACTACTGCTACTACCACTGCCACTGCTACTGCTACTGCTGCTACTATAGAAGGGATCTATTTAGGAAGGCTCCCTGCTCCTTAGTAGAGAAAAGGGGAATGGGTTTTGGGGACTGTTGGGGATTTTCCAGGGACTACCTTAGCAGAAGGGTTCAACAAGAGTTGCAAGTACTATAGTAACGATAAGAGTTACGATAAGAAGTGCTCTACACGCTAACCTGCACTCTGGTCCTTTTGCTGGGTGAGCCAATTTACGGCTAAATAAAGGTTCTATATCGCAGAGAGAAGATTGCCGACACACGGCTGGAGTTTCTCCTTTTTCATTACTGTTATTGTCGTTATCACTGCTACTGTTATGTGCAATTGGCTTTCTGCTGGTGTGATAATATGCATTGCAGTGAATTTTGGTCTTTGGTTCTTGTTCCGCCCAGATCAAGTACCATCTGCATAGTTGGTGCACAGTTTTCTGGTGTTGTGGATGTAATAGATTTTTGCCAAAGCGACTAGGTTTATGCAGGAAAAGCCTTCCAGCTTTCCCAGCTCATTGCCATAGTCTGAAGCACTCGACACATCGCAAGATACTGTCGCCTACGGCAAATCCTAAACCTGCAGCCCCCCAAACTCGAAAACACTAATAATGAACCCTAAACCCTGAACCCCTAAACCTTAAAAAAAACAAAAACCCTAAACCCCCCAAAAAACCCTAAACCCTCAAGCCTCGATCTTCAGCTTTAGGCACGATCAACTCCGCGAGCTGCGCCTTGATTTGGGAGGCAGAGGGGTTACTATAAGGCTTACTATAAGGGCTGAGGGTTTACGGTTTATTTGGAGGTTTAGGATTTCTACAAGGGTTAAGGGTTTAGGGTTTGCTCGGAGATTTAGGGTTGCTATAGGGTAGTTACGTCAGCGTTACGGTGTAGGGTTTGCTGTAAGAGTTACTATCAAGGGTACGGTAATGGCCACTGTAAGGGTTACATTTTTTGAAGCGTTTGTTGCTCCCAAGTGCTACTCAGAAGGGTTCTCGTGTTTAAGGTGGGGTTCCAACGGGCCGGGAATTGACAAAATGCCGTTGCGTTTGCGTTCCCAAGTTCCCGAGACGCACGCCATGTCACGCGCCTGCTGCGCACTCGGGGAAGGCTTTTCGGGCCGTGTTCCGGAACGGTGTCGCAGAGACAACAAAACCCCTTAATTAAAGAGTATGCCTTGAATCATATCATCATTGAAGGCCCTACTATAGTTTAAGGTAGATTCCTCAATTAAGGGATATTGGAGTCTTTGGGTTCGCGTGTCGTGTCCCGAACGGTGTGCAGCGGGACGCTGGGGGAAGGGCGCCTGGAGGTGCGGGCCACTGGGGCATGGCTTCTGGGGGGGTGTCGTGGGCGTGGCGTGGACCCGCTAGGACGCTATATAGATGTCATCAAAGCATCAAACCCTTTGGAATGTTCTTATTTAGGCTAGTATGCGTGTAGGGTGTTCTTAGCAGTCTCGGATCCTGAAAAGCCATCCTTGGGTCTTGTTGCGGAACATAATTTAAGTTTACCCTAACAGGGATCTATAGCAAATCATCGGGTGACCTTATGCTGGTAGATTATACATTCCTTAGCAAGAACCCCTTCTACCTGCCGGGTGACCCTCCGGCACAGGCAACGGTCTGGGTGACGATTTCGCCGGCGCGCTGGGCTTCGCGATCTCGAGGTCGCGTGGATGGCTTTCAAGTTTTACTGGCTTGTGCGCGGCATTTTGTGCGAAACCTGCAACCCCTAAACCCTAAACCCTAAACCCTAAACCCTAAACCAGGCGAGCCTGAGGCCTTCAGCCCGAATCCAGCAGCAGCTTGAGATGTCTTGAGATCAGGTGTCCACACGTCGATGAGCTCGTGCTGAGCCTGGGGAGCCTGGGTCAATGCTGTGGATCCTTTAGGGTTTAGGGTTTAGGGTTTGCTTTTTGAGCTTTGGGTTGGGCGTTGTAGGTTTCGGGCAAAGTTTAAGGGTACAGGCATTGCTTAGGGTGAAGTGGCTTAGCGTCCATGATAGACCCGAAACCCGGAACCCTATTGCACTTAAAAAAATTAACCCTAAACCCTACACCGCACTTTTTCGTCCTGACAGCGATCCAGGAACAGTGGTCTCGGCCCCTCGGGCGCTGCTCTGCTCGCTGCCAGCCTCTCGAGGTGAGGTGGTTCTAAATGGCCACTTGGAGGTTCATGGGGGGGGTTGTAAGTGGGGTTATAAGTATGGTAACTACAGTTACAACCCATATTAGGGGACTTATAACCCCACTTATAACTACTCATGAACCTCCAAGCAAGTGTGCGGCTGAGATTATCAGAGAGCCCGGCAAAGGACTCTAGAAGTGCTTCTCACATGGTTTCCTATGGCTCGCACTGTTGATGGATGCTGTCCTGCATTGCCTTGTGGTGCCTGCATAAACGGTGGGAATTAGAGTATATGCGCTCTTAAATGGAGAATTCCAAGCCATGCTACACGCTAAACTACAAGCCCTCAATCCCTACTCCCATGTTATCTCAGCGTGTGTTGATCCTGACCAGGGTCTTCTGAAGCATCCGTCTCTGCTTAGTGTTTTCACTTATCGGGCTCAGCCTTATCTTCATGATATTGGAGGCCTCGCCGGTTCCCCAAAATCCCAATCCAGGGCAGCATGGTATATAGAAGATTGAATAAGTGGCCATAATGTTCCTAGAGAATAAATATACCGCAGACTCTTCTAATTGCAAAGGCCCCTATACTGTACCCTTATGTTGACCCTTATCGAGACCTTTTGAGAATCCCGCTAAGGGAACCCTATTCTAATTGTTCAGGCCCCTACAGTAGCAGGTGCGAGCGGCTTTCGAAGCTGGATCTGGACCTTTCGGGCAGCTCGGTTGGGGTAGTGGCATCAGGTCTGAGTCTGAGGGCCTTTCGTGGTTGGGTTAGGGTTTAGGCTTTAGGGTTTAGGGTTTAGGGTTTAGGGTTTAGGGTTGGTTAGGGTTTAGGCTTTAGGGCAGGTTCCAGGGCTAAGGGTTGGGGGTTTGTAGGTCTCGGGGCTGAAGGTTGAGCATTTGGGGTGATTTGGGTTTCAGGCCAAGGGGCTTGAGAATACTGGGGTGCTTTCAGGGGCGTTCAGATTAATACCGGGGCCTCAATATTTACCAGCATTATTTTGTGGGATTCCTTATAACATTTATACTATAATATACCACCCAAAACCTTGTTCTATTTATTAAGGCCCCTATATTGGGCAGCTCATGGTTTCGGGTTGAGGGTCTGGGGGAGTTCGTTTCAGCAACAGACGCCCTAAACTGGCCCAAGCCCCAAACCCAGACTTCCCGAAACACCGAAACCCCAAAACCCCAATTCATAAGCCTCAGCCGTGAGCCCCGGGTGGAACTCGTCCATAGGCCTTCTCGAACCCTTCCAGCGCATGGAGACCCAACTGAGGATTTTGAATCCTAAGCCGAAAGCCTGAAGCGTACCCTCAAGCCCTAAGTGCGTGCGAGGCAGCAGAATCTCTAACTTCGTACGGGGTCTGAACAAGTAGTAGTAGCAGTTCCTTACAACCTACACGAAAAGCTTTGAGGGTCGGCACCTTTTGCATGAAGCGTAGCCTTGAGCCGAAGTAGCAAGCCCCAAAAGCCCGAACCAAAAGGCTCATGTTTAGTTACAAGGGTAGAGTTTACAGTGCCTCAATGGGTGTCATAGCTTTGGAGGCCTTTCTTATAGCCTTGCAATTAGATCCATGCAAACCCCAAAGCCGGTAAGAGATCTCGTGACGCCGGCTTCCGCGTAATATAGGGGCCTTAAAAAAGTTTTTTGGGGCAGTCTAGTAATTATTACATACTGCAATCGGTCCCAAAACCCTATTCCAAACTGTTGAGGCGCCTATAGTAATTATGAAGGCCCCTGTATTCTCCGCGAGCCTTCAAGAGCCATCAGGAAACGGCCTAAAGGACGAGGGTGCCGATGCTCTTGGAGAGAACTTGGCCAGGCCTTGCTGCAGGATGCCTTAAGTCACACTTAGAAGATATGGGTAGTTGTCAAAATGGTCCCTTTTTGGGTACCCTAAAAATTAGGTGCCGTATTATGATGAGGACCCAAAAAGGGACTCTAATTTTGACAACCACCCACTTAGAAGATATGGGGACTTGCCAAGAAGCCTTTTGGGCAAGACGGTGGGCTGCACGACTCAATTCACGGCGCTGTATGCCCGTTAGGCTTAAGTTGTGGCAAGCGGGTAGTCAAGCCGGCACAAGCACCGGCTGGCTTAGCACTGAAGCCCTGCGGCATGCTACTACCCTATCCGCTGACTATTAGTTAAATGGCCCTAAAACCTGAATGTGAAACCGCGGGTGGACTGCATGGGGCGGGAGGGGACGGCAGCATCCTCCCCAAGACTTCAACTCGCCCTCTGCATTTCCAGGCCCCTGCCGCTAAGCTTTGAGGTTGATCAAAGCCTGTTAGGCCTCCATAAATATAAGCAAACCCTAAACCCTAAACCCTAAACCCTAAACCCTAAACCCTAAACCGTATTGGAGTGGAGGGACCTGTGATCTGCCGCCATGGGCGGCTGTGTATGGTCCAAGCAGGCCAGGAACAACCGGGAGCTCTGACTTATATCATGGTATTGAACCGTGAAGCGTAAGATAAGTTTTGGAACAGGTAATTATATCAGTTCAACCGTGAAGAAGCTGGGAAAGCCACGTGTTGTGAGTCATGTGATTTGTTCTGACCCGGGTGTACCTAGCACGGAGGAGACTAGCTTGACGGAGTTGAAGGACCTGCACCGCTTCTTGGCTGATGCTGACATCCGGCTCGTTCGCTTCGGCTTTCTGCAGGTTGGTGCAGGGAAACACCCTGCGGAGAGCCTGGCCTTTGTTTCTGCCCTCGACGTCTCTTCACTTACCGTAGCCGTAAAAGCTAATCCCTTGAGCAGGCGCTCCTCCGCGAAGGGCGCTTGTGGCCAAGACGCCAGGAAGCGGAGCACGAGACATTCTGGCACGATTGGAGACAAGAATCCTTGAGCGCGCTGGTGGCTGCGGATGACCTCTACATTGCTGCGGATCGGTTCCAGCTTCGCGGCCGATCCGACGTACATTTGGTATCTGTCTCGCATTGCTGGGAGGCCCAGCAGCACCCCGACCCATGGGGTTTCCAGCTCAAGTCTCTCGTCTCACGGGTGGATGCAGAGTTCGGGACCTTGCTCAGCCGAAGGGGAAGCAGCCGTGAGGTCTTGCTGTTTGTTGATTTCATATGTCTGCCTCAGTATCTCCGAACGGAGCCTGAGCAGGCACGCTTCAAGTGCGCGATGAATTCCATGCATTTGCTTTATGCACATGATGCATTTCGTGTTTGGCGACTGGAGGAGCTAACTCCGCAATCCATGAAGAGATCCCATCCCTCCACGATTGATATCTACAGTGACGACGCCAAGAGGCTGGGTCCGCAGCCTTTTGAGCAGCTTATTTTGAACACGACCCCCTATCAACAACGTGGGTGGTGCGTGGCCGAGACGCAATGGATGGCCACACACGCTATGGTTACATATGCGCCCATGATCCCAGAGCGTTTCAGAGAGCGCGTCAGGGCCGAAGGAAAACCCTCATCTTTTGATGGGCTGGTCCTACGGTTCACGCACAGGTCCGACGCAGAGCCTGTGATGCAGCTTCAGGAGAAGATCTTCGAACTGGCTGCCCTGAGCCGCAAACGGGCCTATCCCCAGAACTTAGACCTGCGGCAAGTGTTGTTCTTGGCAGAGGCCCTGCAGCGTTTCGAGAAGTTAAAGATCCTGAATCTTGGTCACCGAAACAACGTAGTCGGGGATGAAGGAGCTGTTGCTTTGGCATGGGGGATCATGGCCTGTCCCCTTGAAGTCCTAGATCTGGAAGGCTGCCAGATCGGCGCCAGGGGGGCTGCTGCAATTGCAGGCTTTTGCCATGACTCCAAGACCTTGCAAAAGTTGGACATGGACAAAAACCCGATAGGGGAGGAAGGGGCCATCTTTGTTGCTGGAGGGCTCGCGGCCAATACAACCATCCGTGATGTGTTTTTGCGCGGCTGTGAGATCGGGCCCATTGGCGCCGATGCCCTTGCAGAGCTACTTTGCCGGAAGTCCATGACGTTGTGCAACATCGTGCTATGTGACAACCCCTTCGGGGAGGAAGGGGCTGTGGCCTTGGCATCAGGATTAAGGGGCAGTCCATCTGTCAAGTTTGTTTGGATACAAAGATGCCAGGTAGGTCCTGGTGGGGCGACGGCACTGTCACAGCTCTGCCGGGAAATGAAGCGATCCTTTTACCTCAACGCCCTCGAAAACCCTCTCTCCGACGAAGGCCGCCGGCTGCTCGAGGAGATCAGCAGGACCTCGAAGCACGTGCGCATAGAATGAGAAATTCGAGTAGAATAGAACGTAGAACACCTGAATACCCCCAAACCCTAAGCCTGTATACCATGATGTGATACAGTATAGTATTGCAGTATAGCAGGGCTAGATGCCTCCCAATTTCCGTAGAGGCGCCTGTGCACATGACACTCAAAGGGGACCTCGAAAACATGATAATTTCTAGACACGTGCAATAGTACCGAAACAGTGGGACATTCGTGCCATAATAATTAATAGCACTACTGCAGTATCATAGTAATACCATCACAGGGTTGTAACTTGCTGATGCTGCGCTCAATAGATTCGGCTTGCCGCACCCTGCACAAAAGCTCCCTCTAAGATGTGACGCGGCAACATGTTTTAACCTGCACAAGCATGTGCTGTAGGGAATGTACCCAAACCACGAACCCTGAAATGCCAGATCTTCTATGCAGCAGAGCCTAAACTGGTTCAGGGAATGTTAGGCATTCGGTTCCTCGGGTCCTTTGGCCGCCGCAATAGCTGCTTCAATGCAGGCATTCGAGATTCGCAAGGGCGCACGGTAGCAGTAGTAGTAGTAGTAGTAGTAGTAGTAGTAATAATAATAATAATAATCGTAATGGTAGTGGTAGTGGTAGTGGTAGTGGTCAGTGGTAGTGGTAGCAGCAGCAGCAGCAGTAGCAGTAGAGTAGCAGCAGCAGCAGCAGTAGCAGTAGCAGATGCAGTAGCAGTAAGCAACCACATGCGTTGTAGCAGCCCGAGGCCTACTTAGGGTTCCTTTATAGTATAGTTATGCCGCATGCCATAATACACCCCCAAGCCCCATTCGGCCTCTATGTTACAGCAGCAACCCCGCGGCCGTAAACCCAAAACCCTCAAGGGGCCTTCAACGAAACCCTATTCTGCCAGATGCCGGAGTCTGCGTGAGCTCACGCTGCGGCTGTCTGGAAATGGCATCACTGCCAAGGCAGGGGTGTACGATGGTACTTCCGAGGCTGTACTGTAGAGGTAGTATAGGGGTTTTAGAACAGTACCGCAAGCCATCATAAGGGTGCGACAAGGGTGCTCCAAGAGTTTATAGGGGTACGAGACGGGTATCACAAGGGCAGGATGTAGTGCATAGAACCCAAAATGCAAGAATTTGCACACTGATTTGATTCGCCAACACACGCCTCCACCACCTTCATCATTTTGACATTGCAGCACAGTCCTCATCACATTGCCACCCTCCTCTCGTTCTCCTCCTTTTCCGTTTCCTCCTCCCTCCTCCTCCGCTTCGTCTTCCTCATTACCGTTGCCGCCATCATTTCTACTTCATCGTCATTGCTGATCACCAGACTATCTTCAAAAGCAAGGTCATACGAGAAGATACAACCATATCAGAGCAAACGTTGAGATTCGCAGGTCTTCCTGTCGACATTACCTTAGGGCTGCAGCGCCGTTGCCCCTCAACTTAACAACATCAGGAAACTAGACTTCTCGACGTTACGAAACGTGCGGAGTTTTAACTAGCCCTGCAGCACCTGACCATGTTTCTGTGAACAAAGATGATTCACGCTCCTCTTGCCACGTCTTCTCGGGTCTCTGTGCCTTCCACTGCCCCAGGCCCCAAACAATCAACATCTCGACACCCTGAGCCCTAATCTCCTAAACCCTAAACCCCTAAACCCTACACGCTAAACCCTGAACCCCTAAACCCTACACCCTAAACCCTAAACCCCTAAACCCTAAAGCCTAAACTTAAACGGCCCAACATACCCAGGCGGCGAAGGAGCTGGTCGCGTACCTCTCGAGGCCGATCCCGAGACTGGGCTCTTGGTAACGGGTTTTACTTGGGCCATGGCGCTTTGTCAGAAATTCTAGGGTTCCTTTAAAGTCAAAGCCAGAAAGTTGGAATATGAGTATCCTAAACCCTTTATGGTAAATTATAAGGTATCCTATACAATATGGGGGGGGCGCTTCTGGGTTCCTGTTACGGGGTTTACTTTCAGCTCCCATATATTTATGACCTTTACTATGTTAAGGATTTAATTTAAGTTACCATAATAAGGAACCCCTGTTATTTACTATAGAATCTATAGCAAATAACATGGTTTCCTTGTTATGGTAACTTAAATGAAATCCTTAACAAGAACCCAGACGAGGGAGAGGCATGGGTTCAACGTGACCTAGTGCTTTGGGACTTGAGGGGTTTACGTGTTTAGGGCTTAAGGGTTAGTGGTCCAGCGTAGAGGTGTCAGGGGTTCAGTTTCTTTTTTTTTGGCAGTGCCTTTCGCACGTTTGTTCTGTTCGCTTCGCTGGCTCCAAAGACGGACCTTGCACCAGCCGTGCAACTACTGCATGTCTTTGGAGCGCGTTACGGCGTTACTGCTAGGCGCGGTGTGGTCTGTAGTGTAGTGGCTCTCTGAGGCAGGAGCGGGATTGCCGGCTGGGGTCCAAACCTTACAGAAACTTGGCCTAAACCCTCTCGCAAGACACTGAAAACACCCCGTACCGCCTGATTTAGCCCTGATAGGAACCCCTAACTAAGAGGCAGCTTTACAGACACCCTTGCAGGCAGCCTTGTAGCAAGCCTTGTAGGAACCCCAACCTATCTCCTGAACCCTCAACCCTAAAGCCTGAATACCCTAAGCCCTAAAAGCCCCAAATGCCAAACCAATAGCCCAAAAACTCGAAGCTGTAGCACCCCAAGCCCTAAACCCTAAACCCTAAACCCTAAACCCTGATGCCCTCTAAAACCCCCAGGCCCAAACGCCGAAACCCTTAAGGCCTACTTGGAGGTTCATGGGTAATTACAAATGGAGTTATGAGTTATAGCTACCCTACCTATATCCCCACCTACAATTACGCATGAACCTCCTACTAGCCCTAAGCCCTAAAACTCCTGAACCCTGAACTCAAAAAACCCAAAACCCAAACGCTAAAACCCGTAAGCCCTACTGGTAGAAGGTGCGACCGGTTGGCATCCTTGGACTTGATTCTGGTCGGGGAAACCTTGAACCTCGGCCCTCGCTAAGCAGCCGATCTTTGCTGTTCTTGGTGAAATTGCGGGTGTGGGGTTTGATTTTGGCTCTTTCTGAATTTTACGTGTTTTTTGGTAGGTTTGGTGATTAATTCCCCCCTAAAATCAAAAGGGCGCCCCTCCCGCCCTGGCGGTCCCCCCCCCCCTCCAGGGAGGTTTTTCTGTTAGGGCGGTTTATAGTATTTAATATTAGGGGGAAGCGACTATGGGAAGTTTACGACTTCTGGGTCCGGAGATGTTACGCGTTGTTTGCAATATTGGGTGTTCGCCTTGGTTCGATGGCTTCAACAATGCTGGGTTCTGGAGTACCTTGCTTTAATGACTTTTGGTTGGGCCTGTTCCTTAAAGGCACCATTCTGAGATATGAGTGTAAACTTTTTTCCTTGGTCTATTTCAAGCCTACGAGGTTCAAGGGGAGCAGTGCATTCCAGCTCGGGCCGACACGATGAACCTCACAGAGGGGTTTACTTGTGGTGGGTCCAAGATGCAGGTTAGATGTTGATTCCTCAGCCGGAGGCCCCTTTAGGCTTTCCTAGCTTCGGCAACCCTAAGCCCTGAGCCCCAAACCCTAAACAAACCCTTACACCCCGTTCTGTTTTTGGGGTTCAGGATCCAGGACTTCGGGTAGAAATAGGAGTTAGGGCTTCGGGCGTGCCTTGCACACCTTTCGCCTGATGGCTTCAGCAGCAAAGGACGGACGAAGGTGCCGGGGAAGAGGAGGACTCCCAAAGGCAGAAGGGGAGGGAGCCGGCATCAATGTAGGGGTCTGAGAAATAGCAGTGAAAGAATGACTATCATAGTGATGTGACTATCATTTCTCCCTCACAGTTTCTACCGGGTTATACGGTTATACACTAGTATACCAGACACCGCCATACCAATTGTTACACTTTCCTGCCCCTCCCCTACTTTAGGGCCAACTCTTGGCAGTAGCCTGATACCCTTAAGCTCCCCATATCTTCAAATGCAGAGTATTCAGTGCACCCTTGCAGCTTATTCCCTTTTCCGGAAAGTAGGTACTTCTCTCATGTAGGGCCCTGACTGGGAGAACTACACACCTTGAAGCAGAAGCATCAAGACCCTACGACCTCCGCGGGGCCTTACAGAATCAAGCCAGGTCTCAACTGGGACAGCTTCGCAAACTTGAGTTGTGCGGTTCAGTGTTCAGGGGTTTAAGGTTTCGGTTTGGGATTCAGCCCAGGGTTTCGAGTTCAGCGTTCAGGGGTTGGCGGGCAACGATGAAAGCAAGGCTAAAGCGTGCACAAAAGCGCTGCGTACCAAATGCTGCCCCAATCACCCTAAACCCTAAACCTTTGAATAGAGTTGCTTCAATAGCTTCCAAGGGCTCTCATGCAGGGGCCGAGATAGTTGGAATAGGGTTCCTTTAGGGGGTACCTCAAGGGTTCTACCAGGGTTACTCTAGGGGTTTACCATAAGCGTTTAGTACACGGGTTCAGTTTAGACGTCGTAAGAGTTTCAACAGGGCTTTGGGTCATAATATTATACAGGGTTCAGGGCTTTAGGGTTTAGGGCTTATAACTACAAAAGGAATCGTAAACGAATATTGTTGGTGATATTTGGGCCCCTATATATTACCGACAGGCACGCCCCGCCCACTCTAGCACAACCTCCCACGGAACCCATGAGCCCCAAGACGTCAAGATCCGCTAAGCAAAACCCTAAACCCGAAAGAAGAAATCACATCAAGCCTTCAACCCTCAAAGGAGCCCTCAAAAGGCACCTTAAAGGTATCCCCAACCCTCAACCCTAAACCCTAACACCCCGCACACCCCTGTGACAGAAACAACAAAAATCAGAGGTATCTCGCCGGCTCAGAGGCAGCTCAAGGACCCTTTGCCTGGCTTCTGGCAGATTACTTGGCAAGGCACCGATTCTGTTCTTTATTGTAGGTTTTAGGTGCATAATAAGGCGGCCTGGATAATTCCACCTGTTAAGGCTTTAAGGTCCCAGTAGTAGGGTTCGGATGTAGGATTTATTTACGGAG